TATTTATGCGCATATTTTTTTTCCAGTAGGTTTAGTGGTTTAATTTTGTAATGGCTTATTGACGTGTTCCAATACAGTTAGATTATGAGCTACTTTTCTGCATGTGCATCTGCTGCATCTGTGCATGATACCTCAGTACACCACAATGATTGTTTATAAAATTGATATACCACAATGAAAATCAACAATATATTGACATAAAATTAATACTCCCTCCATCCCAAATTATAAGGCATATATATTTTTTACATGGTCTTCAATGACATACTTTGACCATTAATTTATTCCATGTCATCTTCCCAATGAATATGAAATTAGCATCACATGAAAGTACTTCAAAATATGAATCTGGTGATATAACATGCATAATACTTAGCATTGATATGGTTAGTATTATTATTAGTAAAAAGTTACCGAGTTTGATTTTCCTTAAAAATAAGGGCGTCCTATAATTTGGGACAGACTACAGAGGGAGTATACCACAATTTGAACTAGTTCAGTGAAATGGAAGTCAAATAGAAGGGAGAACTTGAGTGCAGCACTAAGATTTATTGTCCTTTAACCTTCCCATGTACCTTCAGCTTCTATATGTTGTGACTTTGCAGATTGGTAGGTCATCTCATGAACCCAACTTCTTTAAATTGTCATGGTCATTTGCATGTTATTTTGAGAGTGGCGCATGATGCACCAAGAGGGTGTTGAGATGCACCGATATAGCTGAACTTTTCCTTGCTATTTTCTACAACATTATGGTTAAGATTTTGTTTGTGCAATGTACCTTTCAAGCATCTTTAACTTGCTGTCTGATATCTGGACAGAACCATTGAAGTTGGTGCAGACAGATTCAAGATTCCTGATATTCTGTTTAATCCATCTCTTTCTCAGGTGAGGTTTGATGAAGAGAATAATACTTGCTGTACACTTGTATTTCAGGCAGGATTTGTAACTGGTGCTGGTACTAGATTACCTTGTTCCAGAACAAAACCAGCTTGCTGTTTTCTTCTTCAGTAGATGCTGTTGATGGCTTGAAAAATTCTTTTGAACCATGTTGAATTGCTGACTCTCACATGCACACGAATTTTGTGATGCATAGACTATTCCTGGAGTTGATGGATTTGCAGATTCAATGTCAGTTCGTGGCCTTCCACGAATGGTGAGTTAAATGAGAGCTAGACTTGCATTTACTGTTGCGCATCCCTGGCAGTTCTTCATATTACTGAAGTTGCTATTGCTGTTACTTTCTCAGGTCATTGATAGTGTAAATAGGTGCGATGTTGACATTCGCAAGGAACTGCTAAGCAGTATTCTGGTAAATGCCTATAAATTCTTCAACCACATTTTACTAGCTCTCTTGGTGTTGCCATCCATGAGCTTAGTGATATCTTTCCCAAAATTCTCTTGTGAAGTTCTGTTAATACAATTCTAACATCTGCAAACATGCATTGTGGATAGCTTTCAGGTGGTTCATCATCAATTCTGCAGTTGAAGGAGAGGCTAGAAAAAGAAGTACTTGAGGTATATTTTTTCTTCAGAACAAACTAGGACTGCCCTGGCCTCATCCTGTTTATACTTCCCATTTTTAAATGTGCACCATTTTATAGCCTGTGCAGCCAAACTTTTAAATTTTTAACTACTAAAGTACATTGAAAATATTCCGGGGTTGCTACATGGAGAAGTAGTGGTAGGTTTGCCTTTTTCATGAAAAAGTATATTTTATCATTATATGAATAACATATAATTATAAATGCAGAACTTAGAAACAGTTAAAGATTTGTGGTTGGAGTCCTTTGATGTCTCTAATGCCATCTGTTTTCAAACAGAGGAAACAACATATAGGAGTCAAGCCTATGATCTTTTTCTTTGTTCTTGTCCAATATGGAAATACAAGAATAAATGAATCTCATTTTTTTTCTTGGGATAGTTAATAACGGGCCAGAGTGCAAGTTAATAGAACTCTATTCTGTTTTCAGGCTATTGAAAATGTTTCCTTAGACCTTGTGCAAGGCTTGTTCTTATATATACCTCAAAATATTGCAGGAATCTTCTGGTAATACTCGTGTAAAGGTTTTGGCAAGTGGAAATTCAGTAGAGAGGCGATTCAGGTATTCCCTTTTATCTTTGTAGTCTTTATCCTTCCCAAATTCAATTGAACATTTTGCTCTACTGCTCACTGGAGAAGTTTGAATGAGTGCCTTTTGGCTCTGCAAAGTGCAACTCTGTTGCTTGTTTTTATTGCTTGAAAAGCTTAACACATGAACTACCAAAATATACTGATCACTTTGTTCTAGTCATACATACCTTAAGTCATTTTATTCTGCAGTGTTTGGATTGGAGGGAGCATTCTAGCATCCCTTGGGTCGTTCCAGCAAATGTGGTTCTCCAAAGCAGAGTAAGCACAACACAGTATTTTAGGTTATGTTTCCCCTATCTCGTCACGGACAGCTCACAAGTTAATGTGATTTATCTCACTATAGATACGAAGAACATGGAGTATCCTACATCCAAAGGAAGTGCCCATGAAGTTGTGGAGCATCGCTACGATTTGTGACCAAATTTGGGTGCATGTGGGCAATCGTATTACAGCCACCCTGTTGTTGATCTATATCGACTATTATCCGACGATATTTATCATTATATTATGACTAGTTAGTTTGTAGATTTTGAGAGGGCAACATAAGAAGCAATCCAGCTTAACCTGTTATGTTCTTGATGGTAGATTCTAGTTCATGTGTTGAATCTGTTCTCCCTGCTGTAGAATGTATCGAGTTGCTGCTCTCTACTCTGTACTTTTAGAATACCTTTTCAATCATTTGGAGTCAGCTGATTGTTGTACTACTTATACGCCACCTGATTAGTCATGTCAACAATTAAACTTGAGCACTGGTTAAGTTAAGAGTGGCCTGATTGTAGTTGATAATCACATTTTATTCGTAGACATTGTATGCTGGATCTTTATCAGCCACCGTCAGATCATCCTCTGTAATAAATCTTCATCAGACGTGTGTGCCAATCGCAAGGAACACGAAATGCATCCGAAATGTTACTCTGAGTTAATCAATACTATAATTCTTGGTCAAATTAATTATTTATATCTATAAAGTTTAAATTAAATTTAGGAAAATGAATTCATGCAAATCTTGTGGTAAGTTGTCAATTTCATAAAAAATCCAGCTTACTACTCCCTTTTTAGGAGTGTGTTGTGGCTGCACACTTCTGCCTTTTGATATATACGGTTCTATTCTCGGTGTACTCCTTTATTATTATTAAAACAATCCCAGTTACTTGGTAAGTGCTAATCACGAATCAAAGTCAACATAACAAATCATGTGCGTACAGCTATAACTCGATTACACAAACAACAAAATTCATATTTGAACATAAATCCAGTTGTAGCATATCTGGTAGTATAAAGTTTTTTTTTTGTATAGAAGAGTTTTAATTTCTGTAAGTTTTGGAAAGCATTTAATCCTAGAAATTGTAGTGTAGCTCAACTAAAAAATAAATGAACTTGAATCGAAATTGGGTTGTATCATAAATCTTTACCACTCAAACGAATATTTATCCTAAACCACAAATGACTCTTTTCATCAAGGAATGTTTTGTTTTCAGCATTTTAAAAAAAAACTTTTCTAATATGGTTTTCATGTTTCGTTCTTTTGAAATTTAACATCTATTTAATTTGCACGGCTCCATAAATTCAACGGATACATATTCTGAATAATTACTAAGGAGGCATATATCGGCTCTCTTAATACAACCGCTTGTTTCTCAAAATTTATTTTGAGTTTTGTCTACACATTCTCAAGGACGGTACAAACACACTATAGATGTTCACAATTTTTTTTTTCTAAAGTTGATTGATGGACAAATGTTTGAACATATAAACATATAAGCACTGAATATTTGCTTATGCAGGAGGTATTTATATCAAGTTCGATACTTTACTACCATAGTCCCTAGGACACTAAAATGCCTTCAATGATCTGATGAAGCCTAAGAGAGAATATTGATCAGTGGAGCGACTTGCAACTACACATGGCACAAGTAGACTAGACACGGTATATATTCATATTAACTTGTTAAAATTTTACTACTTAACAGTTCACTTGTGGTGCATCCATATCAATTCTTACTTACACAATATTTGTAAAAACAACCTAACACTATAGGATGACCTAGACAACCTTTATGTCAATCACACTTAGAAGATGATCGTCTTTTTAATAAATAATGTGTACTACACACCATGCTCTCCATATAGATCAAGATCTACAAACCCTTCCACTTATAAACCTTACCACCAAAAACTCATTAAGTTGCTTCATTTATCTATGCTATTAAGAAAAAAACTTATTTCGTTTATGCCATTTCTAGAAATGGCTAGTCACACTATTCACAATATTATATAATAAATAAAAGTTTCAAATATTCATCCACCAAAAATCATCAAGTCGTGGGACTTATATGTTAATTAGAGAAGTCCCTTTGGGTGCAATCGATTTTGGAAACCCTAAATTTTTTCTATACATAGAAGAGAGAGATGTCTAGTTGCAATTGCTTTTGCGATGTGCCAACCACCCTTCTAGCTTTCATCCACGTCTACTTAATTGCCATTCTTCTTCTTCTTTTTCTTCACTATTACTACCTCCTATCTTAGCGAATCTTCTTCTTCTTCACTATTACTACCTCCCACCTTAGTGAATTCATCCTCATTGTTCACAATGACATTGCTAAGTTAACTAGGTATGCTAAGTACACAATTAGAATATAACCTAGAGCCTTTGTTTCCATCATACTTAAAAGATGACATTTTTATATAGATAAAGTGTGCTACTCACAAGGCTTACTATATATATGTATGATACACACAAACTCCACAACCCAAAACTCTTTCAAGTTGTGTGGCCCATCTATGCTATTAAAAAGCCCATTTAGCCCATCCAACATGAGAAACCCTAGGGTTTTTTCCCTATAAAAGATACCTAGGTTATTGTTGCTTTTCCACCCCGCCCGCCGCCGCTCCCTATTCCTATTTAATCCCATCTCTCTTCCTCATCACCGCTCTCCTCTCTCCAGGCAAGAGGTACGCACTTTTTGTTTCGGATTTGAAATCTTTGCTTCGTTTTACTATCATTGGTCATAAGTTCTTTTTTGAAGATGTTTGAGAATAAGTTTATCATTGAGATTATCGTCACTTGTGATAGGAAGTACGCAACCTCAAGCCGGACAAGACGTGAGCAAAGATGGGCCCCACTAGTAGGAACCATAAATCATCTCAAAAAGAGTAAGTGGTATTCTTATATAGCACACATTTTTTAAGGATATATACATGTTTCCCACAAATGTTTCAAACACATATAGTGATATATTTAAATCCGACAACATTTGAATTGAAGTGTGGCACCGAATGAAGCCAAACCACCCCGATATCCACAGCGCAACCGCTCCATCACTGCCTCTGCCTCTGCCTCTGCCTTTGCCTCTCCCGCTGTTGCCAACTCCAGAGTTGCCAAGGAAAGGCCATCTTCATCAACTGCTGGTGAAGGTGAACCACAGGAAACGGTGCTAAAGCTTCCAAGCATCCCAACACTTCCTGCACGGATGGCAAAGTTGGTGCCATTAGAGGGGTTGGGATGCGAGGCAGCGGTGGGATCGCTAACACCGAGTCGGGAGCGAGAATACAAGGTGACCAACAAGCACACTGAGGGAAGGCGCCCTGTCTACGCCATTGTCTTCAATTTCCTCGATGTTCGCTACTACGACATCTTCGCCACCGCCTGTGGCCCTCGTGTAAGATTTCTTACGAGGCGCCATATTGATCTTACTAGGGAAGTAGTAGCGCTTCATGTTTCTATAAATAGATCAAAATCTAGTATTTACCTTATTATCCTATTCGCATTAGATGTTTTTAATCTGACTTTGTGTCACGTCCCTTTTTTCATGTTTCTTAATTTGCCTATTTTGAAAATTCACATTCGTGTTCATTCACCTAAAATAGCTTAATGAAAATTTCATAAATATTTTTGTTTAAAATTTGACTAAATAAAATAATCATGCTGCCATTTATTTTATTGTTTGTTAATTGGAGTTATGGTTTTTTATTCGAGTTTGGAAGTGGAGCTCAACTCTGTGAATTATTATCAATCTAGAAATATTCCTCAAAATTATTTTTGTTTTATATTTATTAATGTAATCGTGATGTGGTTATGATATTACCTTTTGTTATTGTGTGTGCTAGAGTTGATCTGGGACTAACACATTATACACAGAGGGATCCTAGTTGGGGTCCCGACACTTTGCGAATGCGCTTTACACTTTAAAAGTGCATTAAAAAATATAATTTTGTTGAATATTTTGATAAAAATATAATTAGGGGAAGGAATTATAAGATCATAGATTTCATTGATCATAAAATTAAATTTTAAGGATGGAGTTATGCACATATGTTATTTTCAATGTGTTTATGCTAACACGTTGCGCCCTCGTGACCTTTGCAGCTTTCAACCTACCGCTGCCTCATGAATGGCAAATTTGCTCTTCTGCAAAGCTATCTTGATGACGATGTAAGCTCTGCCAATAATTTTGAGTGTTCAGTTTATTATCTACACCCTCTGTTCCAAAATAAACCAATTCCTTGCTATGGATCTAGAGATAGCCTATGTTCAGAGCTGTCCAGATCCGTAGTCAGGAATTGATTTATTTTAGATGAAGAAGGGTTTGATGGCATGCCTTTTTCTAACCATGGTGGGGTCTCCATTGCCTTGCAGATGAATGAGTCATTCTTCACTGTGAGCTGGGCTTGCGACATTGATGGCAATCCATTGTTAGTAGCTGCAGGAAGCACTGGAATCATTCGAGTCATCAACTGTGCCACTGAGAAGATATATAAGGTCTAGTAGTGCTAGTGCCATTTTTTCTTCTTTGCCACTACTGCAACCTTGGATAAACTTTGCTCTGTATCAGTCTATATATGTTTTTTTTTCAGTAATATATGCCAAGCTATGGTTCTGTTGCTTATATATTGGAAAATAATTTCTTATTTGATAGATTCTGATTTATCTGTGTTATCCATTCCAGGAGGTCACATGTAATTCGCTTCGATTAAGAACTATAGCAATCTTTTGACTTTCTATATAGCTACTAAATTGTGCCTTTTCTCTTCTAAACATTTGTGGTTTCAGTGGGTCTTTAGCATGTCTAGTCAGAAAATTGGCATATAAATTATGAACCATTCTATATCAAGTACATAACTGATGTGCGGCCAGTGTTTTATTTCTGTTTATGAAAAATAAAATAAAATTACAGAGTCTTGTTGGCCATGGTGGTTCAGTAAACGAAATAAAGTCTCAACCATCGAATCCTTCACTCATCATTTCTGCAAGCAAGGTTAGAAGATTACATTGCCTAATCTGATATCTACATCTATTTCATTTTTACTGATGTTCTTTCATACGGCATTGTGTAGGATGAATCTATTAAGCTGTGGAATGTGCAGACAGGGATCTTAATTTTGGTTTTTGGTGGAGTAGGAGGTCACCGACACGAAGTACTTGGTGTTGTAAGTTGCTTAAGCTCCACTGTAGCATTTTTTATAAAAAAAATTGTAATGCTACTAATTAACTTGAAATTGTCCTTAAAAATAGGACTCATCCAGCTTCTGATGTCACTTTTTTTATTGAGCAGATTCAATTTTATTCATTTCACCAGGAGTGAAATAATCCTTAGTCACTGAAATTTTGCGCATTCTTTCTTTACATTACGAGTGCAAATATTAATCATAATTAATTAATATTATTGCTTCAGGACTTCCACACATCTGATATCTACCGCTTTTTAAGTTGTGGAATGGACAACACTGTGAGAATCTGGTCAATGAAAGGTTAGTGAACCATCTCATGATAAAAAGAAAAGGCAATTGCATGATGCTTATCGGTGAAAGTGTGTGAATGCTGTAGAATTCTGGGAATATGTTGAGAAATCCTATTCATGGACTGATGCTACATCAAAATTTCCAACAAAATTTGTCCAATTTCCGGTATGCTTATAGTATCTGCCAATCATATCTGAATCTGTTCTTTAATCTGTAATTTATTAGTATGTATAACCAATATGGTATCATCTCTCTCCTTTCAGGTCCTGTGTGCTGAAATACATTCTAACTATGTAGACTGTACTAAATGGCTTGGGGACTTTGTCCTGTCAAAGGTAAAATTGTTATTGCTCTTTTGAAGTCAATATTTATAGTGCTTACAAATTATTATATCTTGGTTTTATCCTATTCATAAAGGGCTATACATACTGAATTACTGATACTGCAAATTTCCAGGCTGTACCAGGAACAGCCTTTTCAATCATTAGATTAGTGTTACAGATTGGTTTTCCCATGACAATTGGGTTACAAAAAGGACAAATTCATTAGAGTAAAATTTTTATTACTCTTTTGAAGCCAATATTTCTAGTGCTTAAAAAATTATTATACTGTGTTTTTATGCTAGTCATAAAGGACAAATTTATTTTCTACTGCTAGTGCAAGTTTTCCAATCCTTAGACTAGTGCTACAAATTGGGTTTTCTAGTGAAAATTCGGTTATTTCTGAAGGATGAATACATCTGATGTCTGCTAAACTTGAATTTTCAGAGTGTTGAAAATGAAATCTTGCTGTGGGAATCGATCACAAAAGAAGAAAACCCTGGCGAGGTAATATAATTTAATTTATCTCTAGAATTACAAAATCTTACTCGTCTACTTATATCCAAACTAATCTGGCTATGTTTATTTTCTTAAAGAAACCATGTTACTTTCTTTCTCCATGTCCCTATACATACTACAATACATACTATGTCTTCCTCTAAGGAAAATGGTTCTTTTGATTTGTAGGGTCACATTGATGTTCTTCAGAAGTACCCTGTGCCAGAATGTAACATCTGGTTCATGAAATTCTCATGTGATTTTCACCACAATCAGTTGGCAATAGGTAATAACTAATGTTGCACTGTTCTCTCAAGAATCATTTTTTTTGTAAGGCTTGACGAATCATTTTGTTGTTATCGTTCTAAATTATTACACAATATACCTTTTTCTTGGAAGACAATGAATATGCTAGTATTTCTTTAGATAATGGATATGCAATATTGATTTTGATATTCTTTAAAACAAAATGTGAAGTGCTGAAGGATAACCATGTGCTTATTCAAACAGGAAACCGTGATGGTAAAGTCTATGTCTGGAAAGTACAGACCAGCCCTCCTGTTCTAATTGCTCGGTAATGTTAACCTCAAGAACTCAACTTATTAAGTTTCATCGTCTGCATTTAATTTGGTATATAGGTGTTGCCTGTTGGGTGTTAATTTCTACCAATTCTCATGTCTTCTACATGTGTGCTTATCATCATCATGATCATCTACAGGCTCAATAATCCACAAGTGAAATCAGCCATAAGGCAGACTGCAGTGTCCTTTGATGGAAGGTACATTACTACATTCATCCTGTTCATACTATAAATTTATCCCTGCTTATTCATTCTGATGGAGCTAGCCTATCATTTGCACTGTGTTTATGCTTCTGTTTTATTTTTTATTTTTGTTGTTTGTTTTCTTCTTGGAAGATTAAAAAAATGTTTTATTGTGTTTCCATTTTCTTCAGCACAATCCTTGCCTGCACAGAGGATGGCAACATATGGCGTTGGGATGAAGTGGATCACCCAACCGCCCCAGTCCCAAGCAAGAAACAAAAGTGAAGCAAGGATTATATTAATTGAAATTAATAAGGCTGAATTGGCGATTTGTTCTTGGTATACTTTGTTATACTACTTTGCCTTAGCGTTCATCAAAACTGCCATTTGATTTTCCAACATTCAGAAAACTCTATAGCTGGATGTAAGATTTATTATCGCAAGATATTCAGGATGTTGGTCGGTGACTTGGTTTTATCAATAATTTGCTGGGAATATAGTACTTAATCTCATAATTTGTTTCTCTGTGAAATCGTCGTAAAAAAGTGTTTATCATTTTTTCAATGTTAAGCACGGGTGATTTGGTGTTGGAGTCATGCATGATTCCACCACTATGATTTAAATCCTAGTGTCCAAAAATATCAAAAAAATCCTAGTGTTCAAAAATATCAAACACATGTGTTGTGCTATCAATAAAAAAAATTATTAGTGAGATTAGGGATTTGTTGTTGGCTTAGTCTCTTTGAGTCACGGGTGTGCATTTCCCTTATGGAGTAATAAAAAAAAGAATTGTTTATCCTGCATTCTCGTTAACACTCTAAAGCACCAGCAAAGCATGCCTACATTTTAATTACCTGATGCCTTGTACGTTTTATTGGTAATTAATTTATTCCAAATGTCCAAAATAAACGATTCATCATCAGTCCAAATCATTTTATCGTAATTAATTATAAGCTTCTGAACATGAAGCCACTGCAATTAATTAGATTTAAGCTGACCTCCGGTTCTGTAAAGAGTCGTATGAGGAAGACCAAGACCAGCCATGGAAAATGTAGACGGTGACGGCAGCGATGGGGGATGTGGTTGCCGTTTGGCGCCAAAACGATGGCGTTTTCATGGCCGTCGGCTTCTTCCTCGCGCCATTTTCATGGTGACTTGAAGGAGACGTATTGTTTGAACAGCCAAAGCATATATACGTGTGCAAAAAAGAGAGAAAAAAAATTATGAAAAGCAACTAGATTCACATGATACTTTGTTTCTCTCTTCTTTTTTTTTTCTTTTGAGGGACACTGGACACATGATGCTTTATTGGTAAAAGATGATACACAAGGGAATACACTGCTGAAGCACGGCAGCGATCACAGTTCACATGGGAACTCTTTGTCTTTTTTCTTTTTTGAGATTTGACTAATTTTCGTGGAGTCTACTACTCTACTCCCTCTGTTTTCAAATAGCTATCGGCGGTATCTATTGTTATTTCAAATTGTCCACTAATAAACTCTTAATAATAGTTAGGCTATGGTGAATAGAAGTTTTGTGGTTATGTTTAGTATACATTTCACTTTGATAATATATATCGTTTTTCTTAAGAACTAGTAAATATCTTTTAAGAAAAAAGAGGTCAAATTATTAAAAATATAGGGAATACTATGTTAAGGTTTATGCTTTTCCTGATCATCTAGTTTAAAATACAAGTCATCTATAAAAAAAATGTACAAGAATTAAAGAAATTGTTGAATGACTACATTACATTTTTTAACGAGGAACATCATTATCCTTTTTACTCAAACTTAGATCCCTAAAATTACTTAGACTCATTTGATACAGATACAGAGGATTGAAATCCTACATAAAACAATCCTGTTAGGTCATTTGGATAAATGATTAACCTCCTTAAAATCCTTTGGCTCATTTAATGGTAATTTTGGAGGAAAACAAACATGCGATCTAGCCTCATATATTATGTTTTTGTGAGACACTTTTTGGTACTATGTATTGGTTCTACTATGATGTATTGTACCCTATTTGTTTTCTAAGGTCCTAATGGCCTAATATAATCGTATTATAGATATATAGAATGGTTAAATGGTTATTGTCTATGTGATATGTAAGATTGTTGCTTCGACTTGATATCCGAATAAATATTTGTAACCGATAGTGTACGTATCCATTTTGGTACGTATTTGTTCCATATTTTTTCCCGCCATTATCCAAGTTTGTATCCGTATTCGGCACTATCCGTGTTCGACCCGATTTCGATTATAAAATATGGGTTAGGATATGGGAAGGGTGATATCCAACCGAACCCGACCCGTTTTCACCCTACCGCACACGCCGCTCGCATGAGTCCAGTGCTTGCATATTGGGCCTACCTTTTCAACTGGGTCAATTAATACCCAATAAATAGAAGAAATAAGTTCACTTTACATCCCAAATCGAACGCCCATCTCCCAACTCACAATACTCCTTCGACAGTATAGCGGCCAGTTTTGGCTAACATGGTGAGTGAGAGCCATGTGTCAACGTCCAACTCTTTTGCCACATCACAATCGGCGACTGCAAGGCGGGGGAGGTCGTGCCCCGCTCATCACTGCGCGTGCACCGCGGACGCCAGCCGCACAGGATCTTCGCCTAAAAGTGATCAGTGCCGTCGCCAAGAGATACAAACCACTGCACGCCTACATCACACACTCGCCATGAGGGACACCACCGCCCGCACCTTCGATCGATCACTCGTGGTTGCACTGTTTTCGGGCGAAGATGCTCACCTGCCTCTTCTGTAACACCCCAGGTTTACTTACCTAGAATGCTACACACTACGGTACAGAAACCACCAAGTCCTAAATTCATTAAGAATTTCGACAGAGTCTCACATGTAAATTCGGACATCCACAACAGGTAATTGAAGTTAAACTAATAATAATATCATTCCCACGGAGCGATCCATCCTTATAATCCAAACTATTAACTCGGTAGGTAAGTGAATACCTGGGGTGTTACATCTACGACTATGATGTCGTCGACAACACCGATGACCTGGCCACGCACGACATCCCTAGGGCGCGGACCCCCTTGGCTCCTAAAGGCGTAGGGCCGGCAATTGTCACACCTCAATCTGATACCGCCGTACAACGGCACCTGACAGGAGCGTGTCGTAGGGAAAACGGCGCGAACAGCTTCCTACGAAACCGCGATCTCGGTACCAGTCCCAGGACATAGTGCTGGTACCCACGGTGACAAATATGAATCATAGCAATCCTTAAAATAAATAGAGGACTTATTTACCTTAACTTAGGTTGCAGCTCAGACAGCCCGAGAATACAACCGACGACGCGGACGAGGAAACACCAACAGCAGCAGCAGCAGCGGAACCAACGGTCTAACACCCAACACCACAGGCGACGGCTGGGAACCAGGACGAAACCCTAATCTTCACTTCACTTTATCTTCTCTTCAGGGTGGAGGAACTATATATATATATATATATATATATATATATATATATATATATATATATATATATATATATATAGCAAGGGTGAGTACTTTCGTACTCAGCAAGTCACGGGAATTTAGGTGTTTAATGCAAGCTTGGAAGAGAGGCAAGGTTGTTTTGCAAATCTTTTGTTTGAAATCATTTTGAAATCACTAAGTGATTTATTTCTTTTTAAGTTTGGGCCGAAAAGAGACTTGCGTCTCGATTCGACTTTAAGAGATGTTTTTCAACAGCTCATTTGGTAATGTACTGACCTCCCGGGTCAGATCATTACTTCTCGGCTCCCAGAGCCATTCCACTTGATTAATCGGCTCCCAGAGCCTTTTTCATTTTCTCGGACTCCCAGAGTCCAGCTGCCCAGCAGCAAAGCAATCCGCTTCCACTCGGGAAGCCTAGTCTATGATGCCCACAGACATCCCGAATCACACAGATTCGTTTCTGACCACTCAGGTCATCCATCTGCCACATAGGCTGATTCTGGTTACGATTCCCACACCACAACAACTTTTCACAAAGCACAGGCAAACAAATCTACGCAACGGGAACCACCTCACATCCGCCCATGACCGTGGGCACGGCTGTTCGAACAGTTAGTTAACCTCTGCAGAGGGGTACACTTTACCCACAAGACACGAACTTACTCCAGACACTGGCCGGTGTCAGAGGTTCGCGACAAAGCCTTTCCCAAGCCGACCCAGGGATACCTCATGCCACATAGAAGGATCAAATCCTCACATAAACATAGGCCATTTTAGGCGTTCACAAATCAAACTCCAACCACCTCGATCGGTAATTCAGCAAGCTTCTCGTTCTTGCATTACCAGGAACCTGGTTTGGCTCCAACCGACCCCGCCCTGGCGTTCCCAACTATTGGCATGCGAGGTTTCCCTGAACCGACTAGTTACTTAGCCAGGGTGTCCCATTCCACCTTGTGGTTGCACTTTGATTATGTTCGATGAGTTTCCCACAGGAATCGGTCCTTATATGTGAATACGGGACAGTGCCACATAGGCACAACCCCCGCATCGCGAGTTTTCACAATTCATTTTATTTTCAAACACACCGACACCACATGTCGGGTTTTGAAGGCTTCACAAACCCATTTCCCAAGTTTTCGACAAACAACGGTGTATGTGGGTTATTTGGTATACGCGCTCAGAGAGCACGAATACCGAGGTACCACAAGGGTGGAGAGACAAGGAATCAGGGTAGTACGACCTACGGAAATTAGTGCGACTACTGGGTAGGTCCGTCGGTTTGGCACGCAAACCGAGGCCAAGCAAGTTAAGTGTGTGATTCTAATAATGCAAGTTGCAAACAAAATAATAATGACTTTTCAATTATAGGGGCAATTGATCAAGGGTGACTTGCCTTGCTCAAGGTCTTCACAAAGCTTCACGAATCTTCGAGAAAACCCGCGATCGACGAAAATCCGATAACCGCAACTATACGCAAACAATCGAAAACCTAAACAAAAGACCAAAAGAAAGATCCTATTTAGACTAATTAGTAGTGCCATTAAATAGATCTCAATTTTATGTGAATACTGGAAGTTGAACGGAGTCAATCGGACGAGCGGTTGGGGAGATATGGATTTCCTAAGATTATTTGGATTTTCTGTCTAAAGGAAAAGGATTTATCAAATCCTTTGGAAAAGAAAAGGAAGGAGGGATGTCATTTAGACTTACTCGGGCGGCTTAGGCGCGGCCCAAGGGGTCATGCGCAGCGCGGTCAGGCCATTGGCCAGCGCGGGCGCGGGTGGTCGGCCCATTAGGGGCGCGCGGCAGGGGGAGGCCGACCGGTGGATCGGGTGCACCTCGCGGGGTCCCGGGTGGGGCCCGCTTGTCGGTGACTGGGTTCACTGAGGGAAGGGCTCACGGGAAGGGCAGCGATAGGGTTTGGTGGACGTGGTTTGGGCGCGTGCGCCGGGTGGAGCGAGGCGCGATGGGCCCACGTGCAGCCGCATGGCTCATCGTGGTCTGCGCGCGCACGTAGGGGGAAGCGAGGCTGGCCGGTTTGACTCGGTCTAGCCGAGTTGGCACCGGTGTGGCGCCTACGCAGCGGCCACGCGGGCCGGCGAGAGGAGGAAGAAAGGGGGCGCGGCCGAATGGACGGCGGACGGCGGCCGAGTTCACCGGAGGTTGTCGCGACGATTCGAGAGGGAGGGAGCACACCGGAATAATGAGACGGAGGAGATAGAGTGCGCCACCGGCTCGGATTCACGGAAGGGAGACCGGCGACGACGAATCGCGGCAGCCCTCGCCGGAGGTGAGAAAAGGGGCAAACGGTAGAGGGGCGACGAGGATTCAATTCGAGGCGGTGGAAGCATCTCCGGGGTTCAAGGAGTCCGTTTCCGGCGTCGGATGGGGCGGAAGAGCACCAAGGAGGGCTGGTGACGAGCGGCGGCCTCCGGGAGCGGGCGGCAACGGCGGTGAGGCCATGCCGGGCGGCGGCGGGTCTAGGGGCGGCGTCTACGCGTGTTCGGGAGTGCCACCGAGCTATCGCGCAGACTAGAGGGGGCGAGGGAGAGCGAGGAAGGGGAACGGGAGGAGGCACTACCGAGCTAGGCGGGCAGTGATGGGCGGTCGACGGCGCGGGGCGAGTTCTTCGGCCTTGGGCCGGGGAAGGGGAAGAAGAAGGGTGGCCGGAGTCCTCTTCGGCTCCTCGCGCACACGCCGGCTTCACCAGCACGCGCGACGGCGAAGGGAGGCGAGGTCGGCAGCTGCAAGGCGGCAACAAAGGCGCGGCGGCGGTGGAAGAGAGATGCCGAGAGAGAATGAGATAGGGAGGCTCGGCCTAGGCTTTATAGATGGAAAAGAGGCGGTTTGGGAGGGGGAACTGACATAGGCGGTCAAGGGTGCAAGGACGACGAGCTGGTGTGGTCAAGGTGGTGGCAGGCGGTGACGCCGATGGTGGTCGGGCAAAAGGAAAAAGGTGGAGAAGAAAGGGAGCTCTGCTCCTTGCTGTTTCGGGATAAAGGAAAGGGAGAGGGAGCGAGGCCGAGGGCTCTGTCTCCCTCCCTTGGACGCATGCGCACAGGCGGGGCTGGGCGACGCGCGGTCACGGGCGGCGTCAGGGCTGACGCGGCGGCGACCGAGCGGCTCGGCGTCAGGGCTGACGCGGCGGCGACCGAGCGGCTGGCCTCGAGCGAGCGCGCGCGCGCGGGAACGAGCGGCACGGCCGAAAATCGAATGGCGGCAGCGGGAAAAATCGGCGATGGCGGCAGCGCTGGCGTGGGAGAGAGAGAGAGAAACATAGAGAGAGAGAGGAAGAAGACGAGAGAGCGAGAGAACTGAGAGAGCGAGCGACGGCTCTCTCTCGGCTCGCATGCGTGCAACGCACGTGCGAGGTGGGGGGAGAAGATGATGGGCTGGGAGGGGAGATGGGCCGGGGGAGGAAAATCGGTCCATCCAAAAATACAGGGAGGTAAAGTAGACCTTTTTTTAAGGAGATAGATTTGGAGAGAATTTGAATTTGGGGGAAGGAATTCAAAATAGGAATTTGGTTATTTTTGGAGTCAGGGCGAATATTTGGCAAGGATTCAAAGAGAGGGATTGAATTTCGGAATTTGATTTGGAGATTTGAGTCGAAGGAGGAATTTTCGAGGTGGAGGATTTTGATTTCGATGAGAGGGAACAACGGGATTAAATTGAGATCCTTGGCACAACTTAGACTCTCACACAAAGAACGAAAATTTTCACAATTAGGATTTTGCCGAATTAGTTTTTAACGCCTCACGAAAAGCGGAGCGTTACAGCAATCCACCGGATTTGGGTGCCAGACAGCAGTTGCGGCAATTCACATGGGAACACAAATGCTGAAGCACGGTAGCGATCACAATTCACCCGGGAACTCTTTTCTTTTAGAGATTTGACTAACTTTCATGGAGTCTACTACTCTACTCCCTCTATTTTCAAATAGCTATTGACTGTATCTAGTACTATTTCAAATTGTCAACGAATAAGTCTTAATAATAGTCAGGCTATAAGTTTTGTGCTTATGTTTAGTATAAAATTCACTTTGGTAATATGGTACTTTTTTTTAAGAACTTGTAACTATTTTTAAGAAAAAAGAGGTCTTTTTTTTAAAAAAATATAGGGAATACTATGTTAAGATTTATGGTTTATCTGATCATCTGGTTTTAAAAAGAAAGCCATTTATAAAAACTGTACAAGAATTAAAGAGATTGTTAAAATGACTTTATTACATTATTTAATAACGGACATCATTGTCTTTTTTACTCAAACTTAGACCCTAAAATTACTTAGGGATTCATTAAAATAAAAGAAAAATGGAGCAAATATAGAGGATTGAAATCCTACATAAAACAATCATATTACTTCACCTAGTCTTCGATAAGTAAAACGTTTAAGGTCATTGGGACAAATGACCGGTCTCCTTACAATCCTTTAGAACTTGGAGGAAAAAAGATCTAGACTCATTTTTCTGGTTTGAATCCGTATGTTTTTTTGTTACGTGTTGTTAAACAATTTTTGTTGTAAATTCCTATATATTCATTTCCTCCAGAATTCAAGAAGACATGAAATCATATTATCGAATCCTACGTTGCAAAGGAGACATATATTTAGGAAGGGAGGCAATCTAAATTGTTTTAGATTTGTGCACAAGAACAAAAGAGATTGTTAAATGACTTTATTACCCTCTTTTAAAACTACTAATGTATGGTTTGATTAGAAGCTGAGACGGTTGGTTTTCTTCCCAACCTCACTCCAAAAAGTCCAAATACACATTCCCACGCTCAACCTCAACCCCCGCCTCCGCTCGCCGCGGCGCGCCATGGCGCCGACGCCGCCGTCTCGCCCGCGCCTCCCTCTCCGCCCACTCCTCCTCTCCCTCCCTCTCCTCTCGCTCCTCCTCCTCCTCCTCATCCACCGTCCCCACCCCTCCCCGCCGCCTCCCCTCCTCGCCACCGCCACCGCCACGCGGCGCGACGACGAGCCGGCGCCGCGGCGAGCGGCGTCGTCTTTGGCGCCCAAGGCGACGACGACGACGACGCTGGCGCACGTGGTGTTCGGCATCGCCTCCTCCCGCCGCACGCTGCCGCTCCGCCTCCCGCTGCTCCGCCTCTGGCTCCGCCCGCCCGCGCGCGCGTTCCTCTTCCTCGACGGCCCGGCGCCGGCCGCCGCCGCCGCGTCCGAGCCATTGCCGCCCAACCTCCGCTTCTGCGTCTCCTCCACCGACGCCTCCCGCTTCCCGTACACGCACCCGCGCGGGCTCCCCTCCGCCGTCCGCGTCGCGCGCATCGCCAAGGAGCTCCTGCAGCTCGACGACCACCACCACGCGACGCCGCCCCCGCCGCGGTGGCTCGTGCTCGCCGACGACGACACCGCGTTCGTCCTCCCGAACCTCCTGCACACGCTCTCCAGGTACGACTGGCGCGAGCCGTGGTACCTCGGCGCGCGCTCCGAGTCCGCGGCGCAGAACGCCTGGCACGGCTTCGCCATGGCCTACGGCGGCGGCGGCATCGCCGTGAGCTGGCCGCTCGCCGCGCGCCTCGCCCGCGTCCTCGACTCCTGCCTCCTCAGGTACCCGCATCTCTACGGCAGCGACGCCAGGATCCACGCCTGCCTCGCCGAGCTCGGCGTCGAGCTCACCCACGAGCCAGGATTCCACCAGGTAACCTTTGCTTCTTATTGTTTACATTTTCTCATCAACATGCTACTGCCCTAATGGAATGTTAGGTTAGATTGCTGATTGCTCATTAATTCAATTGTGTTGATAGATAGAATGATAGATAGATAGATACTGGTGGATTGATAAAGAATGAACTTTTTAAAATCAAAATTTGGTACTCTTGACACCTGACTGGTGAGTAGAGCAGGAATTGTCTCAGGATATATCTGACCATATTTGATAATTGTATTTTGTGCCGCGTAACCACCATCACGGGCGGTTTGTATAACAATGATTGTATTACTGTAATAATTAAATCATTATGTAGTACAACCATGTTGTTCCTCACAAAAAAAAAATTGTTGTAATCTATTCAGCCTTGCTTAGTCACACCGTAGTTCAGAGGCATAGCTAGTCTTTGATATTAAGTTATCAGTTATGGAAGAGAATCGTTGGGTGAAATTTTGGATTGTATCAGGTCAAAAGAAAAAAAAATAGTATTGAGCTTGCAAAATCATTGCCTAGTATGAAGGGATTATGTTGTTAATGGTAGAAAATCTTAAGCTGTCAGCACTCTAAACTTTTTTTTTTTTTGCTTCCACTATAAATTTTTAGTGTACATTGTTGTCTGCAATTCTGCATACATTTGTGCCGTACATTAGACTTTTCAAGAAAAAGCTTATCCTTTAGAATGCTCTCAAGGAATGCAGAACCACACCACACCAATCCTGTAGAATGTTGCTAAGTTGTGTACACATGGAACCATACTGATTACAGAACATAAGCGATGGGTACTGGCTAACAACTACAACTACGAATTGCGGAACCAATACGAAATCTTTGCTACTGCCCACTGGATTTAGTGATCCATGCTTGTGCATCGACTGATTTTGATGTGAGGGCACTTGAAAGTGGGTGCTTTGGTCCGCATGCCACACATCCCTTTCAGATTATCTTAAGCTTCGCCATCACTATCTTAATGCTGTCAAAATGGGCATCTTCCAAGATAATGATGTTGTCAACTAGAACTGTTGGCTGTTGCTGAAATAAGTAGTGCAGTGGGTCGCTGTCTGACAGTTAAATATGGCAGCAGAAAATATTTCCTTTTGCTCCACCTATGTGTTTCACTTACTGAATTGTATGACTTACACTATATAAACTGCAAGGTATTGCTTTCTTCCTCATTTTCAGCCACTGAAAACTATGAGATGTCTTCTTCTTGACGACTCTTTAGACGCGAAACATTCCCATGGCTTTACTTAATATTATGCAACAAAAAAAATCTTGATTCTTAACTTGTGTGTTGTGTTGCATTTGTTATATCCAGATCGACCTTCATGGGGACATATCTGGACTCCTAAGAGCGCATCCGCTTACTCCTTTAGTTTCACTGCACCACCTTGATCATGTATATCCTCTTTACCCGGGTATGGACCGTGCAACAGCGGTGAAGCATTTCTTCAGAGCTGCCAATGCTGATCCAGCAAGGATCCTTCAGCAGACAGTGTGCTATGACCATTCGAAAGCAATTACAGTGTCAATAGCTTGGGGGTATTCAGTTCAGGTGTACAAAGGCAATGTGCTGCTTCCTGACCTCCTTGCTGTGCAGAAAACGTTTGTGCCGTGGAAAAGGGGTCGCAATGCTACTGATGTTTTTATGTTTGATACCAAGCATTACCCGAGGGATGAGTGCAAAAGAGCTGCTCTTTTCTTCCTCAAAAGTATTTCTTCAGGTGAAGGCAAGATCAAAAGCGATTACACTAGGCAGCTGCCTAGAAAATGCTCACCTAACTTGATTCCATTGAGGAATCTTCACCAAATAAAAGTGGCATCTGAGCCATTACATCTGGTTCCTGGGAAGGTATGGCTATGATGGTTGCCTTCATCAATTGTGACACAAATTTCAGTGCTCGAATTAAGATTTTGTGATTGTTCTTTTACTGTTGTGTGTTTTTAGGCTTTAAGACGGCATTGCTGTGATGTTGTGTCTTCCTCATCTGAAACCAACATGGATGTTAACATCAGGAAATGCAAAGAAGACGAACTGATTGCGATGCATTCTTAGTCACATCTTCAATCGAACTGGATGCAATGCTCTTCCTCTGTAGTAAGTTCCTCCTCACATCCCTTTGTATTTTCACAGAATTTTCCTGGACACACGCCTCAATGTTTTATCACATGAAACATGCGTTTCCATTTTATTTTGGGTCCCACCAGGTCTGACATAACTTTTCTCGTAGCAATTTATAATTTTCGTATGATCTTTGCAGTAATTCCATTGTACTAGCTTCCTAGTACAGAAAGTGACAAGACAAGTTAAGCAGACTAGCATTGTAATAGATTCTCCATGAAGTCTCACATTCTGCCGTTTACTTTGGTCAACTGGAATCTCCTTTACAAAGGAGTGGAGGCACCATAATCTGTTTGTGCTATACAATGACCTTTTTAGCTTGAAGAAAAATGCATAGTGGACTTGAGTGCGGCCCTCCTTTTGGTGATCAAGACGACTTCTGGTGACAGTAGTACTACTGAAACTAGAACAGCATGGATACATAGATAGATACTTCCTCCGTTTCACAATGTAAGTCATTCTAGCATTTCCCAGATTTATATTGATGCTAATGAATCTAGACATATATATTTATCTAGATTCATTAGCATCAATATGAATGTGGAAAATGCTAAAATGACTTATATTATGAAACGGAGGAAGTAGTTGAGATGTTGAACAACACACTTCATTATTATTATTTTTTAACTTTACCTAGCAAATGCTCATATTTATATATGATATTTTACCTTGAGCACTTTTTGTTGTGGAACTTTGAGTGTACATTGGGACTGTCTGTACATCTCAATATCTCATACAGCAGGAGAAATAATTTCAGGTCCTGCTTAGGATTACATTGCAATCCTGTTCTGTTGAACTGCTTCTGATATGCATGGTTTTTGGGCCTCCATCCTGGCCCATCCGTATGTATGGGCCGGTTTTTTGACCTTGGATGTGGCAGGATTTCGGCCTATCCAAAGAAGGGACGTTTGTTGGATTGGGCCTCTTCTGAAGTGTCAATGTAATCTTATGCTGGCTAAACTTGGCTGGTTCTTGGTCTATGTTGGGCCCTTTTGGCTGTGTTTCTTTTGAATATTTTTTTAGATTCTATTCATCGTTTGCCGCGCGCCTGCCTTCTAAACTGTTAAATGTGTGTTTTTAAAAAAAATATAGAAAAATTTCTTTAGAAAATATATTAATCTACTGGGGCAATTGAAATCTAGATTATTTGTAAGATTTTTAGCTAATATTTAATTAATCATGCGCTGATGCATCGCTCTTATTTATGTGGCGGTACGGTGGTTCACATTACCATACCAACTGTAGTCTTCACACATATAAGACCCTTAGGTTCAACATACTCGGCCTGCTCCAAATAAGAGTCATATATTTATAATAATGGTAATCCAAACGAACTCAGCCTTAGGTTCACGTTACCATAAGCCCCAAGTATGGTAATGTGAACGGTCAATCAACTTGCTCCAATTAAGATAGTCATCTTTGTAGTATTCATACATATAAGACTTAAATAAAAAGATAAACTAAATGGTTGATCGGAACCTGAGTAGTAATTTCAATACTCCCTCCATTTTAAAATATAAATATTTTTAAAATAGTGCCAAGTCAAATATTTTTAACTTTGACTATTAATAGAAAAAATAAAAAGATCAATCATGTAAAATTAATGTTGCTAGATTTATCATTAAACAAACTATCATAATATGTAACTCTTTTAAAGTAACAATATCTTGAAAACTGTGTCGAAGTCTAAAATGCTTATGTTTTGGGTCGGTATAATTACAATATAAGTATACTTTAATCAGTAATAATATCTAAAAGGTTCTAAACTAGTAATAAAATTGTTGTATAGCTACTTTCTTCGATATTTGTCATGTAAACAGTGATGATTATGTCGTGTTATCCAGCAGACAAGATACTTTTCATATAGCTAGGCAAGTAGGCATGAACACTTGCGCTAGTAGGCGATGCAGAGTGGCTAACTTTGTCCTTCCAATTGACAAATGCAGCCGCATGTGGCCCATCAAATTTGGTACTAGTACTAATCTCTGTGTACCTAACGCAAACTTTTGCTGTTCGACCAGTTGACCTAATGGTCTGTTCATCCATTGGTGTCTAATGTGTCTCCATTCAACTATTCATGGCAATGTCTCCAACATTTATATATCGGCAGTTGAGCTCTCTTTTCCCATCAAGTACATGTACGTACATGCCGCCATGTATTTTGGAATAATGGATAAAATTTAATGGAGCCTAAGGTTAACTACACTCACAATCAATGTTTATCTCAGTCTATAACATGTTTTAAATTTGTGTCTCGAATATAATAGTACAGTTTAGTCCTCCCCATATGATATGTGTGTTTGCAGATTTTTTTTTCCCAATTTGCTTAGTACCATTAAAAAATTACGGAGTTAAAAAATACGGTTGTATGTACCATTGATACGTACGTAGGTCTAGGTTCCACATGTCATTCTTGATGGTATTTTATAACTTATATATATCTTTCTGATGGTATTTTCCAAATTCTCTCTCTTTTTTTTTTGCCAGAACGGTAAAGTGACGCTGGCCAAGATATATTAAGATGTGTTTGTGAGTTTTCTGAAATCAAGATCTCCTCATCTACCAACCATATACTGTGCCGGGACCAACATATAGTACAAGCTAGAGATTATTATTGAGTCCTTATCGGTTCATCAGAGTGTGCTCATCCGAGTGTGCTTTTCAGATCATAGATAGCCTTTGGTGACAAACAGTTTTAGCTAATATTCCTTCCGTTATACGATATCATGTTTTGGGTTTGTCGATTGTCAAATTTATTTAAGTTTTGCTATGTTTATAGATAACGTAGTAACATCTAACTTCAAATTACTTTCATTAATAAAGCCACTGTTTGTATATAATTTTATAGCATATATCCATTTTGTGTTTGAAATATTACTATGTTTTTTAATATAAATTAATTAGTTAAACTTGAAGAAGTTTAGTTTAGAACAAACCTAACACGTGATATGAAACGGTGGAAGTATACCCTGTACTTGTAACTCTATCGTGAAGAATAATACATGTCGCAACTATAAATATATATCTTCCGAAGCAGTAAAACTTGTACTCCTAAAAGTGCTCTCAATCTAAGGCTATCCATAATGTAATGGAAAAGTAGGAAATAATAGGCATTAAGACATCCTTACTACTGCATTGTGAAAGTGGTAAATAGCTAGTGCCAAGTCATAGGCTTATTATTAGGATATAAGCAATTTAAGTTGAGTCTCACCTTGTTTATTTTATTGTGGCAATTCTCATGTTAGACATAGGTTGAACTTTTTTTTTAAAAGATGGGCCCACCTTATTTTCCACTCTACACATGCATATGGATTGAAATCCTCTAACGTAACTTTCCTCTGACGTGGTGACTAACATATGGGGTCCGAGAGTGATGAAGTGAATAGTAACGTCACGATGAATGGTAACATCAAAGGATTTGCTTCTCATGGGCACATCGTGGTCTTTCCAACCTGCTAACGCCACTTGACACGGTTCACCTTACTGCCTAGTTGGATCGTAAACATTGAGGATGCCCGAAAGGGGTGAGATAAAGCAGTAAAACGACAAAGATATTTTCATCAAAATTAATTAAAACCAGCAGATACTTGTGCAGATCTGAACACGGCGATCTCTTTCTGACTCTTCATCCTTGTGACAGGAACAAGCAGCTAATTAAGCTAGCGTCGTACTCCACAGTAGTGGTAGTTAACAGCCGGTCTGAACACATAGGCAAGAATTCAACGACCCGGCCCAGCAATAGCAGCTTATTGATGCACCGAATTAAGCAACAATTATATATATCTGGATCCAACAATAATTCATCCGATCAACTAATTACTAATATTGCGGGCCATCCGATCCTGACCGTTGAATCGGGCGATCCGATGGTCAGGATTCAGTCCAGGGTGATGATGATGATGATGATCCTGATCCTGATCTTCCTCCTCGATCGACATCTTCCCGACATTGTCAACATCTCTTTCGATCGGTCGATCTGTAGCTGCTCCTGCTGTTACGCTTGCTAGCTACTCCCTCCGTTTCTAAACGTTTGACACCGTTGATTTTTTTAAGTACATGTTTAACCGTTCGTCTTATTTAAAAAAATTATGAAATATATAAAACTATATGTATAAATGAAAGTATATTTAACAATGAATCAAATGATAGGAAAAGAATTAATAATTATTTAATTTTTTGAATAAGACGAATGGTCAAACATGTTTTAAAAGTTAATGGTGTTAAATATTTAGAAACGGATAGAGTATATATCATCAACCCCCAGTACCATTAATGGAGGACCACTAGCTAGCTGGGTCTTACATTGCATGCAGCAGCAGCTTGCTAGGCCATTCGATCGATCGATCGATCATATATATATATGGATGAGCTACCTACACTGATATGATCCACCACAATTAATGTGCTCGAGACGACGCAGCAACAACCGCCGCGCCATTGATGACTAATTGAGATCGATCGATAGATAGTATAAGAGATCGACCACGAGCTCTCGATCAGCCTAGCTATAGCTATAGATAGATATACAATCTCTCTCTCTCTCTCTCTCTCTCTCTCTCTCTCTCTGATTGTTCTCTTCTGCTTGCCTCTTCCATGGAGTGGGCTCGAGGTCCAGCCATGGCGGCAGCGGCAGCGGCAGCGGTGGTGATGGTCGCCGCCGTTCTGGCCGGCCAGGCGATGGCCGCCGGCGCGACGACGTACACGGTGGGCGCGCCGGATGGGCTGTGGGACATGGAGACCGACTACAAAGAGTGGGTCGCTCGCCGGACATTCCACCCCGGCGACAAGCTCAGTCAGTAATCCAAATCCAAATCGAGTTTTAGTTATCTCTGTTTTCTTGGGTTTTCTTTTGTACTTTTTAACCATTTGAATTTTTAATTTCAAAAATAAACCATTCTAAATCTATTTCCAGAATCTGAACATTTTTGGCACACCAAACCCACCAGACTTGACAAAATAACGTCAACACGCCAGCCGTAGCCGGCGTCATAGTTTAGTTTTGTACTATCATACCAACCATATCGATCGGAGTGGGCAAATAATAGCACTGCCACGCTAGTTAGACCTGCGTCGGTGTTGTCTTGGTAAAAGCTTCAAATCTTAATTACATATAAGTTTTGGAAGAGTTTAATTATTTTTTAAATTGAAGATTAAAAATGTTCTAAAAATTAAAACAAATTCTTGCGATGAGCTTAATCCTGTTCTTGATTTGGATCAATGCAAGTGCAGCGTTCACGTACTCGCGTGAGCTGCACGACGTGGTGGAGGTGACGAAGGCGGGGTACGACGCCTGCTCCAACGCCAACAACATCTCCGCCTTCCGCTCCGGCAACGACCTCGTCGCCCTCACCGCCGTCGGCACCCGCTACTTCCTCTGCGGCCTCACCGGCCACTGCGGCAGCGGCATGAAGATCCGCATCGACGTCGTCGCCGCCGCCTCCTCCGGCCCCGCAGCCGCCGCCGCGCCGCTGCCGTCGACGTCGTCCGTGACCGCCGCCGTCGCCGGAAGCCGCCTAGTCCTCGTGCTCTTGTATGCTCTTCTGCCATTGTGGTAGCATTAATTAATTAGTCTCTTGTGTGTATATTTTTGTAATTGTAAGTTTAAGTACACGTATATGCTTTGATTTAGTTAATATTTTGTACTTCTGGTTTTAATTTGTGGTTATTGATCGGATTTTAGATATGCATGCATGCCTTAATTTGGTTTCATTTGACTGAGGTTTGTGTTACGACTTGCATGGAGAGAGAAATGATTGTTCTCTTCTACAAAGCTAGGATTTTTTTTTCAAGGATTTTTATGAAGTTCAATTGTTCAAGGATTTTTTTTGAAGTTCGACTGGTCAATTTTTTCAAGGATTTTTATGAAGTTCAGAATTGCTCTCAAACTAACCATAACGTATTACAATATGCAAGATGCATGAAGCTCATTCATATATGGTCTATTTGATGACGTTCTAATTAACGTACCTTTCTGGTTTTTAATACATGATGTTATTCACTTTTAAACATATGTTCAACTATTTGTCTTACTAAAAATTTACAAACAACACTACACTGGCCAAGGTCACCTGTGACGGGCCCAAACCCTCATCTTTGACGGCTTCGCGCATGGTCAGTGATCAGTGGTCACTGGTGAGTCCAGTCACCTTTGACGGGTGGCCGGCCGTCACAGGTGACACCCACCTCTGACGGGCAAGTTACTAGAAGGCCGTCAGAGGTGTTGGTCTCCGCTAGCCTTGAGCGAGTTAGGACCCGTCACAGGTGACTCATCTCTGACGGCCCTTTAAATAAAGGCCGTCAGAGGTTGAGGTCTCCGTAGTTAGAAGCTGTCACAGGTGATCTACCTGTGACGGCCCCAAAAGTAAAGGCCCGTCACAGGTAGGTCACCTCTGACGGGCCTTTATTTGCTAGTCCGTCACAGGTTATGTTACCTTTGACGGATTTTTGTTCCGACCCGTCACTGATGAGTTAATTCCAGAAAAAAAATAAATGCTAAATATTGGCTAGCCTCAGGATTTGCTAGCCATGCCCTCTGAAAAATAGAAACATCACAGATATATTCCAGTCACAGATCCATCACAGATACATCACCCCCCAATATAACATCACAGATCCCCAACAACACATATATGCAGTTCAAATGCCACAATTTTGCACAGCAAATTCACACCCCTTGAAAGCCACAATTTCGGTCGTTGCTCATAGAACCGCATATATACTTACCAAATGGATTAAAGCCATAATGTCATCGACCTGCACAACCTGTCAATAAGGAAAAAAAAAGGAGAAAACAGATGAATAGTACAACATAAATCGTAGTTGATCAAATGTGATGACAATTTAGTAAAGTACCATAAATATTGCACATATGAAAGTAAATTACATTGCACTCTATAAAAACATAATTTTTTACATCGCCAGAAATTATAAAAACATCTTTTTTACATCACAATAAATTATCTAGCCAAGTTCATGAGTCTATTTGGCATGAAAACGTCCTTTCTTGTTCATTATTTCTGCAAGAATAAAAGCGCACAATTCGCCTCTGATAGCGGGGGGGTTGATGGGTGAGATCTTGAAGCCAGCTCTACCTTTCTGTTTAATAAATAAGAGGTTAATTAGCACGTTTTGAATAGCAATGTAGATATTGAAATGAGCTTATTCGCCATTAGCAACAACCTCAGGGTCGAAATCTTTCACCTCTCTTAGAAGTGTTGACATGTTGTGGCACACGTGGAAACCACATTGGTCTCCGATCTGTTGTGCGCATGCAAACTTGGTGTCATGATAAAGTTCATTCTTGCCCTCCTTGTGCCTACCACCCTTTTCCACATATGGGCCCCAAGCCATATTTAAGGCCTTGGTGATTTCACTGAAATCATAATCTTTGGACTTATTGGAGTTAAGGTAGGTAACCCGACTCCACTTAGGTACGATGACTAGGAGAATCCAATGTCGCCTGCGCAGTGGTTATGTAGCGTTAGTACTAAGAACCTTAACTTCAAAAACAATATACACGAAGGGTATTGTCCTCTTACTCTTGGTTGTGTGCGCACATGATGTACTCCTTGTCTTGATGGGCCCATAAACACCGGTTGACATAGTCAACCACCTCAGTGAAGCTCTGTCGTAAATTAACCTCATTCACCATGGATGGATCAAGGAACCCAACCTGATTACCATGGCGACGACTCTCGATCCAACACAACCTTAAAATATGTACGTATTAGAACTAATTTAATTAGGAGATATAGTCCAGTCATATCACAAGTATAGAAGGTATGCACTTACAAGGAGTAGCATTTAAGAAGACCAGTGTCCAACTTCCGGATCCTGAAAAGGTCGAAGAGGTCATCAAAGCCTATAGTTATATAGGCAGGCGACGATAGGAACGGCTGGTGGTCGTGATGTCCAACTATGGATGACTCCCTCATTTTCCGCTTGGCATTGCTTAGCTCCATGTATTGCTTATGTAGCTCTCGGCAAGCAATACCCATCACAGCTAACACATTGTCCTCCACCAATGGCATGCCTAGCTCAAATTGGGCTGGCGCCCTCACGACCTTCCCCGATTTGCTCACCGGCATCGACGTCGCAGCCTTGCCCCTTTTTGGCTCCGGCGCCAACTCCCCGACCTTCCCCTTGCCGCGTTCACGCTTCTGGCCCTTGACAAGTGGTGGGGAGCTATCGGCCTTTCTTGTGGTCTTTATTGGAGCCAAGCTTTGAGCTATATCTGCCAAGTCCATATCAGCTCCACCGGGAGAATGAGGTACTGACAATGCCGGTCCACGGGGAGCCTCAATTGATAGCTTAGACTTGGGAGGTGTAAGCTCCGTCGGTCGACTTGGACGAGGAGTCATCTTCACAACTATGTCTTCTTTGGGCCATTGTATGAACGTCTTGCGCGCATCGCCGAAAGTCATGATTTCATCATTTGGGGGCACGGGCAGCAGATAGCCTGACCAGGTGTCCTTTACTGTATCGATGGACACCTTGGCATACCTAGCTAGCAGGTCTGCGCCGTGGACCTTGTCTGTAACCGAGGGCTTGAAAGCCATGCCCTCAGCGACTTCAGGAGCGAAAGTTGGGTGGACTCTCGCTAGTAGGACACACTGTGCTGCGCCCTGCATAAGGTGAAAGTTTGAATTTAATATTGGAATGTGTACATGTCTTTTATTAGATATGGATCGGATAACAACAATTACCTCGATGTGGTCCACTGCAGCTAGTGGTGCGATCGGGAGACCAGGGGCCGGCACCTCTGTGGATGCACAACTACTCCTATGCTGTGACGGACTCGCGTCGTGTTGTACACGAGGAGTTGGTTGCACAGCAGGTGTTGTGACTCGGGGTATATTCATGTCGGCGAGGACCTTGTTAACCCTTTCTTCCACCCTTGCATTCATGCTAGCTTCTAGTTCTTGAATGACCTCAACCTTAAGTTCGGCCTTCAAACGAGCGTCCCTCTCTTCCTTGGAGACTTTCCGTTTCCTGTATTGGGATCTGTACTGAGGGAGTCCATGCTTCCAGGGCACATCGCTACCAATTCCCCGAGTTCGGCCAGGATGTTCTTTGGTTCCGAGCGCCTTTGTGAGGATGTCATCTTCGCGCCTCTTCGGCGCGGACTCAACCTCGCTTTGTGAAGCTTGTTCAGTAACCAAGCCCAACTAGAAAAGAAGATAGTCATTTATACGAACTTGTACTTTATACGAACGGAAATTAGTTAGGTTAAGTAGTGAACTCACCAGTTCCTGATAGACGACGGCATCACTTTTGTTCTCAAATGTGACAGAGCCGTTCGGGTTGACCTTACCCCTTGCCCGCGCCCAGTTGCGAGCTCTTTGTTCAGGGATGTCTGAAAACGGGGCAGGGACATTCGCTGCTGCAGCGGCTGCATCTTCTTGGGCCCATATTGCCTCCTTGCCGATGTACCCTGCGGTGCCCAGCCGATGCGGGTGCTCATTCCGCTGTTGCAGTAGGCGATGTGCCTCGCTTGATTCCCTAAACTCTTGGGTGGTCTTGAGAGAGCAGAATTCCTCCCAAACCGCTTCGGTTATTTGAGGGTATTCATCGAACGGCGTATGATTGCCGGGCGGGTTGACAAACTCGGTGAAGAGCTTCGACTTCCAATTCTTCCAAGCTTTGCCCATCTTTTGGAATGCCTTCCGCTTGAGCCTATCCTTTGCTTCGGCTGGAAATGTGAACCATTTCTCCATTGCCGTCCAAGCTCGCTCTTTCTCGGCTTCTGTGACCTTCCCGATATCTTTATGGAGGATCCCGAAGTTCTCACGTGCCGCTATCCCGCAGCAGTTAGACCATCTTCCAATGACAGTCCTGGGCGCCGTGGGCCTACCACTAGCGTCAACCTCTCTTATAACTTGCACTGTGGTCGGCCATATATTTTGTGACCGCGGATTTCTACTAGACCTACTTGCACTTGTCCCGCCCGACATCGACGTATGTTGTTCATGCGGCAATTCTGCAGCACAAACAGAAGGCAATATTTGCTAAGGGGTGCTAGCTAAAATTTATGTGGTCATGTGGTGAAAATTTATCCTATAAATTACCATGAATTTCGGGTTGTTGGACCGCCGTTGTCGCGGGATGACCTTCGGCAACTGCCTCTGTGGCTGGGTTTGCTTCTTCCTGGATCCTCGCAGGTGTTGGGGAGGGCGGGTTTGCGCCGGGCGTTGACATGGTTTAACTTTCGCGAAAAAGATTATAAATTTCCTACCATTAGACTAAATAGCATTAGATCCAATGTAATACGGGGTATACTATGAAAGATATGGCCTCAGTTTTGCTGAGAAATATGCATCAATTACAATCATTTGCATGAAGGGATAAAAAGAGGAAATCATAACATCAAAAGAGCAAGTGCAGAAAATCTGTTCTTATGCATAAAAAAAAGAACAAGTGTAGAGGTATATAACCACTGAATCAATCATGCAAATTTAAAAAACAGCAGCAGCAAGGGTACAGAATTTGCATGATTGACATAAAACAGCAGCAGGAGGAGTATATATGCCACAGGGGTATCAACAGCATGGGTATATAAATGAACAAGTGTAGGGGCAAAAAAATGAACAAGTGTAGATAATATGTTCTTATTGAGCAATTCATCACTGGCCATTTAATAAGGAACACATTGGGCAGCAGCAGCAAGGGTATATAAATCATCAAAGAATGACAGAAAACAAGTGTATATAGTCTCCTCTTATCAATCCAGAAAATTCGATGGCCTCTTCGGTGGTGTAACTCTCGATGATACTCCCCTCGGGGTGTGAACGGTTCCGTACATAACCCTTAAGGATCCCCAGGTACCTTTCGCAAGGATACATCTGCGTCATGAATGCTGGACCACAACACTTTGTTTGCCTCACAAGGTGCACCGGAAGATGTTCCATTATGTCAAAGAAAGTTGGAGGAAAGTACATCTCAAGATGACATAGGGTTCTCACAAGTTCTGCCTGTAGTTTATCTAGTCCCTCGGGATCAATGATCTTCTGGCCGATTGCATGGAAGAAGGAACACAACCGCTGGATCGGGTGTCGCACCTTAGGAGGCAAAATATTCCTTATTGCAACGGGCAACAGCTGTGTGATAAGAACGTGGCAATCATGCGACTTCATTCCAACCAACTTAAGATCTTGCAGTGAAACGAGCCTACTGATTCTTGATGAGTAACCAGATGGAACCTTTATACCACTCAAACATGTTAGCAAATCAATCTTCTCTTCTTTCGAGAGAGTGTAGCAGGCTGGAGGAAGGTAAACCCTGCCGGATTCCGTGGTTATGGGATGTAGCTCCGACCGAACACCCATATCTTCCAGATCTCGTCGGGCGTTGAGACCATCCTTTGTAGTACCTGGGTTAAGCAGTAATCCCATTAAACTCTCGCATACATTCTTCTCGACATGCATCAAATCTATGCAGTGGCGAACTTCAAGATCCTTCCAGTATGGTAGTCTCCAGAATATTGACTTCTTTTTCCACATGCTCCTCTCTTTTGTCTTTTGTTTTTCCACATGCTCCTCTGTTTTTTCCTTCGATGTGCTCTTCTCTTTTCGCTTTCCAACTTTCCTCTTTTTTCCAAACTCGTTGGTTATTCCCATCACTAAGTTGTGCACCTCTGTCCCTGTTAGCTCTGTCGGGGGTCCGGCTGTATCTCTGTGTCCATTGAAATTCTTTCTCATATTCCTATACGGGTGATACCTTGGGAGAAATCTCCTGTGACCCATGTAGACCGTCTTGTGTGAATGCTTCAACCATTTGCTTCTTGTTTCCTCCATACACTCCGAACACGCCCATTTCCCTTTCACAGTTTGGCCATAAAGGTTGCCAAGGGCCGGATAATCGTTGATGGTACAAAACAGCATCGCATGGAGGTTGAAATACTCTTGTGCATATGCGTCCCATGTTCGTGTGCCCTCATTCCATAGCCTTTCGAAGTCATCGATTATCGGTTCAAGGAACACATCGATATCGTTGCCAGGTTGTCTCGGTCCTTGAATGAGCATGGCAAGCATAATGTACTTTCTTTTGAAACACAACCAGGGAGGAAGGTTATAGTTAACAAGCAGAACTGGCCATGTACTGTGACGACTGCTCAAATCACCGAAAGGATTAATGCCGTCCGTACACATTGCGAAACGCATGTTTCTTGGGTCATTTGAGAATTCCTGGTAAATCCTATCGATTGTCCTTCACTGCACTGAATCTGCTGGGTGCCTCAGCATAGTATCGACTTTCCGTTCTTCGGCATGCCAGCGCACAAGCTTAGCTTGTTCCTTGTTCGCAAACATTCTCTTCATGCACTCCGCAATTGGGAGATACCACACCACCTTTGCTGGGCCTCCCCTCTTTGACTTACTTCCTTCACCTTCACTCTTTGCTCGTTTGTATCTTGATCCCCCACAGATAGGGCAGACATCCAAGTCAGCGTATTCCTTGTAATACAAAATGCAGTCGTTTGGACATGCATGAATTCTTCTGACCTCCAGGCCCAACGGACATAATACTTGCTTCGCTTCATATGTCGTCTGAGGTAAATTGTTCCCCTCTGGCAACAGATCCTTTAACAGCTCAAGGAGTTCTGTAAAACTCTTGTCCGACCAGCCATTAATAGCCTTAAGCTTCATCAGTTCCAACACGCATGACAACTTGCTGTGCTTCGACTTGCATCCATCATACAACGGCATCTGGCAATCTTCCACCAACTTACTAAACTTCTCATAATCTCTGTCGTTGTCCTCTGCGTCTTCAATGTCATGCAACATTGTAGATAGACATTGAGTGTCCAAATCTATGGTCTCTCCACCTAAAGGAGAAGGTACGAACATGCCTTCTCGAGCTGCGGCGGTGTTCTGTACACCCTGATCCAACACTTCTTCAGCTGCGACATCAGGCGCCTCTTGCTCTCCATGCTTGGTCCAGCAGGTATATTTCTTCATGAATCCATTCATTATCAAATGAGCATGCACTTCATCCTTGTCTTCGATCATCTGTTCATTCTTACAGTCCCTACATGGGCACAACATGTGCATGCTCATCCTACTTTTTCTGTCATTATCCGCAAATGTGACAAATTCAGTGACCCCCTCTCTATACTCGGTAGACGAACGATGCGCATAGTACATCCATCTACGATCCATCTGAAATCAACAACATACGAAGAAAAATAAATGATGATCGATATGTTGAGAATGAATGGAGAATAATGTGTTTTTTACCTTGAATTTTAGTAAAAAATCGCCCCCCTTGCCCTCCCAACCGATTTGTGAACAGTACAATGGTCGGGATGGAAAGCAGTTGGCAGTTTGGGGGTATTTATAGACCCAACACACCTCAAACGGGTTAGATAAAAAAAGCCCGTCAAAGGTATTGCTCATACCTTTGACGGGCTTCTATTCAACGGCCCGTCACTGGTATCCGCTCACCTGTGACGGGCCAGAAATGAAAGCCGTCACAGGTGGCGGCCCATCACCTCTGACGGCTTCTAATGTATCGGCCCGTCACAGGTGAGGGGATACCAGTGACGGGTTGGAAGAAAAACTCGTCACTGGTATACCTCTGACGGGTTTTCCTTTCGGCCCGTCACAGGTGAGGGGATACCTGTGACGGGCCGCGGCCAGATGCCTCACCGGTGACGGCATCCCGTATAACCCGTCAAAGGTAATGGTCAATACTGACCAATTCGTTTGCCCGTCACAGGTATCCCGTCAGAGGTGTGAGGATCTGGCGTAGTGCAAGTACCATTAATTTAATAATAAACTAAATCACAACAAAATAAATAATAATTATATAATTTCTTAATAAGACGTGTGTTCAAACCTATGATCGAAAATCAATAGCAATCTCCACTCAAAAAAAAAATCAATAGCGTCTTCTATTTAAAAACCGGAGGCAGCACAATCCATGCGTGTTAATTTGACTCGTGGCGGCCGGAGTGCTGCATGTGAATCGGACGGTTGATGAAATAGTATCAAGCATTACTGTTTGATGTTATCTGCTACTCCCTCCGATTCGAAATGTTTGACACCGTTGATTTTTTAGCACATGTTTGACCGTTCGTCTTATTCAAAATCTTGTGTGAAATATGTAAAATTATATGCCTACATAAAAATATATTTAACAATGAATCAAATGATAGGAAAAGAATTAATAATTACTTAAATTTTTTGAATAAGACGAACGGTCAAACATGTGCTAAAAAGTCAACGGCGTCAAATATTTCGAAATGGAGAGAGTACTAAATAGGCTTGAATTGAGAATTGACACCACAACATATCAGACGACAGTGCTTTAATTAATTGGAAATCAGCCACCAATATGGCACATATATATCACATCTATCGGCTGATTAATTATATATGGATGCATATCACAGCCTGTTATTCGATTTGCAATTCAGGCATCGATACATATATATCACATCTCACTTGATTAAATTATATATGGATGCATATCATGGTTCATTATTCGAATTGCAATTCAGGTATTAATCATCTAGGTATAAATGGATAGATCCGTAAGTCCATGTTTAATTAAATAGTTAAATAAGTGAGTAACCGGACGGATAAAATGGGATTGTGGATTGACCCTGCATCTTACCGTGAGAGCTAATTGGCGTGCACGCGCCAGCTGGCGGGGAGCCTTTTTTTTGGTTTTTTGGTTTTTTCGTGATTTTTTTCTTTTTTTTTCTCTTTTTTCTGATTTTTTTTTACTTTTAGCACAAGTGTTTTCAAATATTTTGTGTTTATATCATGTAAAATTTTTATATATACACTGGTGGAAGTAAAAAATGTTTGGAATATGCCAAATTAAGAGTTTGGAAAGTTTCAAATAACACATTTTTTCTTCATATTAATGCTCACGACATAAGTATATACTTCCTCCATGTCTAGATTCATTAGCATCAATATGGATGTGGAAAATACTAGAATGACTTACATTGGGAAACGGAGGGAGTACATCACCCGCCCAGTAACCTAGTTTGTAATGTACAACTTTATAGCAATCCACCAATAAGTCCTTATAGAACAACATGCTCTAGACGTCGTATTGGAAGGTTAGCTCTCAGAAAATATGTCTTTTCCTCCATTCCTACCTATAACATGTTGACATTTCTTCATTCCAAAACCCTTATTTCAAAGCTCACAGCTATCGTTAGAAAATTCTGGACTGGCATTCAAAAGGATGGAGGTATGCATATTAAATATTGGAATGACATTGGTAGCTAGAGCCAATTTCTGAAGGTGGCTTCGGTATTAGAGATTTGCAGGCAGGTTATCAAAGCATCTTAATCTAAACTGCTTGGAGAATTGCCTCTGATCAAGACAGCTTCATGTCTCTAATCTAAAAATCAAAATATTTTTCAAACAGTTCTTTTTGGAAAGCCCCAAATAATCTTCCAGGATCTACCCGTTGGGCTTCAATATTAAAAATAAGACAAACCCCTTCTAATGCTTCAGCTTGGCAACTGACAAAAGGTGTTGTTTCTATCTGAAATCAGCCATTGTGCTCAGTTTAGGACAACATACAAAATGATAATCCTAATGTTAACTTTATTCCATCTCAAATGCCAGACAAAGTGGTGATCTTTGGGATCATAATAAAAACAAGGATGAACAAAAAATTGACAAATTGAAACAGAAGGTTACGCATCAAATTGACAAGCTGAAACAGAAGGTTACCACCATGCAAGTTATTGCAAACATTCACAAAATATATTTCTTGATTGTGCAATGATCTTTAATTTACCTGAAATCAAAGATTACTGAATACTAAAATCCATTGCCTCTTACAAATCCATTCTGGCCTCTGCATCTACAAGTTTATTCTGTAGTTCCTCCAGAGTTTAATGGCTAAATGAAACTGAAAACATACCACAAAGTTGAGTCAACATTTAATGAAAAATGACCATAGCATATAACCATCGGATGCCACATGTACGAATGCCTATTTATTGAATTTCTAAAGAACAAATCAATGTTCCCCCTCGAACGTGCGAACTGGGGGCAGCGGACTGGACAGCGGTGGAGGAGGAGGTCTCCCCAACGAACGGACAATGAGGTTCACTCCTTGCAAACTACAGACTTGACCCCAAACACCTGATAGTAACCAATCATAATCAAACCCTTTGTTAAATCATGAAGCGAATACTGGATAGTTGCAAACATAAATGCAGAGCATGATACATAGAGGATCATGAACAAATATTAATCAAGGCATATATCAAATTAGAGTTCTGAATTTGGAAAGAAACTTACTTGAAAGTCAAAGCTATTCGGGCATTTTGCAATCAAACGGAACAGCTGCACCATCCACTTTTGAAACTCAGATTAGGTTTCTCTTGCAATATGCATGATCTCAAGGACCAAAGCCCCAACATCCCTGCAGCCCCTTTTTATCTCAGGATTAGCATAAGCTCATTTTCAGCATATTTATGCCATTTTTTTTTTTTTTGAAGAGAATAGGCTTCGTTGCTATACAGACAAAACAAATAGTTGGATGTCAAAATTTGAGGCCTGATTTTAGTCTTATTCTAACATGTATGACAAGTGCAATAACAGCATAAACACATAATCTTTTAGAAAGATGCCATCTGATGTAAACAAAGGATGTCGTCAATTTATTACTGTTTCAATGTAAAATGATCGTGAAAAACAACATGTATTATTTCTATTTCTTTTTCGGAACCAAAATATAAAAATTAATAAGCTTCATCTCCAAATCTATCCAAACTAAAAGAAAAAATAGTTATATTAGATAACACAAAATGTAGCTGTAGAACATCAGTCATACATATAAACAACATTAATATAAGTAATTAAGTAGCCATGTTTTCAATCAAAAGTAGACCGCTTGACAAACCTTTCACCAATTTCTGGCCTAGAACAGACAAAGGGATGCTGACACGCACCATATGGAGCTTAGGACGCTATAATCAGGAGTTCGTCTTGATCAAAGGCAAAACTCATGAAGTGTATTCACATCATTTGATGCTACATCATATCGATTTGGGGGTCAAATCTACTGGAAAGCCACATGGAGCACCGCTCAAACGGAATTGCGTCATGGTGGTTAGCTGCTCGAAGGACTCGTAGTCGTACCTTTAGCTAGTTGGTTGCGGTTGTGCATGGGTGCAGTCAGCTGCGGTTCATCCTCGTTGCCACCCAATCAACCACTGGAGCCGCATCCACGTCTTCCATCATGCTCGCCTGGATCTCGTGGCGGCGGCAGGGCTACTAATGGATAGAGAGAACATATTAGAGATGGAGGAAGAGAGAGAAGGGGTAGGAGGAGGGGATCTATACCTTTTGAAGATGGCGGCAGAGGGTGCGGGCGGACTGGACGGCGCGATCGGCGTTGAGGGCGGCAGACTGGACGGCCGTGGAGGAGGCGGGCTACCCGGCGAACGGACAGCGAGTCTCGATATGTGGCGGCGTGACGGCGCCCGCACGAACCTGCCGAAACTCCTGTTCGTGAATGGCAAGGAGGCGGGGCCCAGGTGGTGGTGGAGGGAGGCACCGGCGGGCGGCGGCGGCGAAGACGGGAGCGGCCACAGGAGCCGATGTGAGGGAGGCACCACCCGGAGTGGCGGAGTGGGAAGGAGGCGGCGATGAAGGCGGAGGAAATCAGAAAATCGCGTGGTGGGGGTTGGGAGGAAATCACGCGATTGATTTTGGTGGGAGGTGGGAGTGGGACCGAGGGAATGCCGAGCGACGTTAGGGTGTGGGGTATTGATGATTTGACTGTAGCATGGGAGAGGAATCAGGTGGGATTGATGAGATAGCGATGGACGGATGAGATTAGATCAGATATGCAGATGGACGGATGGGATTAACTATGTTGATTTCATCTGTAGGATTGCAAGAAGACAACTCCTCCTTTTTATATTAGTATAGATGTCCTTTGCATGTTGGATCATTTCACAGGTGTGTTTTTTTCATTAATTAATCTAACGCAACAGACTTGGTCGACCAAACATTTTTTTTCCTTTTTTTTAAGAACTGACCAGGCAAGATCAGTAGCAGCTAGATCTCACCATACACGTCTGCAATGCATCCAACGAGTGAGTCAACACATAGTACTTTTCTTACTATGAGAGAATGAGTCAACGTTACATACATTTGACCGACCTACTCTTCAGAGTCTTTGACCTTCTACGCGTTCTACTTCTACTGCTTCAGTTCACAATTTCACACCTCCAACCAACGCCTATATATACACACCTTCCCAGCACATCTCATTTCATTCAATCATCCATCGATTTCTAGCTTAGCTTCTACTGCCAATTGCTTGGAGATTGATCGACCATCATCTCCATCGATCCTCGAAGTCGATATATAGCTAATTGGACCATATTCCATGGCGATCATGGCAGCCAGAGCTCTACTCGTCGTCGCCATGGCAGCAGCGGTGCTCGGAACGGCGCTCGGCGCCACCTACACCGTCGGAGCTCCGAGCGGCTCATGGGACTTGAGGACTAACTATGACCAGTGGGTTTCCAACATCAACTTTCGTGCCGGAGATCAGATAGGTGATTGTCCGTGTTTGCTCACCAGCTTAAATGTTTGAGTTGAACTGATCGATACATGTGGCAACTTTAGTATAATATCTAACCGAGCTAATGATATGCATGTGTAATGTGCAGTGTTCAAGTATTCTCCAGCGGCGCATGATGTGGTGGAGGTGAACAAGGCCGACTACGACTCATGCTCCAGCTCCAGCCCTATCGCCACCTTCAACTCCGGCGATGACACCATCCCTCTCACCGCTACCGGCACCCGCTACTTCATATGTGGCTTCAATGGCCATTGCACCGGAGGGATGAAGGTCGCTGTCAAGGTTGAGGCCGCCACCGGCAGCAACCCGGCCCCATCACCGATGACCCCTCGTCCACGCACACCGACAGCAATGGCACCGAACGCAATGCCGCCAACGGCTGGTGGCCGGCCCGTGCCTCCATCTAACTCAGCAAGCCAGCCCGCTGGTGTTGCATCTCTAGTTGGTCTTAGTTTGGGTGCCATAGTTGTTGGTCTCATGGCCTTCTAAATTAGAGTAAGAAGATACTTTGTGTATCTCTTCGAAGGCGATCGATTGATTGTGTTCGTATATATTGATTGCTTTGAGTATTTTCTCTGGTAGAGTCCGGCTCATATTGTTATTTATATGTAATATATTTTTTGTTATATGTAATTCATCAGCTCATTAATTATGATTTGATTCTATTGTTATATATGTGTTTTGGCCCATCATGACTAGCGTTTGACTTCAATTTTGTCATTTCACCTAAAACTTTCCTTAATCCATTGAAATTAAACAAAAGGGGGGGGACAATTCCATCTCAAAAGCCTGTGGCATAAATATCTATAACCCTATTGTAGCTAGATAGAAACAAATCAATAGGAATTAAACAACACAACAACATAGAAACCGTAGACCATACCTAAAGCTTTACCTTCTAGAACATGTAAATAAATAGTACTAACATAAATGAATTATTTTAATAATATCTTGACAATCAATATGTACATATATCCAGTTGTCCACCCTAATCCCAGTGCTCCATCTTTTCCGCCCCCATCAAACAAGAAATTTCAGATTATGCTATCATCAAAAGTGAGTTACACTATAATGCCATCCTTCAATTGAGTTTCACCAAAACACTATTATCAAATAGAGGATTCATGCCAGATTCATCTTCTTCCCTTTTACAGATTTGTTGTCTCTCTTGCAGGTGAAGGGACCAAGATACCCCTGTATCGGTTGAGCTATATATAGAGAGGGGGTATCCAAACCATGAAGATATCCCTCAAACTCCCGCACTAGTGTTGCCTCTTCCAACACCTACCTCTCCACTACCCTCGATTAATTCAACTTAGCAACCTCTAAGCAAAATATCTCTAACCTAGCCACCTAGTCGATGCAACATTCATTTCATAGTTCTAATCCAACCATCATTGGTCAAACAAATCAACCACTTTGTTGGGGTTTCTACTTTATTTTTAAAGAGACATGTATATATAGTGGTGTCGAGTAATAGTTGCATAACCACACCAACAAGATTATCCACATATACATAATCAAGTGAAATATGTTTTTCCCTAAAGGTAGGGGTGTGGAAGGACCCTTTTTTTGCAAAAGAAGTTTATTGAAGGATCAATAAAATATTTTGCGAATTGAGGAATTCAACCGCCTACAATATCCTAAGGAAAAAAATTAGACCACCCATGTTTTGTTGATGACGTGGATGTAGTAGTAGCTTTGTGGGAAAGTATTAATTAATCAGCTTTCTCTATATCAAATATTATATGGATTTATCCATCCTTTGTGTTACAAAGGGATGCATGGACATGTCAGAATTGTGTATGTAGTATACATGCATGATGGAATTGTGCATGTAGTATAATGGTGCGAAAATCGTAATTGGATATCGGTGCCCTCCGCCTTTCTTTTCATTTTTTCACCACATAACTTTCCTTTTTAAGTAAGTTTGTACAACTAAACTTTATACTCTTAAAGTTTATACACCCAATGTTTGTACACCTAAAGTTTGTATACCCAAAGTTTATACATTGAAAATTTATATGTCCGATTCGAATTTGAATTTGGATTCAGATTCAAATATTATATAGATAGAATGATGCTATATAAAAAGTTTCTACACATAATGTATAAAGTTTATACACATCAATATTGTTAAACATAATTATTGTCCCTTTGTATTTTTGTTTTATCCAAACGTATTTTTAAATTTGTTTTTAGAAACCCACATGGTCTAAGTTGGGCCCATGCATGTTTTCTGAAATAGATAAAAGTAGAGACATGAGGAGATTTGACAAAGTCAGTTCTCACAACACTTTAATTACTATATTTTGTCAAGTTCTGTATTTGAAGTTTGAACACGTATGTAGCATTTTTCTTTTTGTTGACGGAAGTGCTTTCCGAATAAAGCTCATATTTGCATAACTAATCATATATCCATGCTTGAATGGTTAATTTGATATATGTGCAGAATGCGTATACGTGGGAACCAATGGCATGGAAAAGTCTTTAGGCCTAGTCTAGATCCTCTAAAATGGCAAAAGTTTTGCCATTTTGTAGCACTTTTTGCCATTTTAGATCTAAACACTAGTAGCAAAAGTTGTCAATTTGGCATTTATCATTTGCTAGTCCATAGTAGCATATTGTGCCAAAAAGTGCTTTGGGACCACTCCCTCTCTCTTTCTCTCTCTCACTTTAGTGCTAGAATGGCAAAACTTTAACACGCATCTAAACACCAACTAGTACTTTTGCAATGCCAAAACTTTTACCACCAAAACTTTTGCCATTTGCCATTTGCCATTTGCCATTCCAAATAGATCTAAACATGCCCTTAGTTCTGATATTTTCCACTAACAACTAATTTAATTTGAACCGACGCTTGAACAGGCTACTAGTCTATTGCGATTTAATTTGAAATTTGAAAGCATGAGCCAAGTCATCATCGCGTGAATTCAACACACCAGCTCGCGTGTGTATATGTGATTTTTTCACCCAACTAACCGATTTAGATCTTGGTCAAGCTTAATTTCTAGAAATTTGGCTTTTAGATAATAATAAAATACATCAAACACCAGGGCCCCCATCTGATGTGCAAATTAATTTCATGGTATATATACTTATATTACTGCATCTTTTTAAACATATGATGTTATTATTTACTTTTATATATATGACGTTTGACAATCCTCTTAATAAAATTAATTATAGTATTGTTTAGTTTATTGTGTTTTGTGTTATCCTTAAAGACAATTCAAGGATATATAACTTATATTTTATATATTTAAATTAAATTTTTAAATAAAATGAATGGTTAGATATCGTATCCAAATTAAAGTAAAAATAGTTACATATTAAAAAACAAAAGGAATAAAATTTAGTCGCCAAATCGAACAACCCCCACCCACCACCCACGAATTCTTGCACTACACATCAGATGATGATTATATGTATTACGTACACAAATTCAATTAGATAACTAATTTCAGACTCTGTCAATTTGATAGTTTCAATCAGGTGATCATTAAATTAATTCAGACTCGGTCGAGCAGCAGCAGTCGATCACGACTTTTCTCACGTGCACCTATCATTAATTAATTATACATTTTCCTATATATACGCGCGTGTCAGTGTGAGCGGATCGAGTCATACACATTTGACCAACCAAAGCCTTAGACTGACCTCACTTAACGCGCTTAGCTTACACCTAATTAACTAACAAGCACCTATATATACACCTCCTATCATACCTCCTCCCCAAATCAACCAAGTTCCATTTCATTTCTTGCATCTCCAATTATACTCTTGCTTCCAATTTCAACCTCTCTTCCCAACCATGGCAGCCAGAGCTCTCCTCGTTGTGGCCATGGCGGCCGCGGTGCTCGGGACAGCGATGGGCGTCACCACCTACACGGTGGGAGCTCCGGCCGGTTCATGGGACACACGAACCAACTACGCGCAGTGGGTCTCTGCTATCACCTTCCGTGTCGGTGACCAGCTTGTCTTCAAGTACTCCCCAGCGGCGCACGATGTGGTGGAGGTGAACAAGGCCGACTACGACTCCTGCTCTAGCTCCAGCCCCATCTCCACCTTCAACTCTGGCGATGACACCATCCCTCTCGCTGCTATCGGCACCCGCTATTTCATCTGCGGCTTCCCTGGCCATTGCACCGCAGGGATGAAGGTCGCCGTCAAGGTGGAGGCCGCCACCGGCAGCAACCCTACCCCGTCACCATTGGCCCCTCTTCCACGCACTCCTACAGTAATGGCACCAAATGCGATGCCCCCTACGAACGGTGGCCGGCCCACCCCTCCGTCAAGCTCAGCAAGCAAGCCTGTTGGTGTTGCATCTCTGGTTGGTCTGAGTTTGAGTGCAATCGTTGCTGGTCTCATGGTCTTTTAAATTAGAGGGAAAAAATATTTTTTTTCTCTCTTCAAAGTTGATCTATTGATCGTGTTCATATGTATTGATTGTTTGTGATGAGTTCGGCTCATATTGTTACTCATTTTTTTTGCTACATGTAATTTAGCTCATTACGATTTGATTCCAATATTATATAAATGTTCTTTTGACCCATTGCTAGTGTTTGACCTCAATTTTGTATCTCCACCTAAAATGGAGAATTCCATCTCCTAAGCATGTGGCTCATGTGAACATAAATATGTATATCCCTATTTTAGTTAGAAACAAATCAATAGCAATTAAACAACACAAAACAACATATAAAGCATAGACCATATCTAAAGCTCAACAATATTCTTTTTTAAAATAATGGATAAACATTGGAAATCTGCCTTTTGCTTCAATAGAAATAGACAACAAAAGATGAGCAGATAATAAAAATGAGACACCAAACTCAAAAAAGATATGAACAACTTACTCAAGTAGCAATCCTACTAGTAAATCTCGATCGAAAGTTGATGAAAATGTGCATAGTAGTTTCTGGCATGTAAAAGAGAGATGTATAGGTTTTTGTCCATGACAGACATTTGTAGTCGTGTCAAAAACCGAAACCTATATGTTACCTAAAAAGTATCTGTAAATAAAATTTAGATGAAGTTTTGTCAAAAACCATATCATTTTTACTTAGTCATAGAGTCCAACATAAAGCAAATACTCGCTTTTTTTTCAACCAATACCAAACAGCCAGCTTCCACCTATATGATGAGAGAAACTAGTTGGTGGTTTCAAGCCAAAGGATACATATATTACACTCCAAAGAAATTTAGCATAAAGCTCTACCTTCTAGAACATGTAACTGAATACTAACATGTACTCCCTACGTATTTTAATGTATGACGCCGTTGACTTTTTAACCAACGTTTGACCATTCGTTTTATTCAAATTTTTTGTGCAAATATGAAAATATTTATGTCATGCTTAAAGAACATTTGATGATGAATTAAGTCACAATAAAATAAATGATAATTACATAAATTTTTTGAATAAGACGAATAGTCAAACGTTGAATAAAAAGTCAACGGCGTCATACATATATTTCAATAAAGTATCTTGATAATTTAAACTTATGTATTTGAATTGGTAGTTTTTTGTTCACAACTTCGCGTAAGTACTATCCTAGAGCTGTATCACATATATATAACCATGCTTGAAATTGTTTTCTTTTTATTAGTATTATTATTTTGAGGGTCGGCAAGCAAAATAGTTAGTTTGATTTATGTGAAACATATGTGGAGTGTGAATGAATCAATGACACTTTTTTTATAATGGCATGGAAAAGTACTACTGGTACCTATAGTTCCAAAGGTACCGGTTCTATATTTTTGACCTACGGAGGTGGGCAGTTAATAGGTGTCGGTTTTAAATAATCCGGTAACTATAAGCCGATCCCTATTAGGGGTTTTGTAGTAGTGATCTAGGCTCCCAGCCTCCCATCATATCAAGTCATCATGTCCCCGTTCTGATAGCCGGACCTTATAATTCCTTTAGGGAAGAGGTCGATGGGGAATGGGGGAAGGGTTCAAGCAGAGAAAAAGATCCAATTAATGATGTTTCACTATCGGCTAAAATTAAGACATTATAATACAAAAATAATTTTATCCTTTTAAATTTGATATTGTTATCTATTGCCTTCGTCCCATAAAAAATAAAATTAAAAAAAATACAAGATGTGGCATATCCTTGTACTGAAAAGTATTTAAGTAGAAAGATAAATCAATCTCAACTGTTGGATCTGTTGGATCGTTTATATTGGTGTTTATATTGGTAGTACATACATCCGGTTATATATATATTCGCGGGTACAATTTCAATAGAATTTTCATAGGATTAGAAATTAATTTGTTGTTGGTATGCGCTTATTAGTGTATATATTAGGCCTCATTTGGTAGAGCTACAAACTCTAACTCCCAATTATAAACTTCAACTCTAGTGGGAGCTAGCTCATATAGAAGTTGAGGTGGGTAAAAAGTGTTTGGCTAGATTTACCAGCTCCATGTCACCACGTGCCTTGTAGCCATTTCGTTGAACACATAGAGGGCGTCGCCGTCGCCGCACATGTGTTTCCCTGCCATTGCTGCCGTCGCCGCACATGCGTTTCCCTGCTGTTGCCGCCGCCGTTTGGCTCGTGCCTGTCGACGCCACCGCTCGCCGACGCCACACGCCGCCTACCGACGCCGTCATCCTGCTGTCCTAGCCACCGCCGCCGACGCGACCAGCCCACCACCACTACATGTCGTCGCCGACGCAAACGTCGCTTCTCCGCCCGCGCTGCGCCACAAACTCGCCACCTCAGCCGCCGCCTGTCGACGCCGCTGCCCACGCGCAGCCCGCCGTCGTCGAGAGGAGGATGGCCGTCAGGAGGATGGGGAGGAAGATGAGGAGAGAGAACGGGAAGAGAGGGGATATGAATAGGTAGTTCAATGGCATATCACGTAATTACATGAAAATTTAAAGGGTAGTGGGTCTTTTGGAATGAAGTGAAGCTGTGGGGCAGAAAAACCCAGCTCCACCCCCGTAGTACAAATTTGTGGAGCAGCTCTGCTAGCTCCGCTCTAAAAAAAATGGAGAATCTATACCATTTGGTACAGCTCCAGCTCTAGGTAAGTTGGAGTTGAGAAACGCTTAGGGGTATTCCAGCTAGCTCCACAAGATGGTAGGCTAGATGATCTTGTTTGAAGCCTCACCCCTTATTGATATTAAGTCATTCCCTAATATTCGTGTCTTTTCTAGGTAAGTTGGAGTTAGTAGCTAGAGCTGTGTCAAACGGGTGTTTGTGTGTGGTGTATGCGTGAGCACTTGGTCCATTTAACAATAAAAAAATCAATCAGGTGTTTCAGACTTAGTCGAGCAGACTTAGTTAGATTGTTATTACTAATTATTATACACGTTCACACACACACGTCTTTGAGCGATGGAGTCAAACGCATTTGACCCACCAACCCCTATAATCCTGGACTGACATCACCTCCACTGTCTCTGCAATGCAATGCAAACAATCACCTATAAATATACTCAAAACCATCATCGATTCTTGCAAATCATCACCCTTCCATCGATCGATCTGATCCACCTAGTTGCAAGCTCGATCGATCTCTCATCTGCTCTGCTAATTGATCCTAAGGCGATCATGGCAGCTGCCAACAGATCGGCTCTCCTCGTCGTGGCCATGGCGGCGGCGGTGCTCACGACGACGGCGACGGGCGCCACCACCTACACGGTAGGAGCACCGGCCGGGTCGTGGGACACGCGCACCAACTACGCGCAGTGGGTGTCCGCCGTCACCTTCCGTGTCGGCGACCAGCTTGTGTTCAAGTACTCGCCGGCGGCGCACGACGTCGTGGAGGTGACCAAGGCTGGCTACGACTCCTGCTCGAGCTCCGGCCCCGTCGCCACCTTCAACTCCGGCGATGACACCGTGCCATTGACAGCTACCGGCACCCGATACTTCATGTGCGGCTTCCCTGGCCATTGCGCCGCCGGGATGAAGATCGCAGTCAAGGTCGAGGCCGCCACTGCCACCGGCGGTAGTGGCACTGCACTGTCGCCAATGGCGCCTCGTCCGCGCACGCCTACAGCAATGGCACCGAACGCGATGCCACCTATGGCTGGTGGTCGGCCTGTGTCTCCATCGAGCTCGGCGAGCAAGTCCACTGGTGTTGCATCTCTGGTTGGGCTTAGTTTGGGCGCCATAGTTGCTGGCCTCATGTCCTTCTAAATTAGAGGAAGAATATTTTTTGTTCTCTCTTCATTGGCGATCGATTGATCATGTTCATATGTATTGATTTGTTTGTGATTAGTCCAGCTCATATTGTTACTTATGTAATTTTTGGTTACATGTTATTGAGCTTGCTTATATTTTGATTCTTTATTGCTATATATATATGTTTTTGACCATCATCACTATTGTTTGACTTCAATTTTGTCTTTTCACCTAAAATGTACACCTTAATTAGTCAGTTGCAATTAAACAAAAGGGGGAGAATTCCATTTCAAAAGCCTCTGGCTCATATGAACATAAATATAAATACCTATAGCCATATTTTACCGAAACGGGGGATATGCTAGCTAAACCTTCAAATATCCGTACCTATAAATCCGATGCCCTGGTGCTAACCAATAATAAATTCTCTGTTTAGAAAATAGGATTAATTAAGCAAAGAGTATGTTTTACATTATACTGTGTATAGGCCAAGGCTATAGCCACTTTTCACTTAATGCAACATATTTTACAATTTATTGTAAAATTATCCTTATTCACGCTGTGGATGATGATCCCCTATCCACATCAGAAGAACTATCAACTACCCATAGATCTAATGTGCTCCTCTAAATTAAAAAAAAAGAACATTAAATGACTAATAACAGCTGTAGTTATATGGTACAATATAAACATGTGGATGATCGAGGAAGCTAACATTGTAACTATATATTGTGTGTTTAAACTTACGAAATCATTGCATGCATCCTGATGAATTACTCTGATTTCTTTACGAAGTATAAAAACATAATTTCAACACCTCAAACGTGTGTTCGCATCGCCGTCATGAGCAACGGATATTTTAGGTGGCTATAATTACCATCGAACGATCATCAAAGGGAAGAAAAACAAGTTTGTTCAAGCTAGATCACTGAAGGAGAGGATGTAAAACGTACAAAAACAGAATGAGAATGTCATGGAACATATTAGAACGCGTTGGAGTCAATCCAAAATTAGGGCCTCGTACAGTCGGGCACCCCACACTTGTCCACGTAGCATATTGTGTACTCCCTCCGTACTCGTAAAGAAATTCGTTTTGGACAGCGACACGGTCTTCAAAACACAACTTTGACATCTTATTTCTATAAAAATATTTATTCAAAAGTGATACATGTATATTTTTATGAAAGTATTTTTCAAAACAAATCTATTCATATAATTTTTACATTTTCAAACTCAACAACTTGAGCATTATTTATGATTTATATTTCCAATGTTTGACTTAAACATTATCCTAAACGAATTCCTTTACAAGTATGGAGGGAGTATCATTTATACTCCTTTAAAAGCCTTTAGTAGTGGTGGCAGCGAATCTACCACCCTATTAGTGCTTTTGAATTATTTTTTTTACAAATTGCCCCCATAATATTTTAAATATTATAGAATAGTACAATATTATGATATGACATATTATGAATTTTTTTTCTTCTGCCTATAGCAAAGCTTGTAGATGTGTGTTAGTGGATACATTCGTGGATATTTATATGTGGTGTGTGTAACTACGCCGATGTTATGCAGCTACATTATCTCGAGGGGGAAAAAACCTCCTAACTATTGGTAGATAATCAAATTAAGACCCCATCTTGTTCTTATAAAAAGACAAAAAAAAACCATCCAGAAAGAGAAAATTCTCATCTAGAAGCCAGTCAGTCTACATCCATGCAGCTTTGATCATTTCAATCAGGTGATTCAGACCAAAGTCGAGCAGCCAACTCGACGACTATTCTAACACACCTACCCATCAATTAATTAATTAATTAACTACACTTTCACACGAGTCTAGTCAAACACATATTGACCAACCAACCCCTGCATTGACCTCACCTCACCTCACTCATCCCTGCCAATCCACGCGCTTAATTAGCTTAATGCATTAAAGCAAGTTTAATAGTATAGCTAATTAATAACTCTAAATTATATCAATCTAATAATTAATTTATACAATAATTAACTATAAATATATAATACATCATTAATAATTGGTCCACCTGTTATACACATATAACATTTTAAAGTCTGTACTACAGCTAGTTATAAATCTGTATAGTCTTCTCTTTTCTTTCGTCTCTCATCTCTTCTATATGTGATTATAGCTGATTTATAATCTGTATTATATATGTTCTTAGCTTAAGCTAATTAATCACCCATCACCTATATATACACATACTTCCCATCGTCTCCTTGCCATCTCATTTCTTGCATCATCTCCTCCCAATTCCAAGCTCCATCGATCTCCTCGATCGTCGATCGTCGCGGCCATGGCAGCATCAGCCAGAGCTCTCCTCGTCGTGGCCGTGGCGGCGGCGGCGGCGGTGCTCGCGACGACGGCGATGGGCGCCACCACCTACACGGTGGGAGCACCGGCCGGGTCGTGGGACACGCGCACCAACTACGCGCAGTGGGCGTCCGCCGCCACCTTCCGCGCCGGTGACCGGCTCGTGTTCAGGTACTCGCCGGCGGCGCACGACGTCGTGGAGGTGACCAAGGCCGGCTACGACGCCTGCTCGGCGGCGAGCCCCATCGCCACCTTCAACTCCGGCGATGACACCGTCCCGCTCGCCGCCGTTGGCACGCGGTACTTCATCTGCGGCTTCCCTGGACATTGCGCCGCCGGGATGAAGCTCGCCGTCAAGGTCGAGGCCGCCGCCGCCGCCCCTGGCGGTAGTAGCACCACGCCGTCGCCGTCGCCGTCGCCGGCGGCGTTGCCGCCGGTGAACGGTGGCCGGCCGGTGACGCCATCGAGCTCGGCGAGCAAGTCGGGTGGTGTTGTTGAGTCTCTTGTTGGTCTGGGCGTTGGCGCCATGGCCGCTGGTCTCATGGTCTTTTATTAGAGTGACAAGAATGCATGATGAGTTCTTGATTTGTTCTCTCTTTTTTTTGTTCTTTTTGGAGATACCAGATTCATCATACTTTATATTCTTTTTTTCCTGAGATGAATTCTGCTCGAATTGTTGTACTTAATTATGCAATTCTTTGTTGAATGTAATTTGATTCAGTATATATATTGTTGGATTCTATTATGTGATCCTTTTCACTTGAATCCACATCAATTGTTTAATTTATGAGATAGTAGTGGAAGTCAAGGTAATTTAATTATTCAGAATCACTTGAGTAATTTCAGAGATGTCACCTACAACTATCACTATACAGAGCCAATCACACCAGCAACGAGAAACACCCAGGGTTCTTCCGGCTAACTCTACAAAGTGGTGGGCTAGCCGGTTTGGGTTTGAAGCCTCATCCCTTATATTTATTTGATATTAGTTCATTCCCTAGTATTTATATTTTCAATCACACCAGCAACACGGTAATTATGAAATTGCCATGGATATTCATGAGAATTCTTGAATTGATCATCCCTAACATGTGGGATATCACAAGTTGAAAGGATGACTGACTGAATATATACCAGAAAATCAAAGCCGCCAATTTTTTTCTGTTGAAAATAATGTGATATCTCTTGGCTGCGTCCCGACCCATTTCCGGAGTACATGATATACTTTGCAGAAAGGTGCATCACATAATTGGATAATTCTCTGCTTGGGCCTCTGTATGATGCAGATGATGACGATGATGAGCTGCCTGTCTCGTCTTCGCGGAAGAAGCATATCTCCGTTGCTATATGCCAGTGTGTTTAGTTCACGCTAAAATTAGAAGTTTGGTTGAAATTGGAACGATGTGACGGAAAAGTTAAAAATTTGTGTGTGTAGAAAAGTTTTGATGTGATGAAAAAGTTGGAAGTTTGAAAAAAAAGTTTAGAACTATACTCGCCATAAGGAGTATGGACGGAGGACATAAAATTGGCTGCATATGCTCAGTGCTGTTCCTGAGCACAAACTGTAGATGAACTGCTTTCCGATTGCATTTTGCTCTGGAGCTCCAACTTTGCCCATCGGCCGGTGAACTTGCCCATGACCCAATCACCATCTGAATTTGGTATGCTTCCAATCAGTAACAATTTGTCAAGGAGGAGCTTCTTCAGCTCATGAGAGATGTCAATATACGTCGTATTGCTGGATTTCATGCCCATTGCTGGATTGGAAATTTTCAATTAGGTCCCTGAGTGGTGAAAGGAAATTGGGATTATACTAATTGTGAAAACTGAAAAGTGGTTTTATCCAAATGCCAAATGAGAATCGATAAAATTTCATTCTAAATACGTGGCTATGTGCTAAAATATTATTTGGCACCAAATAACCCTTGGGCTTCTCCTTCCCCATCTTCTCTCCTCTCCTAGCTCCGGCTGCCCCTGTACGAATACCCCCTAGCTTCCTAAGTTGCTCGGCCATGAAGGTAGCATCCTCGCCCTAGGTCATGGTAAGGGCAAGTGGTATGATAGATATGACTATCACATCTAAACTTATCTATCTCATCAATTAATTTTTAGAGGGTAGCTCATACACCATATTGTCTCTAATATGCTAGCTCCAATGTGTAACGCTCCGCTTTTCGTGAGACGTTAAAAACTAATTCAGCAAAATCCTAATTTCAAAAATTCCGTTCTTTGTGTGAAGATCTCAATTCAATCTCCATCTTTGTTCCCCCTCGTTGCCATCAAAATCGCCCACCTCAAAATTCCAATTCCGATTCAAGTCTCCGAAATTCAATCGCCTCCTTGAATCCTCGCCAAATACCTGTTCTCGATTCCCATTTGAGTTCCTTCCTTGACTCCACCTTGTGTCCCTAAGACCAAGCATCAAATTCGAAATCCAAATCCAAAACCTCAATTCGAATCCACTCCAAATCAGTCTTCTCTGTAAAAGTCTATTTTGCCTCCTCCGTGTTTTGGATGGGCCGGATCCACTCCCCAGCCCATCTCTCCCCTTTGCCATCTCCCTCACATGCGCTGCACGAGCCGTCGCCGAGAGAAGGATCTCCCTCTCTCTCGTTTTCTCTCTCTCGCGCTGACGCCGCTTCCCTCCGTCGCCGCCCAAAACCTCCACCGCCTTCGCTCGTTCCCGCGCGCTCGCGCGTGGCCGACCGCCCGGTTGCCGCCGCGTCAAGCCCTGGCGTCGCCTGCGTCGTGCGCTGCCGCTCTGCCGCTCCACGCCGCTAGCTTCCAAAGCCGAGAGAGGCAGCCCCTCTCTCACTCCCTCTCCCTCCTTAAACTTTTCCCAAAACAGCAAGGAGCAGAGCTCCCTTTCTCCTCCTCCTTTTTCGTTTTGCCCAACCACCATCAGCGTCACCGCCTGCCACCACCTTGACCACGCCCGACCGCCAGCTCCTCTCCTTGACCGTCCTAAGGTCGGTTCTCCCAAACCGACATCGCCACCTATAAAAACCCGAGCCCCTCCCATCTCCCTCACTCGTTTCTCTCGTCGCCAATCGCGCCTTGTTGCCCCTGCCCTGCAGTCGCCCACGCCGTCCGTCGCTGAAGCACCAGGGAGACCGGTGCGTGCGAAGGACGCGAGAAGAGGACTCCGGGCACCGTCATCTTCCCCTTCCCTGGCCCGAGGCCGGAGAGCTCGCTCCCGCGCCGTCGGCTGCTCGTCACAACGCCCGTCTCGGCTCGGTAGTGCCTCCTCCCGTTCCCCTTCCTCGCTCTCCCTCGCCCCCTCTAGTCTGCGTGATAGCTCGGTGGCACTCCCGAACGCGCATGGACGCCGCCCCGAGCCCCGCCGCCGCCCGGCATGGCCTCGCCGCCATTGCCGTCTGCTCCCGGAGGCCGCCGCTCGTCGCCGGCCCTCCTTGGTACTCCTTCGTCCCATCCGGCGCTGGAAACGGATTCCTTGAACCCCGGATATGCTCCCCCTCCTTTTAATCGAACCCCCGTTGCTCCGGTGAAGTTTCCTCCTTTTCTCGCCGCCGGCGTGCGTCGCCGCGATTCGTTGTCGCCGGCCTCCCTCCGGCGAATCCGATCCGGTGGCTCACTTCCTCTCGTCCGTCCCATCGTTCCGGTGTACTCCCTCTCTCTCGAATCGTCGCGACGAGCTCCGGTGAACTTGGCCGCCGTCCGCCGTCCATCTCGGCCTCCCCTTTTTCCTCCTCCCGCCGGCCCACGTGACTGCCACGTAGGCGCCACGTCGGCGCCACCTCATCTTTGACCGGGCCAAGCCTATCAGCCGCCCCCTCCCTCCATCTTCCCCCCCGTGCGCGCAGTCCACGGCAAGCCGTGCGGCTGCACGTGGGCCCGTCACCATCCGTCCACCCGGCGCGCCGCGCCCGAACCACGCACACCCGAAACCCTAGCGCCCGCCCCCGCGTGCGCCGCTTCCACCGTGCACCGCCTCACCGACAAGCGGGCCCGCTCGGGACCCCGCGAGGTGAGCCCGGTCTACCCGGCTCCCCTTCCCCTCTCTCTCCCCGCGCCCCTCTCTTGGGCCGCCTCCCTGTAGCCCGTGCCGGCCCAATAAGCTCGGCCGAGCCACGCAAATCCTCTCGGGCCGCGCCAAGCCGCTCAGGAAAGTCTGATTCCTATCCCTCCTTCCTTTTCTTATCCAAAGGGATTAATAAATCCTTTTTCCTTTTTCATAAATCAATTCCTTATTCCAAAAATTCCATGAATCATTTCCTTTGGTCCCGCATGTCAGCGACCATCAATAATATTCTTGAGAATATTATTCCATAAACCATTTCTCGTGTTCTAGAAAAATCCAATAAATCATTTCCTTGTCCAGAAATTCCAGTTAAGCTTCCAAATTCATATTTCTCGATCCATTCGTCCGATTGACTTTGTTCCACTTCTAGTATTTCCGTAAAATTGAGATCTATTTAATGGCACTATTATTTAGTCTAAATAGGATCTTTCTTTTGGTCTTTTGTTTAGGTTTTTGATTGTTTGCGTATAGTTGCGGTTACCGGATTTTCGTCGATCGCAGGTTTTCTCGAAGATTCGTGAAGCTCCGTGAAGACCTTGAGCTAGGAAAGTCACCTTTGATCATCTTGCACCTATAATTTAAATCTAAGTATTTCTTTTCCGCAAATATTGCATGAATAGGTTTAACACAAGTATTTCGGCCGCGGCTTGCGAGATAGCCTGCCGGCCCCAATCCTAATTGCTGCAATTACCCTCCTTGAATTATTGAACACTTAGACCTCCTTTGTCGACTGTTGTGCTTCGATGCATGGGCCTTCGGGCTCGAGCATCGGAACACTTCCCTTCAAATTTAAAATATCCAACGATGGGTAAAACTTGGGGTTTTACAAAAGAATTGGAAAACCCGACACCTGGGTCGGTGCTTGCAAACTAAATGAATTTCCAAAACCGCGGACCGGAGGACGTTCCAGGAGTACGGTTTCCCGCTCTTGCACTTAAGGACCGTTTCCTTGGAATTTCATCCAAACATAAGATAAGTACAACCACATGGGTGGAATAGGACACCCCTAGCTGAGTAATTAGCTAATCGGGGGAGCCATGATGCCAAGAGACATGTGGATTCAACGGGGTGGTGCCGGGGAGAACCCCCGGGCTTCCTGGCACAGTATGGTCTGGGACCTAACCTATTGTCGGTCTGGGACCCCTCTCGTTGGCATATGGTGAACCTGTGTCGGCTTTTGAAATGCCTTGTCGTGAAAGCCCCAAGTCACCAAACGTGTCTGATCCACACGGGCTAGGTGACCAAGGCTAGTAATATCATGTGGGTAAAGTGTACCCCCTCTGCAGAGGTTATTAAACTGTTCGAACAGCCGTGCCCACAGTCATGGGCGAATGTGAGGTGATTCCTAGCGTAGTTTTGTTTGACTACTGCTTTGTGAAATTGCTGTTGTGGAATGGGATCGATGTTTGGAAAATCTATGGCTGATGGGATCAGCTAGGCCCGGGTGGCCGTTTGAAAGCTATTGGCCGGATGCCAACCTTGACCAATTCAAAGACCGATACATTGCACATACTCCGACCGGACGAGACGCACTGTCTCATCCGTATCGTTTGAGAAGCACTCACTTAGTTGTTTCAAAAAGGAGTTTAAATAAAATCAATTGCAAAAATAACAGCCTTTCCTTTGAAGCCTGCATTAAACACTTAATTCCCATGGCTTGCTGAGTACGAAAGTACTCACCCTTGCTCTATATAAATATATATATATATATAGTTCCTCTGTCTCGAAGAGAAGATGAAGTGAAGCGAAGATTAGGGTTTTGTCCTGGTTCCCAGCCGTTGCCTGTGGTGTTGGGTGTTAGTTCGTTGGTTCCGCTGCTGCTACTGCTGTTGGTGTTTCCCCGTCCGCGTCGTCGGTTGTATTCTCAGGCTGTCCTGAGCTGCAACCTAAGTTAAGGTAAATAAGTCCTCTAATTTTTTTAAGGATTTGCAATGATTCATATTTATCACCGTGGGTACCAGCACTATGTCCTGGGACTGGTACTGAGAACGCGGTTTCGTAGGAAGCGGTTCGCGCCGTTATTCCTACGACACGTTCCTGTCAGGTGCCGTTGTACGGCGATGCCAGATTGGGGTGTGACACAATGCAACATAACTATTTATTTTATCCACTCTTATCCAATCAACCTCATTCTTTCTTTTTTTTCTTAAAGTTTGTGAAGAGGTTGCCCTTGCATGAGAGGTGGCTCATGCTCTATCTTCTTTCTTTTCTCCTCCACCTCATTATTTAAGCTTAAGTGGCATCTTAGGAGTTTGTACTCAGATGCTTATAGTACTTGCCCTAAGCAAATTAGTTGTTCCTCCTCATCATTAAAAGACACACCCTAAACTGACACAAAACCACTAACGCACACTCGAAAATAGCCTCACGAAATCCGTGATCTCAAAAAGATACACAGTCCTACACAAGTTCAAACATAGCCTCACTAAACCTGAAGCAACTCACTAGTCTCACTAAAATCCTAATATAAACGTATCCACGTGTACGTAATATTTGTGAGAACTAAAATTTAATCCATGATACCACCATCATATCGCTGGTACTTTATCATCACATTACTAGTGCTTCTTTATATTTGGGATAAGTTTGATTCTCTACCTTTTGTTTTCTGTTTATATTTCAATTTATTGGTAGTAACAAACCTTGAAACCTTGAGCATAAAACCAAAACCTTACGGATTTAATTATTTGGTAAGTGTTGGCTTCAACCTAAAGACTTGGGAATACTCCAATCGGTTTTAGATTACTTTGTTAACTTTTGACCTAATTATTCATTTTATTTAAAAAAATTATACAAATACGAAAACGTAAGTCATGCTTAAAGTATTAAAGAAGTATTTTTAATGATAAACTAAAGCACAACAAAATAAATAAAAATTGTGTATTTTTTAAAAAATAAAAAGAAAGGTAAAAGACTTTTTAAAAGTAAACAACGTCCCCTATTAAATATCGAATGTAGCGATGTTAAATTTTACCAATTACAGTATTACTTAGTAGGGCAAGTTTTGCTTAAAATTAACGAAACAGTCGCAAGTCCTGTATGGAAAGACCGCGACATTAGCGGGAGCTAGGCCTAGCGACAATTTTTTCAAAGTTAACTAAGCAAATTAAAATTTTGGAAGTTTCTAGCAGCAGAATTAGCTTGTCAAAGAAAGCAAGATTAAATTAAGTTCATATACGAGACAAGTTCCAAAATCTTTTGAGACACTCAACACACGAGTGACCGGGTCCTCTGAAAATAATCTGACAATGATAATTTTCACCTGCTCGATGCGACTAAGTACTAGTGCTCCCTTATTTTTATCATGAGAAAGCTAATTGAGATCGCTAGCTAACTAATGACCATGTGGTACACGCATGCTGACTAATTAAGACCGACAGAATCCAGCAACGTTCAGCGACCATAATCTGCAATCAAATCAACGCTATATATGCACCGAGACACATATGAATCATCACACGTCTTAACAATTCCCATCAGCTCTCGATTAGATTGATCATTGATCGATCAGTGCCATTAATTGAGTAGTTCGAATATATTCGACATCCATTTAATTAGCTGCAAATAGTGAGCTTGGAAAGAATGGCATTGCTCGCCGTCGTTGTGGTGGCGGCGGCGGCGTTCTCGACGGCGTCCGGCGCCAGCTACGGCGTCGGCAAGCCCAACGGCGGGTGGGATCTTCAGACCAACTACACCTCTTGGGCTTCCTCCATCACCTTCCGCCTCGACGACAAGCTTGGTAACTAATTAATAATCACCTTGCATTTTATCATATATCCTCCTAAATGATATTAAACTATTTATATTTAGTAGATTTTACAACTTACAAAAACTATATAGGTTATACTGCTAGAATTTGCTACAAAAATACGTATTCTTAAGACCGTGTCGATATCCAAAACAACAAAATTGAATTTTTTTTTTTTTACATTACAGTGTTCAAGTACTCAGCGGCGGCGCACGACGTGGTGGAGGTGACCAAGGACGGCTACCTCTCATGCTCGGCGTCGAGCCCCATCGCCGTCCACCGCACCGGCGAGGACGCCGTCGAGCTCGGCCGCCTCGGGAGGCGCTACTTCATCTGCGGCGTGCCGGGGCACTGCGACGCCGGCATGAAGCTGGAGGTCAGGACACTCTGCTCAATCCCGTCGCCGCCGCCGCCGGGCAGCGACGGCGACGGCAACGGCACGCCGGGCGGCATCTGCATCGACGGCTCGTCGCCGCCGACGATCATCTCCACCCCCGGCGTCGTCTCCTACGGTTCAGCTCCGGGATCTTCAGGCAGTGCCACCACTGCACTTGCCATCATGGCAGCTGCTACAGTGATGCTGCTATCTCTCATCATAGTTTAATTGATAAAATAAATCATGGTTTCTTTAGCACAAAGTGTTGTACATGTCCTCATTTCTTTTAACAAGATTTGTATCGATTGGTTAAATTACATAAAACAGCATACAAGACAAACAGAATTTGGGTGATAAGAAATGGTGTATATGATGCTACTGAATTTGACACCGGGTGTCTGCAGAGAACAAGAATGAGCATTCTTCCTTTCTCCGGAAAAATTGTATTGTACATTAAAAGGGGGCAGTAGCCTCTATAGAGCGCCACAAATGTCAGCTTACTTCCATACAAAAACGAACTACTAACACAAGAACAATAGTGAATGTGAATCAGGGACGACGATGCCCAACCAATGGATTGAGCAACTAAGCGGTTTCAGGTTACGATTAATTCACATAACGCAACCGATGAAGCATTACGCGACAGGCGGGCACGCTTCGCTGTCCTTGGAGGTGTCGACTTCGGAAGGCGGCATGAACTGCCACATCGGGTACCCCGGGTATCCAACAAAAGGCATCATCAGCTTCTGCCCCGCGGCTTGCCCCTGGGCATGGTGGAAGGGGGCAAGTGGTGCTTGTGGGTACGGTGCTGGCATCAATGTGGGGTGAGGCATGTAGGCTGGAGTTGCAGTCAGAATCTTCACCTGCTGCTCTAATGTCTCCTTCTCTACTTTCAGCTTCTGCTTCTCATCACGAAGCTCGTCCTTCTCTGCCTGAAATTGGAAGAAAGTAAGACATTAGCCATGAGATATCATCATTTCAAACATGAGTAATAACTAGTTGGGCGTTCTCCAAAACATGGAGCATAGATCATAGCAGGATAGGACACTTATGTTCCCTACAGTTCCACTTCCACATCTTACAAAAGCTGGAAATCATGTGAACAATACATGCATTGTGCTCCACACTACTATGCAGCATCATCATATGATTAGCTAATTTATGTGTTGCCGTATTGGCAAACAATAGCCCAACGCAAGCATGAGAAGTCCTATTAAACAGCTAAATGTGACAAATAAAAGAATTTTAGCTTTAAGCCAAATGATAGATTGCTCGCAACATCCCAACCAAGTTGTATTCTAGGTCACTCAAAATGTGTTCCCAATTTCCCATCTTAGCTAAAATGAAATGTATCAGCCGCAAGCTAAAAATTGTTAAGAAGCACTCCAATCACAAGCTTTTGGATAACAGAAGGTTGGAATATGGATGTAAGTTAGGTTGCATCACCTTCAGTTCTTTAATCTTATCTTCAAGACTCTCGTTAGTATCCTTTAGCTGCTTCGCTTCAGCACGAAGTTGAATTACCATGCGAGTGGCATCACTTAGGATAGCAGCTTTGTCAGATTTTACTGGCTTCCCAGGCTCCAAAGTAGTCCCCAATTCAAGAAACCTAGGAAGCATAAGTAACGTTACAAAATCAGGGTCAGTCTTTCTTCCGAACTCTAGAATTAGAAAAACTAGGAAGTATGATGTACCTATCATTCATCTTATCTCTTCTGATCTTTTCCCTGGAAGCTTTTGATGTTGGCCTACCACAAGACCCTGACCTTACACTGCAACTTGCAATAGAATCACCATTTAAAGAACTGACTTTTGAACACAATAAACTATTATAAGAACAAGCATGCTTTAGCGCAAAGTGAAAAAGCAGCCTGACCGTTTATTACTGCCAGGTTCCTTGAGGACATAAGAGGTGGTGTTCACATAGCTGCTTACTTCCACACTGTAAAAACAATAAAAAGGACATGAGAACCATAGCGCAATAGGAAATCTAGCCTACAAATGCTGGAAATTTAAGAAAATCTCAAAAAATGGCACAATAAGATACCAAAAACCATTTAAACTCCTCGTAGCTACTTGCTTGAGCACAACCTGTTAAATTTCCCGCAATCAATTAGCGAATCTTTAAGTTGTTCAACGTAGAGATACTGGTCAGAAACTAAAGGCCACATGACTAAAATCCGCACCGCTTACAATTTATTCAGGATAGCCAGTTAATCGTAGAATTGAAGTGCTATCACGACACAAGAAAAGATAAATTGATGCCATATACACTAGAAATAACCACATCTAGATTACCAATCCTGGCATGTGTTGTACATCTTGCATCAAAAACAAAAAGCATCCGCCAAACTCGATGACCAGGTTAGCCGCAGCATAATTTTTTTTACTGTGCGTACTAATTGCCTTATCTACAAAAGAAATAATAACCAATATAGATGAACAGATCCCACAAACAGACCAATATAGGTTCTAAGATGCATCCGCCTTTACATACTATAATAATAATAATAATAATATTATGTTCCCCTCCTCTCCACAAAACCAGGAATAATAATCTCACTAATCCCACACAAATCCAATCGCTCCACTCGCTCAACCCGATTCCACACAAATCCAATCGCCCCACTCGCTCAACCCGATTCGCTGGACGAACTAGAGAAATCTACGCATGCATCGGGGAGGGGGATGCGTCCCACGGGAGAGGACGGCTAAATTACCTCGGGTTGGAGCAGGACGGGGATGCGTCCCACGGGAAGGCCCCGCACGCGGCCGCCGGGAGGTCCTCGAGGATGCCGCAGTCGAGGAACCAGTCGTCCCCGCTCCCTCCGCCGCCTCCGCCGCCTCCGCCGCCGCCGTCCGCCGGGGTACCGGACATCGCCGCCGCGCTCTCCTCCTCCTCCTCTCGTGGTGGTGGCGATGTTTTCGCGGATTCTGACGACGAGGAGCTTCGCCTCGCCTCGCCTCGCGATTGGAGAATTTTGGGTGGAGATTAGGAGGGTGGGTGGGTGGATGACAGGTGGGGCCCACCGCCGCGCTTGCGTGGGTGGATTCGCGTCTCCTCCCCTCCCTTTTGTTTTTGCGAGTGGATGGGAGAGGAGTAGGTGGGCGTGTGGGGGCGGGCTTGCGCTTACGTGGCGCCACGTGATTGGTCCAGATCCGGATGGCAGACATCCCCTGGTTCGCTGGCTACATGTTGCTGTAAAAAAACCTCAAAAAAATATATACGAACATGTTGTAGTAGAATTAGTGACTGTTTGGTAATGTTTGTCCATTGCTTTGAGAGAATCCCATTTCAAAATGTGGTGTTTGAATTGGTATTGATGTTATGAAATCGAAATTACAAAAATTAGTAAAACGAATTTATTATGAATGTGGCATGGCGTGGCGTTAATCGAAATTATATAGAAATCGGAGGAAACATTTGATATTAGGTGGGTTGATTAAAGACTATATTACTTATTTTCTTTAAAAAAATATAGTGATGCCTCCATGAGTAGTGTGATGTATTGATGTTTACAGCCAGTAATGATAAGGAGTAATATATGTTTGTTTAACTCAAGTGTCATAATCGACATGGAATTATTTATTTAGTTATGTGCCAATTGCACTTTGGGGGCTAGTAGCAAACATGAATTAATCCAGTATATTAGCCTTCGTTTTCACTCAGGATGTTTTCTAAATTGGGACGTACAAACTAGCAGCCCATGGTATGTCGTACCTGTAAAATTTTCACATTCTACCAATGTATCCGAGAGATGGAAACACTACATATCCACCAGGTTTCCTTGCCCCATACTCACACCCATCGCGGGTACAAAATCGTCCCCATACCCACAGTGTGCGGGTAACGGGTACATAATGGATACCCATATAATTGACTTGTAGCATTTATAGTTTTGTACTGTAATTAGCCATATTAGACATATAAACTATCATTATTTTCTCTAGCAACAATGCTATTAACATTAATGTTCAAATACGAGTAAAAAAATTATACACATAACATAATCAAGAAATCAAATACTGGACTAGAACAAATGCTTAAGAGGTGAAATGAGTTTTATGTTACTCATAGTTTTAGGTTTAATCTATGGATTTTTTCGCCCACGGGCTAGTGATACGGGTGGGTAAAGAACGGATCCATACCCACATACTAAATGAGTAAGAGTTTTCGCCCGTCAGTAGACCCATGGGTACAAGAGCATGATTAGAGGTGTCGGGTCACGGGTCCCTATTGCTATCTCTGCCATCTCTAATTCAAGGTGCTCTACAATAATGCCAATTAAATCTTTGTGCGTTTATGCACAGAGAAAAACAGACGGAATGAGCATGTAAAAAGGTCATAATATCTTTTCTTATTTAATATTAACTATAACCTACTTGTTTCTAATTAAAAAAAGATTTTATCGGCTAATTTGGAATTGCAAGTGATCATTATGGATGGGACTGCCCTACATATATCTTGCGGTAAGTGATGTGACTATAATAGGGTTTTTTAATTAGGTCAGGTGACTAATTAAATTAGCATGCATGCATGATTATATAGTTAAGTATTACATCAATTAACTTTGGGTGCATGTCACCTATCACCTACATATATACGCATCTGAGTCAACTAAGCATGACTCTAGCCCGGTGGCATGAACGTAAGCCCTGAGGTAGCATGTATGAGTTGGATTGAATTTCATCGAGTTGGCTATGGTCTTGGCGTTTCCATCAACATGTTATTTAAAATGGAACTACCTACTGATCATTCGATCAGATTAGAACTTTAAATCTTATAGAACTTTAAATCAATGGATCCAACCTATTTTAAATAAAACAAAATAAAACGATAAATATGTCAAAATGGTAAATCTAGAGAAAAAAAAGTTGTAGCTAAGTGTAGTGTACTGGAACTTAGTGTAAGTGCCCTGTAAGAACATAATCTTGATGCAAAATTCTATGGACGAAAAATCTGTCACAAGTCGCAAGCGAAATAGTCATCATGTTGCGATTCTATATTATAGGTATGTACATATCTCTTATTTTCAATATTGTGAAAAGAGAGAGGTGGTTATATGTGGTACTGATTCTCCACCTATATGCATGAATGATATACAGCCCGTTAAATATGTCAAAAAAAATCCATCAGATTTTATGCAAAAGGAAGAAAAAGCTGATAAAAAGTTGCAACTAAGCTTAGCACAAACATTCCCCTTCAAACTATTTGAAGATTTAAGGGTCCCTTGAAACTTCTTGGATCTACCATTACAAACTATCGGTAGAGCCAACACAAACAAAATAAAGATTTTTCTCGCTACCAACATCTATTCAACTTTTCAAAATCTACTATTCCCTCCGTTAAAAAAATACAAACCAAGGAGGAGATATCTCTCCTAATATAATGAATTTGGATTGTACTTATATGTCTATAGGAGGGACAACATCCCCTTCCATTAGGTTTTTCCGAGGCGGAGGGAGTACAGAGAACATCATGGACTGAGGCCCTCTTTGTTTAGGTTTATAAACCAACTTATAAGTCAAAAAGTCTAAACCTAAACAAACAAGCAACTTTTTCGTTTGGCTTTGTTGAAGCCATAAGCCACTCTAACACTGTTAAGCCAAAAGCTAGGTTTTTTTTTTTTTTTGCTTATGTGAGATAGATGCATGACTCCACCATTAAACTTAAAACATTAAATCCACCAGCTTATAAATCACATAAGCCAATAAGCTGATTTAAAAGTCTAAGCCAATAAACCTAAGATCAAACAAAGAATACCTGGAAATGGGCCATCCTTATACTGTCCGGCCCCACATTACCGCATCACATGTCAGTGAGACAAAGCCCAAGGCCAAGGTACCCAACCTTCTTCCTCCCGCGATGGCAGATAAACCCCTCACGGCCTCACCGCCTTCCTCCTCTTCAGACTCCAATCCACCAAACCCACCCCAAAACCCCTCCCAAACCCGCAAACTTCACCTCAAATTCCCCCCATTTTTGAACAAATTTCCTCATAATCCCGTCGAATTCGACCTCACCTCCCCATCCATGGAGCCGCAGCTCGCCGCACTCTGCAACCCCCGCCTCCTCCACTCCCCCCATGCCTTCCTCCCCAAGGCCACCTCCACCTCCACCTCCACCTCCTCGTCGTCGTCGTCGGCGGCGGCGGGGGGAGAAGCCCTCAAGCCTCGCCCGCGTCTCCCGCCACCGCAGCAGCAGCAGCCCGGCGTCTCCCACCACCACCACACGCGGCGGCGGAGGGAGCTGGGCGCCGCCGCGCTCGCCTCCCTCTGCGCGGGGATCGAGGCGCTGGCCGCCGAGGGGCGGCACGACGAGGCGCGCGACGCGTTCCGCGGGGCGCGCGCGGGCGCCCCGTTCACGCCGCTGCCGGCGTCCACGTACGACGCGCTGGTGGCCTCCGCCGCCGCGCTGCGGGAGCCCGGGTTCGCCGCGGCGGTGCTGTGGCACGTCGAGAGCTCCGGGTTCGAGCCCGGCCAGCGCGCGTGGAACCGCGTGCTCCGGATGCAGCTCGCGTGCGGGATGCTCGCCGAGGCGCGGCAGGTGTTCGACGGAATGCCCGCGAGGAGCGAGGCCACCTGGGGCACCATGATGGGCGGGCTGATCGACGCTGGGCGCCCGCGCGGCGCGCTCGCGCTGTTCCGGGAGCTGTGGGAGGAGGTGGGCGGGGATGCTGCGCCAAGGGTGGTGGTGGTGGCCGTCCGTGCCGTGACGGCATTGGGGTCGGCGCGTGCCGGGCAGCAGCTGCACTGTTGCGTTGCCAAGACAGGGATGTACGAGGACCAGTACCTGTCGTGTGCGCTCATCGACATGTATAACAAGTGCGGGAAGCTTGATGAGGCGAGGCGGGTGTTTGACGGGGTGCCTCAGAAGAGTGTCGTAGCGTGGAACTCCATGCTCGCGTCGTATTCGCTTCATGGATGCAGTGAGGAGGCATTGGATTTGTATCACAGCATGTGCGAGGGTGGTGTTGACATAGACCAGTTCACGTTCTCCACGATGCTCAGGGTTTTTTCTAGGCTGGGCTTGCTGGAGCATGCAAAGCAAGCTCATGCTGGCCTGATTCAGACAGGGTTACCTCTGGACATTGTCGGGAACACGGCACTGGTGGATCTATATTGCAAATGGGGTCTGATGGAAGATGCAAGGAATGTTTTTGAGAGGATGCCTATCAGGAATTTGATCTCTTGGAATGCTCTAATAGCAGGCTACGGCTATCATGGCATGGGGCAAAAGGCTATTGAGATGTTCGAGGAGCTAATAGCTGAGGGAATTGCTCCAAACCATGTTACATTTCTAGCTGTACTAAATGCATGCAGATTTTCTGGCTTTGTTGAGGAAGGGAAGAGAATTTTCCAGTTGATGACTCAAAATCAAAGAACAAAACCACGGGCGATGCATTATGCTTGTATTATCGAGCTTTTTGGTCAACAAGGGCGATTAGATGAAGCCTATTCAATGATAAGGAAAGCACCGTTCATCCCTACCGCGAACATGTGGGGTGCCTTGCTCACTGCTTCCAGGATCCACAGGAATTTGCAGCTTGCTAGATTATCTGCTGAGCAACTGTTGGCGATGGAACCTCAGAAAATAAATAATTATGTTGAGCTTCTTAACTTGTATATTAACTCTGGGAGACAGACTGAGGTCTCAAAGGTTGTCAATACTTTGAAGAGGAGGGGTTTATGTATACATGCTGCTTGTAGCTGGATTACTGTTAGGAAAAAAGATCACAGGTTTTTCTTTAAAGATAGTCTCCATCCACAAAGTTCTGAAATCTATAGGAAGTTAGATTCATTATTGAAGGAGATAAAACAACTTGGTTATGTTGCTGAGGAGAATGAATTGCTCCCTGATATTCTTCCTGATGAACAAAAGACATCGAAAGTTTACCATAGCGAAAGACTTGCCGTTGCTTTTGGCCTTATCAGCACATCTTTGTCTACTACCTTGAGGGTCACCCAGTGCCATCGGTTGTGCCATGACTGCCACAAGGTAATGAAGTTTGTAACACAAGTTACCAAGAGGGAAATTGTCATAAGGGATGGTAGTAGGTTTCACCACTTCAAACTCGGGACCTGTTCTTGCGGTGACTACTGGTAACTAGGTATATCCAACTGGGTCTCACTCCTGACAATGTATTATCCTTGTATTAATCAAAGACTTTGTATTGTTGTATGAGGTATTCCTAAATCGAACAGTTTTTTTCCTTGTCATATGTGTTCTTGACTTGGCACTATAACTAGAGGTAGGAGAGCTATAATGGAGGCTTGAGTGTTTTCCTTTTTAATGGCTATGCTGAATGCCATAAATATGCAGCACTATTTCTTGGGCAAAATTTTCTTTCACCATTATCATATGACCCATCAGCAAACTTCAGTTCTTTTACACGTTTTTGTTATATGTGATTGTATAATTTGTCAGATGTGGTATATGTTGCTTATGTTGATGCTGCGTAATCAATATTGTCTATTCTATTGTATGTAAGCTAACATATATTTTGCTGGCAGCTGCTCATTTGCAGAGGTTCTGAAACCAATTCTGGACTGGAAATAGCATGGTTTAATGAGGACAAAGCAGTCTGTTGATTTCTCAATTGTTTGTGCGGACTACTTGGTAATTGGTAAGTTTGGAAACTTTTAGTTTCTTTGAGAGAGTAAAATTCAAGTTTGATTTTCACCGATATGCTTGTATGCTTATCTTTCTATGAGATATTTTACTGTCGGCAAAATTTCTGTGCATATCTTGCTGATAAGAACATCATATGCTTTTATCACTGGGGGAAAAGCTAGCTTTTGTGATGCCCTCAATAGAAAGTTATTTTTCTGAGCATGATCAGATCTATATTTACCCCATGTTTTCACACGCTTCACAGACCTTCTGTAAAAGCAGAATCTGCAAAAGTGGCCTGAATATGTGACAGATGGGCTTTCACACTGGAGATGCTAATCTTTACTTGTGTCCTTTAAGGAAGGAATAAAGCTCATATGTAACAAAGGATCAAAGGAAAGTATAATACTTTCAGCATCTATTGACAGCTAATTTCTACTCAGTTCATAACTACATCATAGTTGGAGAAAAATTCTCCTGTTCTACTTTTGCTCTCAGCTCTTTATTCACCGATTACCAATAAAAAGGGGTACACCTCCTTCGTTGTAAGCAGGCAAACAAGATTGTTCCTCCCATAACTGCTCTCAGCTTATCCTGCTTCCATAACTTCTCTCGGCTGATAGAAGATATACGTTTGAGAACACGCTGCGATGGCAAGAGCAACAATTGGGGCTGCTATTCTTGTCTGTGTGGTGATTTTAGCGCTGGATGTTACTGCTGGCATACTAGGACTTCAGGCTCAGATTGCTCAAAACAAGGTACTATTCCAAGATATTATGAAAACAAATCTTGGTTTCCATTTTTCTAGGTTTCACAAAGGGATTTTATGACATCGAAGTTTTGCGCAATACACAATATCTTTTTTAGATGTATTCAATGTATATAATGAAAGGGTTTCATGTAATGGATGTTTTCAGCTATTGCAACTCTATCTTCCACTCTAATTGAATAGTGGTTCACTGGTTGTTAATGTGAAAAAGCCAAAGACAGCTGACATGCATTTCTTTGTCAATTTTCCACTCTAAATGAATGATCGTTGGTGTTTCTTATTGGCAGGTTAAAACGGTGAGGATGTTGTTCATCGAATGTGAGCAATCATCCTCCAAAGTATACCAGTTGGGCCTCGCGGCTGCAGTGCTCCTTGTAGCTGCCCACGCAGTGGCTAACTTTCTCGGAGGCTGTGCCTGCATCTGCTCTCAGATGGAGTTCATCCGGGCTTCCATCAAGAGGAAGCTGGCAGCGACTCTGATAGTCCTCTCCTGGTAACCAACCCCTCTCTTTTATTGAAACCCTCCCTTTTGTAAGTTGTATAGCTCGGATGTTAAATCATCTCCTTTAAGGTCATAGTATCAGATGTAACGTATACATCCTGACTAAAGAAACTTCCTTTTCAAAAAAGAAAAAGAAGGAACGAAATTTTTGTGCTTGCAGACTGACATCACCATGGACTGTTCGATGTTGTAACAGGCTTGCTCTTATTGCCGGATTCTCGCTGCTGCTCGCCGGTGCCATGCGCAACTCCAACCCCCGGAGAAATTGCAGCTTTGCGCAAGGCCATACCCTGGATCTCGGAGGGATCCTGTGCTTCGTCCATGCCGGGGTCACCGTCGCCTACTACGTCACCGCCAACGCTGCAGCATACGAACTTCCTTAGAGATCATGCTACGAGCAAGCTGATACTTTATCACACACGAGATCATCACCTGATCACCAACCATTCTTTCCTTCTTTTTTTTTTCTTAACCTGTTGTTTTTCCATTCAGTTTGTGATTCAGCTTTTGCAAATCATGGAAGCATCGATCGAGTTCTGTATTGTGTTGAAGTCAAAAGGGAAATTGATATACTTGTGCTTTAGTTACCTTTCTTTGCCCTAGGAGCTTGACATTGTGTTATTTGCCACGGAAACATGCTCATTTAGGGGAGAAATGAGTTTACCATCTATCTATATGTTTACAAATTATACCATCTATTATATGTTTGCAAAGAATATAGTACCAACAGTTGGTATAGCGTGAATTGTTATTCTTTTATCAAATTATCTAAGAAAACATAGCTCGAGAGGAATGTAAATACAGTTTATTTTGTCAAACACTTTCATTCAATTTTTAACCATTTCAAAACAATCTTTAGGTTGATTATATTTTCCTTTTTCTTTACAACTTTGTACTATTCTGTACAAGAAAGCAACCTCGGGCCCACCAGCCAGTCCAAACAGTATTAGGCCCACCCATATGGTTACTGAGCTAATTTTCTTCATGAACGCAACATTATTGTGAAGGGAAACCACTGTTTTCTTTCAGAAGTTCATCATATCCAGAGATGAGCAAAGGACAATTAAGGCAACAATCAGCTTCTATTATCAGAGTGGTTACAAAGCAGGTCTATACATCACACTTACAAATTGTCATCTCTCCATACACCAGTTACCAGTCACCACTAATGCTCAAAACTGCATTCTCTCTATCCAATTGTGTCATCCTTGATCCTAGTATTTTTAATATCAACAAAACAAAAGAATTGCACAGACAAAAAAGAAGAAAGTGCCAAGAACAAGAACAGCCGAAAATGTTGTGTTGTCAATTTCAGTCAGACATCTGCAAGATCAGAGACACTCCCAACTGATTCTTGTCTCTGATGGCCGGAGAGCGAAGATTGAACCTCGGATGCTTCCAAGTCGACAGATTCATCGTCTGCTCTACCTGGTGGAGGCCTCCTTTTGTGATGCTTCTTGCTCTGGCTGTGTTTCGCCACACGGATCAGAGCCTGGACAACATCTCTCATTGCTGGGCGCTTGCGGGAAACTCGGCTTACGCATCTGTAGGCCACAGCAGCCATGTCGTTGAGCTCCTCCACATCGAATGCGCCTTCTAACCGAGAATCTGCAATCTCCTCCCATCCAGTTTTGCCATCAGCATTGATTGCAGCCTGATCATAGATTGCATTGTAAGTCAGCAATTACAAACCTTAATGTTCTGAGAAAAAACAATTCTTGAACAAAAAAGAGTAAGGAACAAATTCTTGAACAAAAAGAGTAAGGAACTAAGTAGGGGGCTTCCTTACAAGCTCTACATATTCCATTAGACCTTGTTGAGGGTTTCTGCCAGCAATCATTTCAAACAGCAAAACGCCGTAGCTGTATACATCACTCTTCTTTGTGAACGATCGTGAGGACACATACTCTGGATCAAGATATCCATAAGTTCCACGTATGTTGGCTCCATTTCGAGTAACCATTTCTTCTCTTGATAATCCAAAGTCTGCAACCTGGCCAACAGAAAGTGCTCATTAGTCTGAGAATAAAACATTTTAGTACAATAAGACACCATATCCAGTGTTATCCAAGAAGTACTGTATTTTGAACTACCAACACATAGGTTAATAAACTAAACTTTTGCGAATTTCTTCAAAAAATTGCATTAATATGTACTACGTTGACCATGTCACTAAACTAGACGCTGACTTGATGAATAGGTGCTTAATATCTGATGGATATCATGATGGGTAGCAGAGATGCTTCACATACCCTGGCATGCATGGACTGGTCCAGCAAAATGTTTGGTGATTTGATGTCACGGTGAACTACTGGAGGAACTGCCTGCGCTAGAGTTGAATGAGATCAAGGAATCTGGTTGCATTTCATAGTGTATCATGCTTCCAATTATGAAATACAACAGCCTACCCCATCATGTAGGTACTCCAAGCCCCGAGCAACATCCAGAGCTATGTTTACCCTCAAATCCCACCGGAGATGTGCAATGTTTTCACCTAAACCATAAAAAGGATATTAAGAAAGCCAAAAAAAAAAAAAACTGAGGGCACAGGTTCTTTCAAGAAAGTATAGCATGCTATCATATGGAGATAATGAATACCATATAAGTGCGATGCAAGGCTTCCATTAGGCATGAATGCATATAATAGCATATGCTGCCCTTTTTCAGCGCAATAGCCAACCAAATTCACCAGGTTCCTGTGGTGCAATCGTCCAAGAAGTAAAACCTGAAATTAACAGTCTATCAAATAAATACCAAGCAGTCAGAGTTTCTGGCGCATAAAGATTGGCTTACCTCAGTTTGAAACTCCTTTTCACCTTGCTTTGAATTGTTAGCAAGCACTTTAACAGCAAGAGTTTCACCAGATGACAAATCAGCTTTATAAACAGGACCAAAGGCTCCTTGACCCAATAGTGTTGTGAAATTGCTGGTGGCCTTCTGCAGCTCTCTATAAAGAGAAAATTATGAACTTCAGAAAGTGTATAGTACAAGATACCTTATGAATGTCTTGCAAAAAATAAAATAAAATTAATGGCACACAATTATGTAGAAAGCAAAAAATTAGTGATAATAATTGTGTTGGAAGTATCAATATGTGAGGCACCAATTACCGGTAAAATTTGAGAGAAGTTTATATCAGCAAATTCTATGTTCTTGTTGAACTTAAAATCATAAGATATAAAAGTCTCCTTTGATGTCTAATAGTTACTGACATTTAGTGGTTTAATTTTACCCTCCTTACATTTATAAATTATCAGACTCATTGAAGAAGAAATTACAAATATAAAATATGCATATCTCGTGGGAAGTACAATTCCTACAATTAACTAAATGTTTCCTCTCGATGTGATTTAGAAAGATAACCTCTGTCAACAAAAATGAACCAATACATGGTTTCAAAAGATTTGCTTATCAACTAAAAAGAACTTGGTCTTAATTGGATGAAAAACTATTGATCTTGAAAAATAAAAGAGAGACATCGGCCTTCAGTTTGATTCACCAAAACACCTGAGTGAGGCTGGATGCTATGGTCAACTGTTAATAAGTGAAGCACATTTTCATCGAATATATAACTCAATTATATTGAAATTGACCACAATAAGGTCCAACATGGTTGTCCAATTCGACATATCATCGATCATTACATCCAGATATGCATATTTGACATGTTTTCCTGTCCTCACACCAGTTTTCTCCCCATCTAGAATGCTAGAAATAAATATTGCAAAATCTCATTGTACAACCCCCTCTCTATAAGTTCTCCAGGTTCCACTTTCCTAATGTACACTTCCACTGTGACATTCAGAAAAAAAAAGTCCAAAACTAAAAGAAAAGAATTAGTAGGTAAAGAAATATGTGGGAAGTCAAAGGAGGATAAACAACCACTAAACTTTGAAAGTTAACAGGAATCGATTACCAAATGTTTCAGTAATAAACAAATTGCCCATCACTAATCCTAAAACTAGATCAATTGTTCAACATACAAATTAGTACAAACAACCATGAGAGTGCAAGGAAACATACTTGTATGCATATTTGGGTATCCCAGAAGCTGATATCACACTCTTCCTACCAGGCCCTTCCAGCCACATAGATGCTCCGCGATCTTCAACCTCCCTTGGCGATTCCTGCCCCGTAGTGGAGTTCGAGAGTATCGTGCAAGCATTAACACCATTGGCGCGGATGGGAATCGTCGATGCCCTCCTTGAGCTACTACTCCTTATCTGTGCCTGAGATCGCCGATACCTCAAGCACAGAAGTATCCCAACTGCCAGCAGCACCCCTATCACCACTCCAACTGTTATTCCAATGATCAGGCCCTCAGAAACCCCTTTCATCCTCCCCATTTCGCCGCAGATCTTAGCAATTGAGATATTGCATCCACCTCATGGAAGCTCTAACAGCTATGCCTGTCCTGCCAAGAAGTACACAATTCAGAATTTGCCAAAAGTCTTTGAACGTGTGAGCATGTGTCTCCATGCGTTAGGTGGTGGGTATTTGGGTCAACAGCAAGATTGATATGTATATGCAAACCACAGATATGGAATTACTAGTAGTAGTAGATGGAAGCAGCTTACTGCTTAGTGCTTTGTCAAAACAATCTTTGGTCAAACTTTGCCATCCCAACTCATGTCACATCAGAAGATCAGACCATTCACAAAGTATGGTGACAACCGACAACACTGATAATACACGAAACTAGGACCAACTTGCACAAAAGAACACTACTAATTGGACAGGAACTAAGTCAGATATTACTGGTGAACTAATCTGGCATTATTATCACTAGAAACATATCTGAATGCATATCAGAATTCCCTTTTGATGCGATGAAAAAAAAAATAATCAGACACACAGATATCTCTCAAGGAACCATATTACTGTCTTTCAAGCAGTTTTAGAACAATAACACCAAAAACTGGAACTTATTGATAGTACGAACTCCAAAATGGCAACCTAAAACCAGGCTCCGGAACACATTACATACTACTCACAGAATCCTCATGGAGTCATGGACCGCATCATCATAGTGGAAGAACTACAAACTACAGGCCTGACGCTGGTTGTCTCCACAAACACTAAAATCGTCAACGCGAATGCAAAGATGCCATATCTTTCACTCGCAAATCGGAAATACGCAACCCTGGAATCCTCACATGAGCTCAAGAAACTCGAGAAGAAAGAACTCCTTCAGACAGACTGACAACGATCCTACACCGAAGGAGCACGAACCCACAACAGAAAAATCAGAAGAAAAAAAAAGAACCGATGCAATAACACTGAAAAATAAATCCAAGAACCGAACATGAACAGAGAACTAGTCATGGCAATTGTTTCAAACAAGAAAAAGAAAAGAAAAAAAAACGAATCCAAGAAACGTACGAATGCGGCGGGAGACGGGGCAGCGGGTGGGCGAATCCGTGCTTGCTCGGCTCAGCGAAAACGCGCGGATCTCGATCGCGCCGCTCCTGATCGGAAATGGCGGCGAGATGGGGGAAGAAATCGATCGGGGGAAGCTCGGTGCTCGCCTTGGGGTTGAAGAGAAGAGAGAGAGAAATAAAAGAGAAGACTTTCTCGAGTGTAACTTCCTGTGGAGAATAAAGCAGACAAAAAAAATAAAAAAAAAGGAAAGAAAAAAAGGTGAGAAAAAGAAAGTTCTGAAAATGTGGAGGAAAGAAAGGAATGGAGGGTAATTCTGTAAATATACTCGAGTTCAAAATTGGGATTTGTAAGTCCTCTTTAAGGCTTTAGCTTAGTGGGTTATATAATTTTGCAATTTGGAAAAGTTTATGATATTTGCAAGTAATTCCTTGTGCAGTAGGCTATTAAAACAAATTATTTTTTGGTCTTTTTAGAAATGGTGCCACTACATAGGCCATGTTTGAAACACTAGGAAATTAGTTGTTTCCGCGAAAATTGAACCATTTTGTAGTGGATTTTCCTATGTCCCAAACTGGACATAGTACAATAGTAAACGAGAAAAAAAATATGTCATGCATATACCAACGAAATTATGGGTTTTTATCTTATTTCACTTTCCACAAGATTAAACAAATACATTTACTCTAAACCAAGCTAAGTCATAATTAGTTTTATATCGCATTAGGTTATGTCGCAGGTTCCCTTTGTAAGACTTCTTATAACTTTGGATCATGTTTTGCAAAATTCTATTTGAATTTTCAATTAAACATGAAAATTGTATAGTATGTTGATGTATCTCGATAGAAAGTAATATGTTCTTAGTCCATCCATCTCAGAATATAGCAACCTAGGATCGGATTAGACGCATCCTAGTACTACGAATCTGAACATAGGGCATGTCTAGATTCGTAGTAGCAAGATACATCCCATCCGATCCTAGGTTGCTATATTTTGGAACGGAAGGAGTACTTTACACCTAATGCACATTGAAAGTATGCTATAAATTCGGCTCTGTTCTTAGGCTGAGTTTGAGGAGAAGGGCATTGAGAAGATTAGGAAGATACGTAAAACGGTCTGAGCTATTAGTGTATGATTAATTGAGTATTAATTATTTAAAATTTTAAAAATAGATTAATATGATTTTTTAAAACAACTTCCCTATAGAATTTTTTTTAAAAAAACACACCGTTTAGTAGTTCGGAAAGCGTGCGCGCCGAAAACGAGAGAAATCTTTCTCTCTATCACCTACTGCGAACGCTGCCTTAGTTCTGTTCTCTTTTCGTAATTGCAAGAAAAATAAGTAAAAATTTACCATAATTTTTCTTTAAAAATTGGCTCTAAAATTAAAATGAATTTGGGTTATAATAATTTGTAAGAAACCATTAAGTGCTTGTTGGAATAATGTAAAATGATAACTTTGAATTCTATTCCATTTATTTTTTCCACCTCATTTCATCCATTCACTACCTTCATATATTTCCCTATACCAATCTAACATCTGATATGATCATATCACATGATCCAAACATAGTTCCAACTTCCAAGACCATATAGATCACCCAATTATCAAAAGAATCATTAGATTAATTAGCTGCCGTCCAAAGCGATTTGGCAAAGAAACAGAGAGTATACAATTTTGCTATATATTTGTCGATAAATTTTCTCTCAAAAATTTAACAGATGTAATTACAGTACAATCGCAGTGTAATTACACTGTAACTTGCATGTAATTACACTGTAACTATAATGTAACTTGTATGTAACTTTCAAAAATCTCTCCGTAACATGTTATTTCGGTAAAATAGAGATCGTGGGAACAAATCCTTTCACATATATATGTGCTGTGATTTTTTTTCTTCCTCACCAGAATAAATCTTGTAATAGATCTAACGATTTAAAATTATGTGAAACTTACATACAAGTTACACTATAGTTACATGTAAGTTACAGTGTAATTACATACAAGTTACAACGTAATTACACTATGATTATACTATAATTACATCTGTCAATTTTTTAAAAGAAAATTTGTCGATAAATATATAGGTGGTCCCGAGAGTATATATATCCTCGAGACATGAGCTCCTGTCAGCTCCCAATGCTGCCGGTGGGGCCACCTCACTTTGCCTCATGTCAAATTACCAAACTACCCCTGTCCGTTCCGGCAGTTGTTGACTTCTCCTCCATCTTCCGACATCTCGCTCCATCTCACTGACGGGTGGGCCCCACAGATGTGCTGCCCCACGCGTCAGTCACAGAGATGTATAACTGTTTATTGGAGAATGGGCCGTGCCGGCAACTCCGGGAACTGTCCCATCGATCCGATTCGCCAAATTCAACTGCTACTCGTACGAATTCTTGGTACAGATCCCACGTAACAATTTTACACACTATTAGGACTAATTTACGAGACGAATCTTTTAAGATTAATTGCTCTAAGATTTGACAATATGGTGCTACAGTAAATATTTACTAATAATAGATTAATTAGGCTTAATAAATTCGTCTAGCTGTTTACCTGATGGATTATGTAATTAGTTTTTTATTAGCGACCGAACCCCCCATGCAACACCCTATATAATGCCTAATGTGACACGCCAAAATTTTACACCTTATATAAAAAACACCCTCTTACACGAATTTAGGGGTGTTAATTTCTCTGCAGAAACAGTACGGCTATTTGGTACGGATTCAACCTAAATTTGTGTGGTTGGTTTAAGGTCGTCCATCAGGACAATATATCGAATTATTGATCGAGTAGTAGGTTTTCTTCTCTTCTTGTTTTTTTCTCCTCTGAAACACGTTTGGTTGGTAACAATATGCTGGAAAGTCCGAGGTAGCAGATGGGATACTGACCAAACAACACCTGCCTCGATCACTTCCTCCATCTTTTGTCAAGAACTGCATCGTGCTTCTCTCTCCCCGTTTCAAAATATAAGCATTTTTAAGTATAGTGTCAAATCAATCAATTTTAACTTTTACTATTAATAAAAAAATCAATCATGTAAAATTAATATTACTAGATTTACATTAAACAAACTATCATATGTATACAACTCTTTTTATTTAAAACATCTTATTTTTATAAATATTGTTAGTCAAATTAACATCTCAAATATTATATAGAAGTCCAAAATACCTATATATTTTGGGACAGAGTGAGTATTGTACTAGGTATGTGTGTAGGTCTATAGATCAAATATTTTGCTCTGCGAAATTATGATAAATTGTTGGGTTTATTTGTAGGACAGGTGATAGAAACTAGTCATTCCGCCTACTAATTAACTCATTTTAACAGATCTAAATTTCTCAACTCAAACTTAATTTATACTAAAACTCTTATAAATGCTTATGTTCTGGAACTATAAGTGGGTTATTTGTCTTACTTATTTCGAGCTTATTTATTTATGGTGTGGGTGTGGTACATATAATGATATTTTCAATTCGGTAGCATGAGTTAGTCAGTCTCGTACTGTCAATTTCTTTTTCTTCAGAAAAAAATAATGCACGGCCAAATTCTATGCCACATCTTCCCTCGGGCAAAAAAATCTTAAGAAACTTCTATTTTTAGATAATAGAAATGAGTTGCATTCTCCGGCATCTGCCCATGGACACACAGCCAACAAGATTCAGAAACTTCCATACCACAACTAAGGCATGAAGGATTTAAAATTTAAGAGGGTGAAAGTTTATAATTTATAACTTAAATATGGGTTGTCTTTTCTTTTCTAATAATAAAAATGGTATACATCTCCAGCCTCTACCATTGGACACAGCCTGAAGCTTTGCCAACCAACAAAACACCCTAGTTAATCAAAAGGACTTAGCTAGTAAACTTGACCTTATCAACAAATAAGGAGGAGGTAGATCTAGACAGAAGAAGGATCAACAAATTCCCTATAAATAGCTTAGATCAATGAGTATATATATGGTCACCAAAGAGTGTTAGCTTGTATGTAATCTCAATTAATTAACCAATAAAGATATGGGAGGAGTATATGTGTTGGGAGCAAGGTCACATGGTGATTGCAAGTACTCAGATGTATGTAGTGACCGTGCTCACATGGCCATGCGTGAATTGTGTAAGCCACGCAACTGACTTGCTTCAACATATATACATATAAACCAACTATATATATAACTATATGTTCTCACATGTATCTATGGTTCCTAGCTAGTACACTTTAATTATATCCATAATATGCTTGCCACATGTGCTTACATGCAAATTCTCCAATTCGCAATGTGTACATAAGATAAGATCTTGAAAATTATTTAATTGATTGATTTTTTTGCCAATAATGTTTGATTGATTATCTCCATCAATTAAAGTGGCCGAAATAGGTGACCTGTGAGTGTGTTCAAATGTACAAGGACCATGCATGCCTTTGCCTATATGAAGTAGTAGACTGACTATAAGAAAAGAATATTAATCATCAAATTTTCATATCGTTCTTTAATTTCAAACTGATTTCCCAATTTGTGTGCATGTCGTTCTTTCAATTCAGAAATTAATTATTTCGATCCTTGTCTGCCGGCAGCCCAGCACCACTAGCTAGCAATATATAGTTAGTGGCTAGATTAATTAGTGCTTTGATATCTTTTGATGATCTGTTTGAACAAAAAATATTTATAATCCATTGGAATTTGTTGGGAAACGATCTCGTTGCAGTTTATTATCACAAAAGCTAGCATGCGTGCATGCAGTGGTGCTTCTAGACAAGTAGTTAAACTTTCACATGAATTGTGCAGCAAAACTGGGAATTGCAGGTTTATTTCGTTGTCTGATGATATGATGCGATCACGGGGAAATGATGAAAATTAGCTAGCATCATCAGATGCAATTCTGACGCTGACGCTTAACGAGAAAAAATAGATTTTATTAGCATTCACTGCTGCACTGTAGCCATGCGTGAGCAGAATGGAATCTATGGGTGTACTACTCGATCACACATTTTGTGTGTAATCCGTTGCTTAATCATGCTCTGTATTTGCTTTTGTCACGAAACATTAATTCACAAAACATTTTTCTCACGAACACGCAATGGGATTGCACGTCAATATATAAACAGAGTTTTTATTACACAACCCAACCAGCCAGACAGTCGTTACGGGGACCAGGAAAAAAAAAGAAAGAAGCAGAAAAAACTGCTAGAGTAAAAAACTACAAAAGAAAAGGTGTTGCTCCTATATATAGAACGGAGGATGGCGGTGGAGCCCCATTACACTTCCAACAAACCCTCAAAAACAGCAGTGCCGGCGAAAGACCACAAACGAAAGAGAGTAATCGAAAACCCTGAAGTTTCGCTCCTTCTACAACTGTCAAAGAGATCAAGAGGATAGGGAGTCGAAACACACGGTCGAGGAGGATAAAGTTGGCATGGACCCAATTGCAGCCCAACTAGACAGCCCAAAATACTTTGGAGCACGGGCTAGATTTGTTGTCCTCAAGAATGTGTGCATAATAATAACATGGAGTTAATTAAGGGGTTTCATTTTCTCATAATCCCTTCATCCGTGATTACTTTCCAGTTGCAGCGTACGTAGGTATTGTTCACATACTCATTAATATTGTGATTAGAAAATTCATCTTGTTCAAATATAATTAATAACAATGTAAGCTCAATAAACCTCAAAGTACAGGGGTAACTGCGAAAGAGCATGTAAACTAGTGGTTACAAAAGTCTTAGTAGCATCTTAAGTCCTGAGTTCGACTCCTTGGGAGTAATTTTTTCAGAATTTAACGACTTTGTGATTTCAGTGGTAGGCGACAGATAAGCGAGACACCTATGGTGACTTCGTCAATCTCTAGGATGGATTTGCAACCCGAAATAACTTCAGAGTCTAACTATAGGTAGAGATGCCAAATCGATGAAAAATGAAGAAATCGGCGAAGGATTAAAAAATTGATCTAGAAATGCAGAGAAGAGATTAAGAATCTCTGATATACTGATACAATGATTAAAATTTCAGGCTATGTGGGTATTAAGTAGGTTATGCATCTGAGTCATTTTCGCGGGAATTCTAGTACCGTGGGTTGTTTAATTAGCTTGCAGCGGAATCACATGCATCCTATTTTTTTTATCAAAATTCATACACACTTGTGCCAATTTTTTCATATAGTATACATATATATATATATATATATATATATATATATATATATATATCTTGAAATCTCGAGGCAAATAAGCTTGCTCAAGCAAATATATATACTTGGACAAATCGCTACTCCCTCCGTCCCAAAATAAATATAGTTTTGCATTGTTCATGTCCAACGCTTGACCACTCGTCTTATTTAAAATTTTTTTATGATTAGTATTTTTTGTTATTATTAGATGATAAAACATGAATATTACTTTATATGTGACTATTTTTTATTTTTAAAAATAAGATGGATAGTCAAACATTGGATAAAGAAACCCACGGATGCGCTTATTCTTGGAGAGGGGTAGTATTATAATTTAATTATCACCACTATATATACATATATATACATTGACAATCATTTTGTACATGACATTTTTACACACCATATGTCCATTTATATCAAGATATTCGATTACAAGACATGTTCATGCATCAATTGTGATGTTAATTATGACGTATATACACTATATACAACAGATGCAATTCCATATTGTATCTTTCAACACACACAAGTATATTAATTACATACAAGTAGCTAGAGATCGATCACCATTATTTCCTGGATTCATATATATAAATCCTTAGTCCTGCAGTAAGTAGAAAATAATAGTCTATATATATGTTTGATACAGTTCGCCGTCGCTCTACTTTTCGTCATCATCGCCGGCCACCCGACGCCGCCGCGTTCAGAAGAGGAACGCCGCCGGCGCAAACGCCGGCATGGACACCGCCGTCTCGATGTGCCTGGGCTCATACACACACACAATCCATGGATCATCAGAAGCTTGCAAATCATCAATGGCGAGATAGAGAGAGAGAGAAATCTGGAGAGAGATTGCATGTAATAACGTAGCTAGCTACCTGTATTCATCGCTGTGTGCGCGGGGGAGAACCCTGGCGGCGTCGCGGGCGGCGGACCGGCCGGCTCTGGCGGCGGCGGGGCGGCGGAGCTTGGCTGCTGCGGCGTCGGCGGCGCCGGCGGCGCTGTACTCCTCGTAGATGTCACCGAGCGAGGGGCGCCACTGCGGCGAGCCGCCGAGGGACCTGGCCCTCCTCCGCCGCCTCCTGGCGGCGGCGCCTCCGTCGCCGGCGGTCGCCGCCGGCAGCGCGGCGGGCGGCGCGTCGTCGATTGGTCCAGCACGGCAGCCGCAGGGCACGAACGACAGGAGCCTCATCAGCTTCCTGCGCACCCTCCCCTCTATCTTGCCCTCCCTCTCACTCTCTCTAGAAGCTCTCTACTCTCTTAAGCTTTCTCTCTCTAGCTAGCTATGGCTTTCTCTCTCTAGGAAGAGAGAGAGATGTATGCTCCTATTTACAGGGATGCCCGGGTGGCCAGGGCTAGCTACCTGGACCTGGAGTGTGTGACATGTAAGGGGTGGGAGATTTATAGGGTTTGCGGATGTGGCGAATGACTGAAATGTCCCGGGGTCGGGGTCTAGTTCAAGGGTATACCTTCAGAAAGCGAGATGGGACGAATGCCATGCACGGAAGGGAGATTGTTTTTCTTTTTGGAGGAAACTGTGTGTAAAAAAGCTTAGTTGTCGATGTTGATATCTAGCTAGGTGTTTTCTTCATTTGCGTGGTGCATGTATGCGCACCTCGTCAAGTGGCTGATGGTTAGGCGTAGAGGAAGTGGTGTATCACGTCTTTGTACCAAGCATATAGTACAAATGTGTGTGCATTATTGTGGAGATTGTAGGTTCGAATATATATGTTAGCATTGTTTCTACGAACGTATGTGTGTAGAAAGCACCAGGGTTTCTCTGTTACTCTCCTTTCTCCAAAATACTACTACCGTCCTAAAATATAAACTTTTGACTTGTCCAGATTTATAGCTAAAAATACTTATATTTTAAGACGGAGAGAGTAGTTATCTTTCTAGGATTTAAAATGTGTTTTAAAATATTTATTACTATATAGTACTACTTGTCTCATCAAACGTCAACATTTAAATTTCTTTACGTTCTACCCCAGCCACTTTGAATAAGACGAATCATCAAATGTTACATGGAAATCAACAACATCACGTCTTTTGGGATGGAGGTAGTAACAAATTATTCATGAGAATTTTTTTCTTCCACGATTGAAATTCATTTCTTCCTAATCCAGCCTAGATGGCATACTAACATTTTCTGAGAGCCCCTTCCAAAAGCCAGACCTAACAAAGAACAGCATGATATCTATATAGAACGATCATTTTTTTTAAGGATAATCATGTGCATGCAATGCAATGTCCGGTTGTTTTTAGTCACCGTTAGACACATTTATTATAGCAAACATTTATTAGAAGATAATAAACGGATACTGGATTATTATTAGTTGACAGAGGCAGCAGAGAGAATCGCAAGCAACAAAGGCGTCGCTAGCATCACACGTTGCGCGACGCGATGGCTTCCCTGCGTCGCCGGGCATCTCACCGTCATGTCTAGTCTGCATCTACTTACCCGTGAGAGCAACCCCTGTGGCAACCATTCATGGCAAGCTCAGGCCTCAAGCCCTCCAAGACTCCTCCCAATGATCGTATCGTCGTCGACCTCCATCACCTGATTGGTGCTGAAGACCGACGACCGATGAATCGGATCCTGATCATGTGGATGATCAGAATCCGATTCCTTCATCCTCGCATTTGTTACAAAGGAGGGTTTTCCACGTAAATCTTCGTGGTCAGGTTAATCGCGACGACAAGGACTGTAGATGGAGCTCTACCTCAGGAACTGTAGATGCTTCGGTGTACAAGTGGTCAGATATTATGCTGCCACGAGCGATCCTGATCATGTGGATGATCAAAATCCGATTCCTCCATCCTCGCATTAGTTATAGAGGAGGATTTTCCACGTAAATCTCCGTAGTCAGGTTAATCTCGACAAGGACGATAGATGGAGCTCCGCCTCAGGAACTATAGATGCTCAGCTTGGGTGTACAAGTGGTGAGATATTGTGCTGCCACGAGCGCGCAATGGCGAGGCGTCGCCGTCGGTGGTGTTGACGATGGCGGTCGCCGCCCGACGCCGCGACGGCGGCCATGGGAACGCGTGAGGAGGCGCCGGCCGAAGAGGGGAAGCATCCATTGTTACAGGTGGGCAAATCAGCAATGGTAAGAAGAAGAGGCAGTCATGAACAGTGTAGACTGCATCAGCTGGCACCACCAAAAACAACTCATGATCCAGGCAATAACTCCGAAAATAATGCACAACTGAAAATCTCAAATCAAAGAAAGGAATAAAATGTGTTCCTGAAATGCCAGATTGTGACTGTAGGTACACCAGTGAAGACGCCGGCATCAAGAGGAAATTAGTACTGCATCTAGGGCACAGGTGTACCAATGGTGAGAAAAAAAGACAGGGAGATGCACAGTTGCAAAACCACATCTGGCAAGAAAAGGATAATTGCAAAATCAAATGAAGTACAAGAACAGAGCGCAATATGTAACAAGTGCATGCACTGTTGATCACGAATGAATTGCACTCTGCACAGATCAGCTTCACCGTCGCTGTCAGCAGATCAGGATTTTGATCAAGGAAAATTCAGTTGTACCTTGTCATGTATAAACGTGTTATTCTGAGCAACGAGTCATTATCCAGTACATGAGCAGCACATGCCACCAGCTGATAAGGGCTACGACAATTCAAATGAAAGGGTGACTCCAACACAACCAGCACCTCATGAGTCAGGACAAGCAAGACATGGGGGTCATTATTAGCAAAGGTTTGAAGCTGTTCGTGTCCTGTTGCGCGTTGATAGTAATATTGTTTGGTCCATATTCAGTTTGACAAGTGCTTCTCCATGCGGAAACCATGGGATGCAAGCAAACGACCACTCCAACACGATAAGAATATTGGATCGGAAACTCTGTTCACACCTGGAACAATATGGTATAGCGATAAACTAAATATAGAATCAATAACTTGTCGATCCGCTGTGAGCCCCACGGCCAGATAGAGGGCCCCAAGATTGTATCTTCATCTACTGTGCACCCCAGGAACTGGATGGAGGGCCCCATGATTGTTGTGGCTGTGAGTTCATTTCTGGTTGCTGCGGTGGTGTTCTGGGTCTAGCATATTCAGCAAAAATAACCCATCCATCGAGAAACTGCATAGAAGCAGAGATATATCAGAAAAAACCTGTGCATTATGATATACTGCAGCAAGGCTCTAAAAAGAAGCCCAAAATGGTCAATGATATTTTCACCAGTTGCTTTCAGAGTATCTAACCACACCAAATAAACGCTTCATTTTATTTTCACTATGGTAGAAATTAGTAGACTGAAAAAATAAATAAATAATTGAGAGCTCAGCCATTCAAGAAAGCATAAATTATAGCATGAGGGTCATGTGGGCAATAGTTAGTGTATCACATACGTAATTTTCTTACATTATGTGTGAAGTATTGCTTTGGTGCCACAAGAATTCAAGAATGAATTAAGAAAAATATGGAGTATCATTGCTAATGAGGAAACATACAGAGTAAAATATTTTAGTATCTAAATATAAAGCAAAAATAAAAACAAGATACCAGAATGCAAATTTGTATTAAGATTCTAAAGACAGTGCAGAACCACCAGTTCACGATTTTTGTTGAAGAAATCAGTCCAAGCATGTCTGAGTACGGTTCATGATTTGCCAGTTGCAACGAAGCAACACAAGTCACAAGTCACAGCGATAACATGTAAGAAAACAATGTAACTATTATACTTGAGCATTAAAAGGTTAGCGTATACCTTAAAAATTACCACAGAAATTTATCAAGATATCCAGCATCTAGCACAATACAAGCTATATGAAATGAGTGCATGAGGCTGATATCTGTGTTCTTAAGAATCTTGCACATAGTAATTCTGGATTATTCACACATAATTATTTTTAAAATAATGAACATTTTTTTTTGCATTTTTGTTCTTCAGAGATGAGCACAACAAGAAAGAATGTGTGCAAAATATATCAGAGTTGAATTGTGGTGAGACCTTAGGTAGTTAGCAAATTGTGCTACCAATATCATAATAAAAAAAACTTACACATGAACTTGAAAAGTGGTAACACATGCCCTGTCTGCTTGTGCAAAACACAAAGAGTAAACCTGAGTGACCACGATGCTCTCAATTTCAATCTCAGGATAAAATGTCCAGAAAAATGTGATGCCTATGATGTCCACCCCATAGCATGTCCAAGTTATTAAATAGTACTACTATAGTATTGCACAACGAACATACGCTCACAGTTTCTGGTCAACTAGGATGCAAATATCTATACTTCGGTACTGTCAAAATGAGATACCTGAATAATTCTACAACATATTTAGTTTGAAATAGTCTGTTGACAAAGGGTGCCTAAGCAGGCTCCCTGGGCTCTACCTACCTCTCCAACTTGTCCTGCTTTCTCTGAATTCCACATAATCAAATCAATTCTGTGTATATATTAACTGCCTATGCTCCAATACAAAACTAGCTTTCTTACTGTTTCCGCCTTTCCAGTGGCAGCCAGTGAAATTAGGCAGTTCTTGTATTAAAATTTTTAAAATGAGGCATAACAAGTAGAGAGGTAAGGTCATATATTCTGCTTATTGCATCATGGGAACTGATCATTATATAAACAGTGAGAGTTCAACACAAGAGAATTGAGGAAAAAACAACAAATCCTAACAACAAAAATGATATGAAAGTATGAAACATACCTTTCCATCCATTCCTTCTATTCCTTTAGCTGCATCCTCAACTGTAGCATACCTTACGAAGCCAAACCCCTTAGAGAATCCAGTGACACGATCTGTGACAACTCGAGCTGCAATTTGAAATCAGATTGAAATAGAACTCAGTGTCTTGAAATACAAAGGATGAAAGGAATGGCTGCATTTTAAGCAAACATACCATGTATGACTTCCCCAAACTTTGCAAAAGCTTCTTTAAGCCCATCTGTTGTTGTACGCTTGCTTAAGCCTGCAAACAAGGATGCTAAGATGGGAGTCCAGAGATTGTGTGCAACAAGGCTCAACATGCAAGGAAGCATCCAAAATGGAACAACATTATTGAACTTTAAATTGTAAGACGGTAAAACAGGGAACTGGTGCTAGCTTTAAGTAGGTCCGATAATAATATGGAGTACAAGCTCAGAAAGCTTGCACACATTTTGTCACTACAGATAAGGAATTTAGGTCAGAGCACCATAAGTAGACAAAATTTAAATAATGTTTATTAAGTGATTGTCCATTTCCTCAGTTCCCGCAGTGAATTTCCTTGTGTCGAGCATGTAGAATCAAGCAAGCAGCAAGTGTGGAAAACGCCGAAGACCTGAGCTTATTGGGCATGGACTCAATTGTTCGTAAAACTAATTGAATCAAGTTCCATGAACAGAAGGTGGAGGGGTACGACGTTTGCTATCATAATCTGAACCAGCAAATCCAGCAATAGGTCTCTTTCAACCTAGGCTGATGTACAGCTGGTTCATCAGTCATTCCACCGGCGTCCTAGATCCGTCCTATATCCTATATCCTCCACTAAGTAACAAACTAATATATAGAGGAGCAGTCAGTATAAAGTTACATCTAGAAACATCAAAAGATTATACTAACTTCACAACATATCAGTATCCACTATATGTCTTACTACCATATGATCTTATCTCCCCTGATTTTGCTCATACGAATCAAGCAGCCCAAATCCATCAGACATTGAATTAGTACTAACAACATATATATACATACTAGTATACTCTAATGTTGCTTTTGACCGCCCAAAAGTGCAACCACCATGAGATCCTCTAAATTAAGCCATCCTAGATCATCCACACGACCGAATCGGGTACGGCAACGCAACGGGAGCACTTCTACGGCCGCCGCCCAAGAAGAGGGAGAGAGAGAGAGAAAGTGAGGCGTACCTGAGATGAAGAGGTTGGGGGAGGGGTCGGCCTTCGGGGGCGGGGTGGGCGGCTTGGGCGGGGAGAAGGCCGAGATGGAGAACATGCGCCGGAATCCGGACCTCGCCGTAGCCGCCGCCGCCATCGCCGCCGCCGGATTTCGAAGGTGAGGTGAGAAGCTAGGGATTTGCTTCCTCTCTCTTCTTTGGGGTTTATGGGTTTAGGTCATGGGCTGAATTGACTATAATGCCCTTCTCTGACACTAGTATTAGCGGCGAGATTATTATGATAATGATTGAAAATTTGTTTCTGTTGGGGGAAAAAATCTCCTCAGATGAATTTGCAGTCTGACATGATGTGTTGCAATTTGCGGTTATAACAATTTGATAATCAAGATGAGATTTAGTCAAATGTTTGAAATTTTTAACATTGAATACCTCTCAAAGGTTATAGTTAAAAATGGCACGAGTAGATTTTGTCTTGAAAGGTAGAGTAGTGTCATAATATCATAGATTTCAAAAATTTTGTCTATGGGTTTAGGTCATGGGGCTGGAATGACTATAATGCCCTTCTATTGATAGTAGTGTTAACAACGATATTACTTAAATAATTGAAAATTTTGTTTCTTTTGAAAAAAAATCCTCACATGAATTCGCAAGTTAACAACATATTTTGATTAGATACTCCATTCGATTGTATACATTTGACATTTAAGATAAAATTTGATCAAACATTTAAAACTTTGACAACTGAATACCTCTCAAATGTTTATTTTTTAAAAAAGAAGTAAAATGGTATAGTATATTGTCTTAAAAGGTAGAGTAGTATCATAATATCATAAGCTTATTAGATTTTATAAATCTGTTTTGATATAATATTGATGATTAAAGTTTTAAAAGTTTGACTATTTTTTTCTCCTAAGCATTAAATATTTATAACCAGAAGGAGAAGCGTTTTAGCAATTTTTTTGTTTCTTTTATTTGAAACTTGTAAATAAAAATCTATTTGCAGCTTTGAACTTTTGAGATAAACGGAGAGCTCTGGACTACAAACTAGGACATTTTACATGTTTAAAGCTTCCGCTATCTCTCTCTTGGACGAAAACCACATTCATTTCGGTTACATGTCATCTACACGTCACTATAATTTGCCATCTCATCACAGCCTTGGAGATCATGTGGGCTACCATTTCAACTGAAGAATATTTAAGTACTAATAAAGACAGCAATGAAGAAGGCATAACCATATTATATTGAAGTATGACAATTCACTCATCACATCCACACAGCAACAGCTTTTCAATCTCACTTCGATTCAATGGTCATCCCAAATTGCAAGTCTCAGGCTCTGAGCAGAACAAATGCCAATACAAAGGCCAAAAAATCAACTTCAGTTCAAGAAAACTCACATGGATAAGGATCAAGAAATTCCACACACAAACCAGCAACACAACTACTAGGTAGCAGGGTAACACAAGAAAAATATCACTAGATATTTGAGACAGTAACATTCTTAGATAGATCAGAATTTCCGTCTTTTGTCACATTCAGAGGTCATAGTCCACCCAAAATATCAAGAATGATGATGATCCACATGATCCAAAATTCCAAATGCAGCCTGCATGAATCGCTTGCACAGCTCTGGATGATATTTTGGGTTGAGGATAGATTTGTCTGTCAGAGCTTTCCCGTATGCGACGCCAAGTGGTAGAATTAGCTAGTAAGCAAGTTCTTTCTTTCCATTACGTGGATGAGTGCCTGCAAAACTGACCTAATAAGGATTTTAGATCAATTACACAACAATCTATAGCTAAGGGTTGTTTTTTTGGATTGCATTTCTACCTCATGAAGAAGAGGCTGACTCAGGCTGAGCAGTCTGCGGCCTTGGTCTCCTGCTTGCTGGGGGTCCATCTCTTCGCCTTTCATACCGTCTGCTTTCATATTTGGATGTCCTCCGCTCTTTTGGTTGGTAGGTTGGGTAAGTGCATGGAATTATCTCTCCGTTTATGTATTTATCACCTGAATTGTGAAAGGATTGAGATTTTTTATTTAAGAAGCAACAACTAATTGATTATGCAAATAACCAGCTGCAGACAATAATGTTGAACTAACCCCCGTAGTCTTTGTTCTTGACATCGATGTAGGAATCAGGAAGCACCCACAGAACGCCGGGTAAACCTACAGGTAATAGAACAATAGTTTGAACCAGGGCAATCCAAAAATGTTTAGACTTGGTTAAATACTGAGGCAACCAGTATATTAGCAAATACCCTTGAACTTCTCTGATGTTTCCTCGTCGACAGTGCACTGGAAACCAGTGTAGGTGGTTGTGCTGAAGGCATACATGTTCTTCTTGGCTTCCTCCATGCTGTGATTGCAAACATATGCTCAGTATCAAGAAAATGAACTAAAGGCAGAAAATTACAAAACTGTAGGCCTGGTTTATAGTATAGCAATGCTGATTTCAGACATAGCACCGATGATAACTTCACCAACGTGCAGTGACCAGCAAAGAATACCTAAACAAATAATCAACCATTCCTTGTGTTTACGCAAGAAATTTTAATCCTTGTGAATCGTCAAGCATAAACTGTGCAACATATAGACATGTCTACCAATCTACTACACACTTGTTTCTTCAACAAATTATCATGCAAAATTTGCAACCACCTATAGAATGTAAAGCTTTTTTACATTTTACCAAAAACGTGCGCTCCAATTAAAATTTCGACTATCATAATTTACAATCGAAACAAAATTTATTATGTTTGAGTGAAGCATGAAACAAACATTTCTCTCGAGATTACTCTACCGACTTAGTCAGTCAGTCAGTCAGTCCTTGCAAATTGGCAACCAAACTAGGTGAGTCAAAGAGAGGTGGAGATCTTGACAATGAGGATGAGAAATTTTACATAATTATACCTGCCAAGGACGGTGGCGAGGGTGTTGAGGTAGGTGTCGATCATCTGCTCCCGCGTCGGGGCGGGGTCCTTGGGGAACTCCATCACGATCAGCCAGTGGTTGTAGTCGCACCCGGGGAGCAGTATCGTCTCCCTCTGCTCGCTCCCCGTCCCCGCCCCCGCCGCCGCGGCCACCACCGGCTGCCTCGCCTTCCCGCTTCCTCGCACAGCCAGCGTCGGGAACGCCGCCGCCGCGGCGGTGCGGGGGAAGAGCGCGGATGGTGCGGCGGCGGAGGAGGATGGCTTCGGCGCGAGGGCGAAGGCGAATGCCTGCGCGGCGGCGGCGGCGGCGGTGGTCGGGAAGGAAGCCATGGGAGGAGGCGCGAGAGTGGGGAGAGGGAGAGGTTTACGAGTTTGGGGATAAGGTGGGAAGAAGAAGAAGAGAATAAAAAGGGAGAAGAAGATATTTTTTTTGTGAGGGTTTTTAGCCTCCTCTTTAGTGGGCCGGGCCGGGCCGGGCCATTTTCGGCGTGGATTTATGGGCTGTAATGTGTGGGCTCAGATGGGCTTATGGAGGCCCAATTGTGACGGTGATGGAATAAGTCCCTCATTATTAGATCCAATCGGTTTTTTTTTGGTTAACCAATCACTTTTCGGGTTTTTTTTCAGGCGAGGTGGCTATCTGTTTTTATTAGCGGCCAGAAGAATAATTAGGCTAAAAATTAGGATACATTATGAGAAATAAAACTTCTTAGAAGAGAAGCAAATGAAACACTTTCATTAAAAAATTCTCGAATTAGGATACATTATTAGAAAATGAAACTTTCTTAGAAGAGAAGCAAATGAAACACTTTCATAAAAAAAATTCTCGGCACTTTTAAATGGCGATTTAGCTTCCTGTAGCAATGACATGTTTGATCATGCAAGATTACTGATATGTAGGTCAGAGGAGGATAAATACTCATCTTAGAATCTTGGATCAAAATTTACAATTATAAGATCACTGGTGCCACAAAAGTGACAGAAATATAAAACTTAAACATAAATTACAGAAATGTAGCTGTTGAATTCCATCTCTTTTTGTGTGTGTGTGTGCGCGCTCTATAAACAATCAGCAGTGTTTCAAAAGCAAAATGGGTCTGCAGAAATGTGTCGGCAACTGAGCAACCACACATTCACCATGATGACCAAGAACAAAAAAAGGGCAGCAACCCGAAGTGAATGGCAGAAAACACTAGAGATGATGTTCAACTTTCAAGCAGTGAGAAGTCAAAAGCATTTGACCCATTCACTACAAATCAGAGATGCAACAAAATGCACATTCATTTCAGGAAAAAGAAAAAAAAACATGCCGTCTCTGTCGGTGCAGAAAGTTTAAGGGTTCAAGGGAAAGTGTATTCATCCCTCGAGCGGATATCCCCTTGTATCTAAATAGTCATCAAAGTGCACAGCGTTCAGTAGTGAACACTTGACACTAGCAGCTTCAAAAGAAATGCTTAACAATAAGCTAGTGCCATCAGCTTTACCATCCTGAGTGGAGGTCCATTCCATTCTGAAAACTTTTGGTCCTGTGCATCCAGTCAAACACATTCAGTTATTGGATTCTGAAAAACAAGAAAAAACATATTGCTGATTCCTTTCTTTGCTGTTCCAAGGATGCAGGCTTCTGGTGCCTTTGTATGTGAGATTCTTGCATTTAGTTGCAGGTTTGCAGCTATCATCAACACAAGTGGCTGTGCATGTATGGGGACTTTGACATGGTGCACCAACTCTTCCTTCCATCTCCATCTGCTTGACTCACCATATACATCATAGACATAAACAGTAAATTAAGCTGGAAGTTGCAGGATTGCATAGTGAAGGAAATGACAACAGAAATGAGGTCATGCAGGCCTCCAAATAGCTAGGCTACAAAAAGAGTCACTCAATATGCACTCAATCATGCCAAATCATGCCTATAGCTTTCATAAACCAACCTTCTTGCAAAAGTAAAGGCTTCTCTTGTCTTTCCCCTTCTCTGGTGGGAGTCTAGAAATCTTTTAAAGTTTCTAGTGAATATATGGTGCTGCACTGACAGATCTTCTTTTAATTTGGTACGCAACATTCATCTTTAGCGGTATGGCATGGATAGAATTAAAGCTTTTATGGTTTTATTTTGTAGAGTGGTTTTCATGATTTCATCATATTAGTGGTTTCCAAATGATACTTCTCCTATAGTCAAATCCTGGTGAAAATCAGCTCTTCCCAGCACTTTTACTACAGTCCTTAATCCTGGTTAATTCAAACAAAATTGGCTTGACCTTTAACAACATTTTTTTTTAAAAAAAAAACTATCATCTGACTCCATTTTTAGGTAAGAAATGAGTCCTCCAAGGGATTCAATTTCTAGTAAACATTCTTTTTAATCTCTTAACGCAACACAAGTTCTCTGTTTGATGCTTCTAGATTGTTTAACAACAATAGTTTGTTAAGAATCTATGGTAATCTATGTCAAACTTTTCCTTTGGAGAGCTTTAATATTGAAAGAAAAACATGAATCACAAGAAATGTCATGTGTCTTCACCAGAAAGGGAACAGGGGACAATTGAGTTCACCAACCATAGAACAATTTGTAGTACCTTTCTAATTGAAAAGAAAAGGCAGCTTCTTCTAGATTGAAAATGACCATGTCCTGCTTCTGGTTCAACATCCAGCTACTCCTTCCATCTCATGAAAGATAAGTTCGAGGCATCAAACGAGTGCGCTGTGGAACTTTAAGGGATGATCAGATTATACAGCATAACAAGATAGATGTGACTAGTGTTTAAGAACACACTATATAACATGATTGCTTCACCAATTTTCTATATTAATTGGTAATGTAAGTAATTGATCTACATACATGCCTGAAAATTAGTAATTTAATTGTGCCACTCAAATGGTACGGAAACTAGTCACCTTTCATGTACTGAAAATGATAGGACCAAAAGATACTCACAGAACTTAAGAAAAGTAACCGTCCAATTTCATCAAGCAAATCCATGGCAAAATATTCATAAAAGAAAACAATATAGAAGAAATAGAGCATGTCCACATGATGCCAGCATGTTTCATGCTAGAAAGCAGTAAAGCAGGAAAAGGTATGGGATCACATATATCATGGCAAAGTATTGGGCAACAACCCAAATTACATTCCAATGGCACTCTGAGGTAAAATAACAAACTATCAACTTTAGAGCTGAAACTTTATTCCATATGGATGATCAGACTCAAACATTGTCTAGGTGATCATGCGGAACCCTTGAGTTTCTTCGCAATTCCAGCAAAGTACTTCCCTTGGTGGAAGGCTTGTTGCAGCTCAAGCTCAGTGGCAACCCTTGATCCATCACCAGCGAATGTGCCAGACCCGTACGGGCTTCCGCCCTTCACTTGCTCCATCTCAAACATCCCAGCACCAAAGGTGTACCCTACTGGAACAAAGATCATGCCATGATGCACTAGCTGAGTAATTGCTGTCAACCTACAAGATGAAAAGTGAATTTCATTATACTCCATGATTGACATGGTTTCAACTGCAAGTAATATTCTATAACACCATTATCACAAAGTCAGACAATTCGTATTTTCAGTGACACCATGGATGATAAGTGGCATTCTTGATTAAGATAAAAATGAATTTTATACTACAAGCATCAGACAATTTGAAATTTCAGCATAATTTGGAAGCGTCTTACGGAGTAGTTTCTTGGCCACCACCCTGGGAACCAGTAGAGTAGAAAATTCCCGCGGGCTTGCCTGCGAGCTGCTGTGTCCTCCACAGCCCACCGGTAGCATCCATGAATGCTTTGAATTGAGCAGCCATCATTCCAAATCTAGTTGGGAACCCAAAGATGACACCATCAGCCTCGGCAAGCTCTGCGGGTGTGATTATGGGAACATCTTTCTTTGAAGGAGCACCCATCTTGGTGAGCACATCATCAGAAAGAGTCTCTGGGACCTAGTCATATGATAATTTTATCAACATGTTAAACAAAACATGCGGGTAATCATAACTCTAGGTAAAGCACAAAATCACTTTCATGGTACAACCTGCCATAGCTTGACCTCAACTCCTTCAACTGAAGAAGCACCTTTCTCGATCTCCTCTGCTAGCTTTGCAACATGGCCATACATGGAGTAGTACCTACAAAATGCAAAATTCATGAATACAAATAGAGTGAAAAAAAAGAACATATATATACTTCTGTTTTGCAAAACCACCCAGCTATCGCAGAAGGATGTTCAGACAAGATTGATAACATCATGAAGAACCATCCAAAAGCAACAAACAGACAATGTCACACAAACAAGTGTATACCTTCACCATGCGTATGAAACAAACAACAACAATGGGAAGCACATCTTGTCAGGACTCAAAGGCCGTTCCTTTTGCTTTTGGTGCAGCAGTAAGCAGCAGGCAAAATTAGAACAAAACAAAAAAGGTTGCATTTTACTAGTGAGCAAAGAATCGATATAATCACAAACAAATTCCAGAAGTACCCCATTCCGATGCAGTCTAACAGACTCCATCATGGACAAGAAAAAAAAAGTAACTTCTGCACAATTTTTGGTGCAGAAGTGAGTGCTCCACTAACAATCCGACGAATTCGTCCACAAGCGAATTCAAGAACCGATATATATCATAGTACAACCTAAGAACACGCGCAGTCGCGCATTGCTGAATTCAAGAACACACACCCCTCCACGAAGAACAGGGCGGGAAGGGAATAATCAGAAAAAGGATCCCAAGAACACATCTTTCGCACTCCATCCCCCCCCCCCCCCCCCCCCCCCCCCCGAAAACCACCACCACAATCCCGTTTTCTCGACGAACATCCGTACTACCCGAACCACCCGGAGAAAGGAAAAAAAATGCTGAAAAAGGAAAAGGTTGGGGAGCTCACACTATGTAGATCTTGGCGGCCATATCGAAGCAGAATTCTGGAGATTGGAATCGGTGGGAAGAAGGGAGCTGGGATTGCGATGTGGGGAGGGAGGAGGGAGGACTTGGGGCATTTATAGCTGTGGGGAGAGGTCTTCGCCATGTCCATTTGGGTCTAAATTAAATCTCATTTAATTCATTTTTTGAGGCAAAAAGTCATTTAATTCTACCCGTATAAAAAAACTCATTTAATTCCTTCTCTTTTTTTCACCGATGTATTTTGGGTTATCAATTAGGAGTACTCCCTCCTTTCAAAAAATATTATTAAGATAAGATTTAGTCAAACTTTTATGATTTATTATCGATTTTGTATCAGAATAAATCTACGTATATATATTTTAACTCTACATTTAAATTTTTTTTGATGTTTGGGATTCTAAAAGCTCTATCAAATTTTGCCCTAATCGATATTTATGATCAAATGAAATTACTTTTACTCCAAAAAATACTTTATATTGTTAAAATTGTCTTTGTTTTTTTAATTCCCTTGTGTTTGATATAACTGTAATAAAATTACACGATCTTTAAAAAAAATACTCTAGACGTCGTGTAATATGGTAATATTGTATTTTGTAGCACGAAAAATGTCCATATGTGATTTGATCATCTGAAGAAACAAATGGTTTTTTTTCTCCTTTTTGCAAGGATTTTCCAAGCAATAATATGCAATACTATATGGCAGTACTCCTACGCAATTGTGCACATAACTTTAGCTTGTCTTTCCAACCCAGAAAAAAAAACTTTAGCTTGTCTCTAAATACCTTTATAATACTATTTACCACCGTTTGTCACGTTTGCCATGTTGAACAATTTTATATCAAGATCAAAAAAAAAGAGAAAAAGAATCTTCATTGAGATTTACGACAAGTAAATAAAGATTACGATGACACACCAGATGCCAAACATTTGGAAAAAAAGTTGCATTAAAAAGCATAAAACACGAGATGCTTGGAATATAAGAGCAATTGGAGAAAACTTTTGGAATGAATAATCATGTTGGAAGGGAATCATGTTACATGATAAATAGCTCAATGGTGTGATATGCTATGCATTTGTCTAATGTTTTACGAAGTATAAACTTTTTAAAGTTTAGTCAAAGGATACAAAATGTGAAAATTCTCAAAATAAAATTTAGGTTAAATACTTGCTAGCAACTGTAGTAACTGATGTGTATAGCTGTTCATTTAAACTACTATGACAAACTAATAAAATCGTAGTAGTACAACAGTATCCATAACAATTGGTTGTAGTTTCTTTTAAAGTAAATATCAGAATGAATTCTATTATCAAAGAAAATAAACATGTAACCTGCAGCATTGCACGGATGTAAGACATTGTCAATATTTGTCCCTTACCGCGCAAGGGAAAATGAATTGCGCCTCCCTTGTACCCAGATTCTACAAAATAACAATAGATATCACTACTTATTTAGCAACGAAATGCAAACATAAATTAAAATTGTGGTATTCTGATGGTTGAAGCATGATCGATGGGCAAGGGAGAAGGATGTGCATGCATGTCAAAACTTACATAAATTTAGATTTTAGTTGGCAACGACCAATTAAACAGAGAAACTGAACTTTGTAGCTACTCCCTCCGTTTCACAATGTAAGTCATCCTAATATTTTCCACATTCATATTGATCATAATATATCTAGACATATATATCCATTTAGATTCATTAATATATATATATGAATGTGAGAAATGTTAGAATGTTATATTGTGAAACGGAGGAAGTAGTCAGCAAAGTCAGCATGGAACTACGGCCGGCTGGCCGGCGGCGAGCTGCCGCAATCCGTGAATCCGTGATGGCCATTTCAGTCTTCAGAAGACGAATACAAAGGCATGGAGACTACACACCGGCTGCCTACTTGACTTTGTCAGTTACATGAGACAAATGTGTATATGGAGTAGTCCCTGATCCGTAAGAGCTACGTATAAGCATCACCTGACTTTTATTTGCTAACTATGATGCCACGTAAGTGCTACGTACATGTTACGTGGAACGGGGACTGAGTCAGCAAGCAAACAGAGGTTGATCCAGACAAAGCTTTAGGTTAAGTCCTCTTTTCTATCAATGTAAGACATTTTTTTAGAGAGGCAAAGGGCAAGTGCTATGATAGATGTGACTACCACCTCCAAATTTATTCATATCATTCACTCATAATCTAGGAAAAGGGTATGTGGTTGCAGTGACTTGAGTAACATCTTAAGGTTCTAAGTTCAAATCTCCATAGGAGCGAATTTCATGTTGGGTTATTTGAGCTCCACCCTCAAGTTCCCATGGTACAAGTACCGACAGTGGAGGCTCGAGCCCTCCACCCTCATGATAGATCTGCTCCTACCATAAAAATGACATGTATCAAATAAATAGAAGGTGTGAGACTTCGAACTCAAACCGGCTAGCCCACCACCTTATGGAGCTAGCCCAAAAACCCTAGAGGTTTCTCGCAACAGATCCGCTCCTATCATCAAGCCATATATGAGCACACATTAGTCGAAGCTGTTATCAAATACTGTTGATGGGCTTGATTTGAACCGGTTTTAGAAGGTATGGGACGCTTTATACCCGATTAGTTAAGGGATGTGATAAAATCCCCATGGTTGAGGGGCCTAAACTAGACTTTTTCCTTGTTATAGATAGGAGTAGCTCTAGTCTTTTCCGGTCCAAATATCTGGTGGTAGGACTTCTAATTAGGCCCAAATAATTTGGTGAGCCCACTTCCCATTTATATTTTTATACGTGATATATTGTTGGGTGGGAACAGATGATTTTTTTTTCATTTTCTAAGATTCTTTTGAGAAAAGTTAGAAATAGTCATCCGTATAACTTGTTATTCCACTTTCCTTTATATTTGCCACCAAGCACTATTCATATTTAAACTTTGATCATTCATCTTATTTTAAAAATAAAATTCTAAACACGTGAATAGATATCATATTATCAAAGTGTCTCATACTTAAAAATTCATTATAATATAATCATTGAAAAATTATTGGTGGTCCAAGTTGCAACAGCAACAGTCAACAGTGATATACTCTCTCCGTCTTATAAAAAATAAATATAGCTAGTACGGGATGTGGTACATTCTAGTACTGTCTCGTAGTATTAGGATATGCCCCAGTAGATCCGTTGTTTTATAGGACGAGGAAGTATAAATTAACGGATGTACTACCAGGCTGATACCACTACCCTAACCTGGTAATGCCAATGTCCCCCAACACTGTCATGAACAATGTGTCATAAATCACAAGTGGATGAGTTTCCTCTGCAGCAACGCTTTCTGACGTTGATCAAAGACATGTGGACTCGCGGGATATGCGGTCCACATGTCAGACACTTAAAATCAGAGGGTGGTACTACAAAGGATCTATTTCTCTCATAAATAGCTTGCAACGTCATGGTTTTTTTCCATGCGGTAGAATTTTCCAACGGAGCCATTGTATTTGTTATTGAAAAAGGTTCAGGTTTAGATATGAGTTGGAAAGGGAAAAATTTTTTTATTTTACTTTTATCTAAGATAAGGTTCGGAACAAATAATTACCTGAAATGCTCTTAGTGCATTCCAGATATATTACATTGCAAAAAAAAAAACGTGGTACACATTTAAGTATGTAAAAGAGAAATGCAGTGCACAATTTTCAATAGCAGTACAAATGATGCAATTGAATGATTAATTTACACTTGTCATTTCTGAAAAACAAAGCAGTTGTACGAAGTAGTAGCAAATAATTCAATTGACATCTTATGATAAAAGTAGATACATCGCTACATTGAAAATACATACCCCCGTTCTCAAATAAAAGCATTTTTAGACTATCCAGATTAATATTATTGAGGAGAAAGATTTCTTTTTAATCACATCATTAGTTAAATTTTGAATTACTCAAATTCCCTTTCTAAGTTTCTAATTGGTTAAAAACACTTGGATTTTTGCGCATAAATTCTAATTTATAGAAATATATATTTTTTTGAAAGTACAAGAGTGCACTACATCACACTCCTCCTGAATGGGAGAGAGAGAGAGATGTGATTGCTTGCATTGTTAGTAGGAGGTGTGCATCTTCCTTCTCTGAACATCCAGCCCGACACAAATCGCATTAGCAGTAAATTTTGGCACGGAGAAAAATCAGAGCTTGTGAAGTTGAGTGAAAGAAACACTACAATTAAAAGGCACACGTGGACAATAATACTATACATCAGCCTCACCTAATCACAGTTGGTTGACGTTTTTATCGATCATCACTGCTTTACTAATCAACTAGCTGATGACTAGTCAACAATCAGCTAGCAGTCCCGTGTCCTAAGTAGATTCTGTTCAATGTCTCTTTGCGCAAGTTAAGAGAAGAACATTTGACTACGACTGAAAAGAAACCTGCTCTGCAAAACTATCTAGAACAGTTTGTATTTATATGGGAAGATATTAGTAATTTAACCTTGAAAGTGCTTGCATTGTTGAACACCTACTAAAGGATGCGAGAATCAGGGGCGGAGCTAGACAAGAGTGGAGGGGGGTGCACCACTATAGTAGCAATTTTTTTTTCTCAAACTACTTCCTCCGTTTCACAATGTAAGTCATTCTAGCATTTTCCATATTCATATTGATGTTTAGATTCATAACATCAATATGAATGTGGAAAATGCTAGAATAACTTACATTGTGAAACGGAGGGAGTATATTATTGTAAATTATAATGTTTTCGTGTATTATCACCATCAACGGTTCAACATAAGTAACAATGGAGTCAGGTTAATAATACGGAGTAGAATACTTCCTTTTATTTTAGTCAAGAATATTTAGTGTCTAGGATAATACGTTCAGTCAAAATTGTAAGTTCTGACCATCAAATTTCTTAAATACTTAACTAAAAAATAAAATAAATGGTAGATTTGTCTCCAAAAGTATAATCATCCTTGAGCTTTATCATGCCTCATCTGCTGACTTTCTTTTGCATTGCTAGTATTAACGAGAGGTTTTTTTAAAGAAATTCTCCATAAATGCACATCTCATTTTTAGTCATGCAACAATATTTAGATAAAATAAAAGACAATAACTATACATACTATCCTACCATGGTTACATTGCATCACAGTATGTATATATATTTTCTCT